CAGGCCCATCGATCAGCGACGTCGTGACGGTGGAGCAGTGGTGGCGGCGGAGCCGCCCAGCGGCGACCGAGCGAAGCAGACCCGGCAGCCGACACCAGCAGGCAAGTCAACGCCAGGAACACCAAGTGACGGGCGAGGTCACGGTGCATAACGACGACGACTCGGCACAAACGTGACGGGAGCCACTCGTAGTCGCAGTCAGGAAACCACTCATGCAATTAATCACCACTCAATCAATCAATCACTCACTCAAAACACTCGCTCGTGGAGGCAGGACGAGGCCGTCTCCACGAGCCTCGTCCTGCCCTGGTAGGGGTAGTGGTAGGAGTAGTGCACTGAGAAAAAAAAATTATTCCCCTGGAACACCTTTAAGGGTGTGTACCAAACTGCACCTCGCTGGGGTGTCAGACGGGTGTCACTTTTGACACCAATACAGGTGTCATTGGGAATGAAACACCGGGTGTCTGACACCCTTTTAGGTGTCTGATACCCTTTTGGGTGCACACCCAAAAGGGTGTCAGACACCCGGTGTTTGATTCCCAATGACACCTGTATTGGTGTCAAAAGTGACACCCGTCTGACACCCCAGCGAGGTGCAGTTTGGTACACACCCTTAAAGGTGTTACGAGAGTGTCCATTGGATGCCAAAAAAGGTGTCGACACATTCTTACATTTATTGGTTCAAACAGGCATATCGCATACAATGGCATTCCTATCTTGTATACAGCAACAAACTATAAAGTACAAAAAATATGGGCCCTATATTTACGGAGAAATCCAATGAAAACTCACCGAAACACATCGGGTCCATTCACAGTGAGAAGTTGCTCGCATTTCAGCAATGATAATTAACCGTCGATTATCTCCAACCAGATGTTATTCCGCAGTTCACTTGCTTTCGTTTCCATGGTGCAATGCTGTGTTGTCATCCTCACTCCAGACTTCAAATTTCACCGAGTACCGCCCGCCTCGTCATTTGAATAAACACGGAGCAAGCTACAAATAAAAGCTAAACATTATCATTAACGCACAATCACTTGAAGAAGTACACTGCGAACAACGTTCGGCGCCACTATATCCACATAAATTCAAAAAAAGCCCTGCCATCACTCACACCGCACACGCACCACGTGGCACGCCGCCGCCAACTGAAATCTAACGGCTTTCCTGCAAGGTGGCGCTTTTTGATCTTCGCATGGTTGACGCCGTGACTAGCACACAAATGACGTCACACAATGAAGCTTGCTGATTGGGTAATGATTCAAACCACTGGACCTGCTGTGGTTTCTAGCAGTGCTACGGAGTCAGAGTCGGAGTCTGATGGAGTTGGCAGTTCTGGCCGGAATAGGAGTCCATTTTGGAAGACAGAGCGGGAGTGCGAGTCACTGAAAATCCGTTAGACACCGCATCCCTGGTTCCTAACACAAGTGACGTCAGAACAATTTATGTGATGATTTAGGTTCGAATACACGACAGCTTTCAAACATTTCATGACTCATGCTGGAATGTTCCTCAACAAATGACAACACACGTGAAGGTATCACAAGGGTATCAGATCCCTTTTAAGGAACATTTTTGTTTACACCTTTTGAAGTGTTGATGGTTTAGGGTGTTTGACACCCGAATGGATGTTGGTGTAGGACACCCATTAATGTGTCTTTCTGAATCCCATCATGGTGTGTTTAAAAGCGCGTTGCACTTGAAGGTTGTCATCGTGGTGTTGTACACCTCCATGATTCCCAAAACAACATTTTTGACACCAATCTGGGCGTTATATATGACACTGCAATGATGTCCGACACCCGTGAGACACCCCATGGGAATATTTTTCCTCATTTTTTCACGCTGTTTTTGGTGTCAGATACTTTTGCAAGTGTCAATGTGACACCTCTAGCAGTGTCGGACACTCTTAACATTCCGCTTCAATAAATGGCAACACCTGTGAAGGCATCATAAGGGTGTCAGATGCTTTTAAAAGAACATTTTTGACACCTTTTAGGGTGTTTGATACCTTAGAGTGTTTGATACCCGGATGGGTGTGGGTGTCGGACACCTATTAAGGTGTCATGCTGAATCCCATTAAGGTATATCTAAACGCTCGCATGCGAACGAACACTTGAAAGGGTGTCATCGTGGTGTTGTACACCTTAATGATTCCCTAAACAGCATTTTTCAACACCAATCTGGGTGTTCGATGACACCTCCAATGGTGTCTGACACCCGTAAAACACCCCTGGGGAATAATTTTTTTTCTCAGTGTGGTATGGGTAGAAGTAGTAGAAGTATGGCCCAGGCCGATCCAATGTGACGTGGTAACCTATACGACCTGGCCTGACCGAAGGTGACATGACCTGACCCAGTGTGACCAAGGATGACCAACTTGACCTGACTTGACCCCGTATGACCCAAGTTCAAAAATTTCCTCCGCACGTTCCCGTCCGTACCTATTTCTGCTTCCAGACGACAGATAAATTTAAATCAAATACCATTCGAAAGCAAATTGGCTGCTGCCGCATTTTATGGCTACTACGCCGCGAAGCAAGTGGCGCAGCCGCTTGTCTACTATACTATTTGTGAAATGATACTCTGTCTGTTTGCACCGTGCAGAGGGGTGCTTTGACGCCATGCGCAGGTCAAACGGTGCGGTCGAGGGGGCTGAAATTTTCGCAGGGTGTTGATGACGTCACGGGCACGTGCAGTGGCGTGTTTCGAGTCTCAGGGGGTGGGTGGGTGGCACGTGACACGCCCTGGAAAAAGGGGCATTTTCTCTTAATTTTGCTCGGCTCTCAAGCTTGCTTCAAGGCATCGGTGCAGCCGGGTTCAATCGCCTTTGACAATAAAATGCATGACGATCGGCGGCGGGTGCCTCTCATTTGCAGATTGTCCAAGTTATTTATTTTGATAAACAGAGGCGAATGAAGGTTTTGATTTTCGGTAAATAAAGACAGTTTTCAATGCACTTAACCGAATGCACCGCGTTTGCCGCAGTGCGCCACATTTGTGCACATGCGCTTTTTTTGCCGCAAATCGCACAACTTTGTCAAATATGGTCCGATAAAGGTGCAATTCGGTGGAAGGATGCATGACAAAATGACAGGTACAAATGCGCCACGTGTGTCGCAACGCGCCACATTTGTCACAAGGCGCCAGTTCCATCAAATACGGTTAAGAATAATGGAATGACGCGAGTAGGAGCATGGTTAGGAACTCTTTTTTATTTTATCAGTTTATCTGATGGTCTGTGACCTCACATGACCCAGTGGTAGTGGTAGGTGTAGTGGTAGTAGTATTGGTAGGAGTAGCGGTAGGGGTAGTGGTAGTGTTAGGGGTAGTGTTAGGGGTAGTAGTAGGGGTAGTAGTAGGGGTAGTGGTAGGGGTAGTAGGAGTAGTAGTAGTAGTAGGGTAGTGGTAAGGGTAGGGGTAGGGGTAGTAGTAGGGGTAGTGGTAGTGGTAGTGTTAAAGGTAGGGGTAGGGGTAGGGTTAGGGATAGGGGTAGTGTTAGGGGTAGGGGTAGTAGTAGGGGTAGTGGTAGTGGTAGGGGTAGGGATAGGGGTAGGGGTAGGGGTAGTGGTAGGGGTAGGGGTAGTGGTAGGGGTAGTGTTAGGGGTAGTGGTAGGAGTAGTGGTAGGGGTAGTGGTAGGGGTAGTGGTAGGAGTAGTGGTATGGGTAGAAGCAACTTAGAAGTATGGCCCAGGCCGATCCAATGTGACGTGGTAACCTATACAACCTGGCCTGACCGAAGGTGACATGGCCTGACCCAGTGTGACCAAAGATGACCAACTTGACCTGACTTGACCCCGTATGACCCAAATTTCATCCAACTAAGCCCTCAGAATAGTTATGTTCAAAAATTTCCTCCGCACGTTCCCGTCCATATTTCTTCCAGATTATATTGCTTTGCCCCTAACACCAGATTCCAGTCCATATTGCTTCCAGACGGCAGATCGATTTAAATCAAACACCATTCGAAAGCAAATTGGCTGGTGCCGCATTTTCTGGCTACGCCGCGAAGCAAGTGGCGCAGCCGCTTGTGTATAACTAAATAAAGCGGCGGTACATGCATGGGTAAATCACTGAGCAGTTTAAAATAAAAAAGGTATTTATGGTGTGCATATGATCTATAAGGTTTTTGTCAGCGTGCGAGGCCTTAGAGCTAGCCTCCTTTGTTTTAACATCACGGACGGCACGTATGCCACCCACACACTTGTTTTTATTTGGCCCAATCACTCTGAAATTTCTCAAACTCCCTGACCGGTCAGTGAGTTTGCAAACTCCCTAGTGAATTTGTTAACTCCCTAGTGAGTTTGCAAACTCACTGATGGGTCGGGGAGTTTGCAAACTCACTAGGGAGTTTGCAAACTCACGGATTTCTCAAACTCCCTGTAACATATACATCATATACTGTAACCAGTGGTTTTCGCATGCGTTAGGATGAGCGATAAACGATAAACGATAATTATCGCTGTTAAGTAAATCGACTATCGTTATCGTTTATCGCTAAATTTTCAAAATTATCGCTCATCCACTTATCGCAAGTTACAACAATTATGAACGATAAACGATAAAATGTAAAACGGGATGATGGAAAAATGGAAGACGATCGACAGTGTATGCCGCGCGACAGTACTTGTGTGCGCAACCTGTTGCCATCTGCCAAGTGTATACATCTGCAAATAAACTTTAAGTGCACTTATTTAAACTGTTTTTCTTATCGCTTTTGTTATCGCTGTTAAAAAACAATTATCGTTATCGTTGTATCGTTTATCGTTTAGTTATCGCTGTTAAAAACAATTATTGTTATCATGTTATCGTTTTATCGCTATCGCTGTTAATTTTTTGCAAATTTTTATCGTTTTTCGTTTATCGTTATCGCAAACCTTACTTATCGTTTTATCGTTATCGCAGGTCCGAAATTTAGTTATCGCGGAAAGCACTGTCTGTAACTATCAAGTGTCAGGCTATCAGACGTTATGCTATCAGACGTTCAAACACACGCATGACTCATTTCCGGTCCGGGCGACGGGTGCCGGGGTTCGCCACTCGTATGTACGTACATAATCGATATCATTATATAGTGCTAGACGCTAGTGTTATCATTGCGTTAGTATGTGTGTGTGTTGACTCACAGACTGATGAGTCTGCAGTTGAATTCATCTGTAGTTGGGCTTTTAGCAAATCGTGCAATCACACAGTCAAGCATGATAATCACTGTGATGATGTGATCCATAGCAATGTTATCTGGCAAACAACCTCGTCACGACCATCGTCACCAACGTAGACCGGCGTTACAAACACCGGGCCATATTCTCAGCGCTGCGTCTGTCAGCTCTGGCGTCCGTCCAGTACTCGGTGATCGGCCGGCCGCAGCTCAGTGGTGACCTCTCTGACCTGCCGGCCTGCCAGTCCTACTCCGTGAGAGCCTCGTACAGCAGGTTCGTGACATCGTTGACATCGCGTCTGCCGGCGGGCGGCAGAATGTTGGCAATGACGCCGATGCGGCTCCGCAGCAGATCGGCTCCGTCCCGCACCGAGCCTGCCAAGGGAATCGGATCGTCAGGCGGGGAGCGCGGTCACGCGGCCCACAGCGCCGCCGCTCTCTGCCTGGGATATGGTCCGAAAAGGGCAATGTCAGACTCGCCACGGCTGTCGGTGAAGTACCCTTAAAAAAAGTACCCTTGCGGCCCTGGTGGCGCAGTCGGTTAAGGCGTCGACCCGCGGTGCGGGCGGTGCCGGGTTCGGGTTCGATTCCCGGTTCCGCCCGTTTCGAGGGCGTCGTCCCCGGCTGTGTCACCAGGTGTGGGGTAGGCTCTCATTTCAGCCGTAGCCTGGGCGGTGGGGGAACAAGGGCCAGGAGGAGGAGGAGCCCTCCTGTAAATGGGACACAAGTGCCCGTTGGAGGGAGGCCTGAATAAAAAAAAAAACAGGACATGGTATAATTAATAATATGTGTTAGCCACCGCCCGTATTGATGTTTTGCCAGCCGCGAACCGGAACGTATAGGGAGAGGGCAAGCCTTGTCGTTCGGCCCCCGAATCGAGCTCGAGCTTCGCGAAAAAAAAACGAGCGTGCTGCCCGTAACGAGAGGCGGCGATGCTACCCAATCTTAACCCGCGCCCAGATGGGGTCTGCCGAGCAACGCGGTCTGATGGGGGGGGGGCATTTTGGCCCCCCCTCAGATCTCGAGAACCACGCAACATAGCGACAAGCGGTAAACGGTGTTGGATAGCCCCAACGGGGAACTACCTTGTGACCCAATTTCATTGACCTCGGTCAAACCGATGACGTCACAGATCAGGTCAAAGGTCGAATTTTCACCGTTTACAGGCATTTCAAGAAATGCGTTGTAAAATCGTGTAAAATGCATTTCATTGAAAATCATCGATGGGGAAATGTTCTTCAAACACATATTTTGCTATTTGAGGTCACTGATACCAGGTCAGGTCACAGAGGTCAGGTCACTGGGGGGTCACAATATGAAAGTGTCGTGTGATACATGTTTTATGGTCCATTTTACATGACAAATGCGATTATGTGGGTCAGACAGACTTTAGGGCCAGCTTAGGTCACGTTTTGGTCAAGGTCAGGTCAAGGTCAGGTCAAGGTCAGGTCAAATTAGGTCAAATTTCAAAGTTGATATTTTTGCATAAAATGGGTATCGATTCGATGCAGCTCGTCTCGGGGAGTTCAATGGTGGTCTCTGTTTTGCGCTACGAGGTCTAGAATTGCTAAAAATTGAGTTCAAAAATTTGACGTCATCAATTTTTAACAGTTTTTTCGCTATAACTTGGCCAAAAAAAGAGGTATCGATCTAAAATTTGGTATGTATATCGAAGAGCGCAGGGACTATCACATTTATTCCGGTTTTTTCGAAATTCGAAAATGTTTTGGAAATTTTTTGAGTTTTTCTAAAAAAAATCAATTTTTTTGATTTTTGGGGGTCAAAATCCCAAAATTTAGAAAATCCGAGATAACAGTTTTGTAGCGCCGTCTTTTGTCTACACAACCACATAAAGAACTTTAAAATTGCTTGTTAACTGTAGAATTGGTGAGCGTTTCAAGATGTCATGTTTTTTGCTCATTTTTACTCGAACATGACCTCAGTTTGACCTCAATAACTCCTGACCTGAGGTGACCTGTGACTTGAAATTTTGTGTGAAGGTGTCAAATTGATATCCGGTAAGGTACCCAAAAATTTGGTGGCGCTGCGCGTCGCCGTTTTCTCGCTATTTAAGAAAAACCTTAGGGGGGCCAAAATGGCCCCCCCCATCAGGGCGCGGGTTAAAGGGACCCTCCCACCTTCAAAAAAGTTAATGAATTGGCATGAAAGTGATGTCGCTCGGTTCAGAAAGAGCAAAAACGAATGTCTACCAATTTTCACCGAAAAATATTCACCGGTTTTCAAGATATTAGACTTTTACTTTTGTTTACTTTTTGGGATCTCCGCTGTTCCTAGCGACTTCATTTTCGAAGTGCGGCGTTTGCGGCAGATGTTGCGCGCAAATAGCATATACCACCACTGCTTCACAAAGCTGTTAGTATGAGGTTTAAAAATCGTTAGATCACCGCTGAAGTCACAAATTCTTAGGGGGTATCCCAATGCATTATCCCCTTAGAATCCGAAAACTGCAAGTTTGAAATTCCATATCTCCGAATTAAGGCATTTTTCGATGTTGTGAGTGCCCAAACCGGTATTTGCAGCCGCAGGCCATGCCCATGGCCACCAATTTGGCTATCTCACCTCAAAACTTTTGTTAAAGGGACACTCCCACCTTAACATTAGTTTTGAGTTGAGATAGCCAAATTGGCGGCCATGGCCTGCAAATACCGGTTTGGGCACTCACAACATCGAAAAATGCTTTAATTCGAAGATATGGAATTTCAAACTTGCAGTTTTCGGATTCTAAGGGGCTAATGCATTGGAATGCCCCCTTAGAATTTGTGACGTCAGCGGAGATCTAACGATTTTTAAATCTTAGACTAAAACCATCGTTAACACGTGGTGGTATACGCTGCTTTGCGCGCAACGTCTGCCGCACTTTAAGGCTGCCAAATTATTGCTTCCAAATAAAGTCGCTAGTAACAGGGGAGATCCCAAAAAGTAAACAAAAGTAAAAGCCTAATATCTTGAAAACCAGTGAATATTTTTCGGTGAAATTTGGTAGATATTCGTTTTCGCTCTTTCTGAACCAAGGGACATCACTTTCATGCCAACATTAACTTTTTTGAAGGTGGGAGGGTCCCTTTAAGGTGGGATGGTCACTTTAACCCGCGCCCCACTGGGGTGGGGCGCCGGGGCCCGGGGCTATTCAAAGCCCCTCCCCCTCTCGTTTTTCTGCAATATGTTCTGAACCGCTGGACATATCAACACGAAGCTTGCAGTGTCTCTGGCTACAACAATTTGACACATTGTGTCAAAATCAAAACTTCGTAGCTACTCTAGGTCGGCCGAAAATGACGCTAGAGTGACGTCATATTCGGCTGATTCTTATTCAAAACATTGAACTACGGCAATCGCTGTCAATAGCTCAATTTTTCAGCTACATCCCATTTTTTGCATGTGATGACTTAACCCGCGCCGTGCTGGTGGCCTAAACTTTCCGCCGAGTGCTGGGGGGGGCGTTTTCACGCCCCCCCGTCTAACTCGGCTCCTGGGCCACGTAGCGACACGCGGTAAGCGGCAATCGAAAGAGCGTCGAAAATAAGGACGAAAACACTTCGGTCATTTTTTGGGTCAGGTCAAAGGTCAGGTCACCAGAGGTCACCAAAGGTAAAATGTTGACTATTTCAACATTTTGGAAACTGCCAACGGCTATCTCGGGAACCGATAGAGCTACAGCGCCGCGGAAAAGCGCATTCGATAGCCCTTTTACAGACCTTTCTGAGTATTGTTCTCAGATTTGACCTCAGGTCAACGGTTTAGGCTCCAGAGGGCAAAAACTCCAAAAATAGCCGTTTTTACGAAAAACGTTTTTTCGTCAATAACTTTTGACTCATAAGCGCCATGACATTACTTTTGCCAGCATCGTGTTCCTCTCGTTGAGACGCGTCGAATGAACTATTTGTTGACCTTGAAAGGTCATTTTGAAAATTTGACCTCAGGTCAAGGTCATGACCTGACCGAAAAGGGTCATGTTGCATATCAGTCGATCCGTATCGTCGAGCTGAACACATCTGACGTGTTTTCACCGCTCTAGCACGTCTCTATCAAAAGTTATAGCCAAAAAACTGCTGGCGACCGTTCATGACCTGAGATGACCTCAGGGGCACACAGAGGGGTCACAGGTGCATTTTTCCTATTCAGTGTGTCATGTTTACCTATGAACCGATGTTTGAGAGCATTTTGAACGATATTCGTCCAAAAGAGGCGCATTTCAATTTTCTCCCATTGACTTATAATGGAGAGGTCGCAAAATTGACCTGACCTTAGGTCACAGATATCAAAAATCCGAGATATACATTTTATACATACTGTTACTCATATCAATCGCTGAAAGTTTCAAAGTGATCGTTCAGTCGGTGTAGCTATAGCGAGCCTTTGAACTTTTTCTGAGGTAAGGTCACTTGACGTGACCTGGTGACCTGACCTTGAACGTCCTAGGTCTGAAATTTTCACAACATGTGCGGAAATGATGTAGGAACGCGTGTACCAAAAACGGCGGCGCTGCGCGCCGCCGTTTTTGAGATATTCGCGAAAAACCTGAGGGGGGGGCGTAAAAACGCCCCCCCCCAGCACGGCGCGGGTTAAGATATACTGGGCTATCAAACTGCAATCGCGGATTTTGAAAATTTTGAAAATTGTAAAAATAATTAAGACGAACACTCCAAAATTGTATTTTTGATTTTTTTTTTACTATTAATTTTAACTTTATCCCAAAAAGAAAAACAAAGATATGATATAACCCGCGCACCGAAGGGGGGCCGGTTATCCCCCTCTGAGGTTTTTCGTGAATAGCGGAAAAACTTGGCATAAAAAAATTTGGCATGACTATTTTCGTACCAATTTTACATATGGTGTGCAAGTTTGAACCTCCTAACTTTTAAGGTCAGGTCACCAGGTCACTTTGAATGACCCAACCTCAAGTCACTATTTTGTAACTTTGCCACAGTGTCAGAGCTATACAGTAGATGACGTAGGCCTTTGAAAGTCGCAGAATGTTATCAGGTCATTGGTGGCTACAATTTGTTTATCTCGGAATTTTGATATCGATGACCCAAGGTCAGGTCAACTACTCGACCTCCCCATTATAAGTCAATGGGGGAAAATCAACTCCCTGTTTTTTTTTTTCACTAAAACGCGTCGGAATGGCCCCATATACCCTACATGACTTCATATACGATCAACCTCCACTAACTTGAGGTCTGTTTTGCTGTTGGCCAGCTCTAAGGTCATGCGACGTCATCAAAGGTCACCAACGGTTTGTTGCCAATAACTCCTTACAGGAACAAGATATGACCAACCGCGCGGATGGTCTCATTGTGTTCAGCTCGTCAAGGCGCATCGAATGATATGCATGATGACCTCGAGGTCACGTGCCTGAGGTCAACCTTTGACCTTGACCTTTCGAGGTCAACATATAGATGGTTCGATGCGGATTGACGAGAGGATCACGATGATGCCGTTAGTTTGTTTCTAGCTTAACTAATTCGAACGCTATTCGAGAAAAACTCTCTACATATCTAGCGCCAACATTTTGACTTTTTTGACCCCTGTGACGTCATCTTTGACCTGACCTGGTAATGATCTAGAAAAAATTGTAGACCTTATACATGCGTACCCCATGTCGTTTGCCGCTTGTCGCTATCTTGCTTCGTTCTCGAGATCTCAGGGGAGGGTTCCATCTAGCTTGGCAACTCGACGCAACTTGACGCAGTATCGTGGGCCGTTGATAAGATCGACAACGGTGAGCTCACGTCGATAACGACGATCGACCTCAGTAAGGCCTTCGACAGTGTTGACCACGGCGTCCTCTTGAAGAAAATGGCATGGATGGGTGTGCCTTCACATTGGTTCGACAGTTACCTAAGCGGACGGGGGCAAATGGTACGAGGTGGGTCCAAGATTTGTCCTGTGAACTTCGGTGTTCCTCAGGGATCTATTGTGGGACCTATTTTGTTTAGCATATTTGTGGCAGATCTTCCGGGACATCTTCCCTACGGCCGTTTGGTTTTCTATGCGGACGACACGCAGCTCCTCGCTCGTTTGGTGTCTCCAGACAGTGAGAGTTTGTCACAGCTCAGAAAGCGCATAGAAAAGTCAATGGCTTATGTTCAAAACTGGTTTAGAAGTAATTCTCTAAAAATGAATGCATCAAAAACAGATTTCATCCTCCTTGGCACCAAAAACTCGCTTCAAAAAGCATCTGGTTTCGCTTTCACGTTGTCAAACAGAACCTTTCATTCTTCAAAAACGATCAAACTTCTTGGTGTAACTGTTGACCAGACGTTAACATGGAATCAACGCATCTCATCAGTTGTGCGCCGTTGCTACAGCATATTGATTTCGCTTTACTGATTCAGGCGTAGCTTCACTACCGAGGCCCTGCTTACTATCATCAAAGCTCATATCTTCCCTCAAATTATCTACTGCTTACTAGTTTGGGGCGGAGCTGCCGACAAAGAACTTAAGCGACTGCAAAAAAATGATTAACCCGCGCCCGGCTGGGGGTCCTGGATTTCCACGCCCTGCTGGGGGGGGTGTTTGAACACCCCCCCCTTGTAACTCGGCTCCTGGGCCACGTAGCGATACGCGGAAGGCGGCGTTCGAAAGAACGTCAAAAATAATGACGAAATCACATAGGTCAATTTTTTGGTCAGGTCAAAGGTCAGGTCACCAGAGGTCATTGAAGGCAAAATTTCGCCGATTTCCAGGTCGAATATCGAAAATTTCCAAGAAGCCAACCCATAACTCGGGAACCAATAGAGCTACAGCGCCGCGGAAAAGCGCATTCGATAGCCCTATTAACGCCCTTTCTGAGTAATTCTCTCAGATTTGACCTAACGTCAACGGTTTTGCCTCCAGGGGGCAAAAACTGCAAAAATAGCCGATTTTTTCGGAAACAGTTTTTCGGCAATAACTTTTGACCCAAGCCTTGTACGAGCTTACTTTTACCGGCATCGTGTTCCTCTCGTCAAGACGCATCGAATGAACTATAACTTGACCTTGAAAGGTCAACTTGAAAATTTGACCTCAGGTCAAGGTCATGACCTGACCGGAAAGGGTCATGTTGCATATCAGTCGATCCGTATCGTCGAGCTGAACACATCTAAGGCGTTTTCATCGCTCTAGCATGCCTCTATCAAAAGTTATTTGCGAAAAACTGTTAGATACAATTCGTGACCTAAAATGACCTCAGGGCATAAACAAGGGTCACGGACACCATTTTCATGTTCAGTGTGTCTAAACCACTTGTAATTCAGTGTTTGGGAGTGTTTATAATGTCTTTCGTCCAAAAGAGGCGCATTTCAATTTTCTCCCATTGACTTATAATGGGGAGGTCGCAAAATTGACCTGACCTTAGGTCACCGATATCAAAATTCCGAGATAAACATTTTATAGATACTGTTACTCTTATCAATCGCTGAAAGTTTCAAAGCGATCGGTCGCTCGGTGTAGCTATGACAGACATTGAAACTTTTTATGAGGTGAGGTCACTTCAAGTGACCTGGTGACCTGACCTTGAATGACCTTGGTCTGAAATTTTCACAACATGTGTAGAATTGATGTATGATAAGGTATACCAAAAACGGCGGCGCTCCGCGCCGCCGTTTTTGAGATATTCGCGAAAAACCACAAGGGGGGTGTTCAAACACCCCCCCCCCCCAGCAGGGCGCCGGTTAACTTTGCGGCTCGTTTGGTGACCGGTTCGAAGCGCCGTGATCACATCACACCAGTTCTTAAGTCGCTCCACTGGTCACGGATTGGCGAGCTGGTGGAGGAGCGTGATCGACTGAAGGTGCACCGCGCAATCTGCGATCCCCATGCACCAACCGTGGTACAAGACATGTTCAAACGTCGATGTGATGTGGCGACTCGTGACACGCGCCTGACAGATACAGAGCAGGTGCACCTACCAAAAGTGCGGCTTATTGCCACTCAAAAACACTTCATGTACAGGGCTGGCTCGGCATGGAACCGGCTGCCCCGAGAGATCCAAGGTATGTCCAACATATTTGCTTTTAAGCGGGCGATCAGGCCACCACGAAATGTATAGTTTGATGCTGGCCTGAAGTGGTCTAAGGTCTTGGTCCTGTTTTTCTTTTTCTCCTCTTTAGTGAACTCGAACGCGGCTCGAGGAAAGTGCATGTGCATTGTGCATAGTGGTTCCCTGATCATGTGCCATCCTGAAATAACTATGCCTGCATGGAAGGATGTGCAAAAAAAAAAATACAGAAAAGTATATTTGCCCCCCCCCCCCCTCCCCAAAAAACAACAGATTTTTGTTTTTTGTTGCCACACATGGCGGATATTTTGCTTAGTGATAGACCCAATCGAAGGAGTGGAGCATGACGCATCCATGTGCAATGATTTCCGACCGACTGATAACATAGCCTTTGAGTTATCATCGGTTTTGTCGAAAACAGAATACCTACCATGCAGTGCGCTAAGGGCTGTACACTTTTTTAGTCCAAATTTCACCACGTACACAGCCCTGAAACACTACCTTTCCCTTACCATTGTGGATTTTGTTGATATCTTGTGGGTACAGGACGCTGATTCCCGATACGCTGGCGATGAGCTGCAGAAGTTGCGCTATCTCGCGCAGCAGTGCCCGCTGCTGATCGTCGCCGGCCTCTATGGCCTCGTAGAGGTCCACAATTTTACCCACGCTGTCGCCGATCTTTGTGCGCGCATCACCGCCACGGCCGAACTGCGGCACCAGCCTCAGGAACTCGAACACCTGAAATCCGACGGAACTGCGGTAGGTATATAGCCCAACAAATTGAACACGTCGAGCACGTAACTCAGGAAAAAGGGACACCTTAACCCGCGCCCCAGTGGCGGTCTCGGCCAACTTCGCCCTGCTGGGGGGGGGGTGTTTGAACACCCCCCCTTGTAACTCGGCTCCTGGGCCACGTAGCGATACGCGGAAGGCGGCGTTCGAAAGAGCGTAAAAAATAATGACGAAATCACTTCGGTCAATTTTTTGGTCAGGTCAAAGGTCAGGTCACCAGAGGTCATTGAAGGCAAAATTTCGCCGATTTCCAGGTCGAATGTCGAAAATTTCCAAGAAGCCAACGCATAACTCGGGAACCAATAGAGCTACAGCGCCGCGGAAAAGCGCATTCGATAGCTCTTTTAACGCCCTTTCTGAGTAGTTCTCTCAGATTTGACCTAACGTCAACGGTTTTGCCTGCAGGGGGCAAAAACTGCAAAAATAGCCGATTTTTTCGAAAACAGTTTTTCTGCAATAACTTTTGACCCAAGCCTTGTACGAGCTTACTTTTACCGGCATCGTGTTCCTCTCGTCAAGACGCATCGAATGAACTATGACTTGACCTTGAAAGGTCAACTTGAAAATTTGACCTCAGGTCAAGGTCATGACCTGACCGGAAAGGGTCATGTTGCATATCAGTCGATCCGTATCGTCGAGCTGAACACATCTAAGGCGTTTTCATCGCTCTAGCATACCTCTATCAAAAGTTATTTGCGAAAAACTGTTAGATACCATTCGTGACCTAAGATGACCTCAGGGCATAAACAAGGGTCACGGACACCATTTTCAAGTTCAGTGTGTCTAAACCACTTGTAATTCGGTGTTTGGGAGTGTTTATAATGTCTTTCATCCAAAAGAGGCGCATTTCAATTTTCTCCCATTGACTTATAATGGGGAGGTCGCAAAATTGACCTGACCTTAGGTCATCGATATCAAAATTCTGAGATAAACATTTTGTACATGCTATTGCTCTTAGCAATCGCTGAAAGTTTCAAAGCGATCGGTCACTCGGTGTAGCTATGACAGACATTGAAAGTTTTTATGAGGTGAGGTCACTTCAAGTGACCTGGTGACCTGACCTTGAATGACCTTGGTCTGAAATTTTCACAACATGTGTAGAATTGATGTATGATAAGGTGTACCAAAAACGGCGGCGCTCCGCGCCGCCGTTTTTGAGATATTCGCAAAAAACCACAGGGGGGGGGGGGTGTTCAAACACCCCCCCAGCAGGGCGCGGGTTAAACCGCGCCCCAGTGGCGGTCTCGGCCAACTTCGCCCTAGTGGGGGGGGGGGGCATATGTTACCACCCACCTCTAATTAAAAAACTAAGCGGACTAGAAAAACGCGGTAAAAAGCATTCGATAGCTCTCAATACGTACGTTTGAAAATATTTCTGTCATTTTTCATCTTAGAGCAATATTGGGGTCACCGGAGGTCAACAAAGGTCAAAATTTGTCAAATGTCATTATATTTTTCAGAAAACATGCAGTTATCTCAGGAGCTATGATAGCTATAAAAAATCGCATGGAGAGCAATCGATAGCTTTTGAACTCTTCTTTTGATAAGGTCATTATCAAAATTGACCTCAGGTCAACGGTTAAGCCTCCATAGGTCAAATATTGTGAAAATAGCTGTTTATGGATAACACTTTTCACGAATAACTTTTGAACAATAAAAGATGAAGAATTGGCAAAGGCACTATCGTGTTATTCTCCTTCAGCCGCTTCGAAACTTATATTTTTTACCTGGAAAGGTCAAGGTCAAATTTTGACCTCAGGTCAAGGTCACGTAGTGACCTAAATAGGTCATGTTGCATATCATTCGATGCGTCTCGACAAGACAAACACAATGAAGCCATCCCCATCGTTCTATCTCTTTCCAATCGGGAGTTTTTGGCAAAAATCTGTTTGTAGCCTCAAATGACCTCGGATGACCTTTCTAGAGGCTATCAGCAAAAAAGACACCTTGGTCGTCACGGATGGTCCAAATCATTGTGAATCTGAAATATTTGGACTGTTCCTATGCGTACACACGGATCTAGAGGCATTTTCATTTTTCTCCATTGACTTATAATGGAAAGGTCACGCCACTGTCCTGACCTTAGGTCACGGATATAATTATAAAAATCCGAGATAAATAAATTATAGGTGCCCATAACATCATGCAATCCACCAAGTTTAAAACCTCTCTTACAAACACTGCTGGCTGGACATGATTGCAATTTTTTAGGCTTGGTCAGTTAACCCGCGCCGGGCCGGTGCACAGTGGGGATTTTTCCGATCTAGCGCCTATTAATTCAAAAAATATTTTTTGGATTTTTGTTTATTTTTTGTGTCAGTAGGGCTAAGAAATGTCTGAATTTTTCATATATGGCATTGTTTTATCTGTATGTCCACAGCAAAACTAGGAAAAATGCGCCCAAAGTTCACACTCATGCGTGATTACTCAATGGGCTCAGCAAGGCCCGAAAGTATAGCTCAATTTCATTGTCCTGTCCTGTTGGTTTTAATCTTGCGAGGTCTTAAAGTTGCATATCGTCTGAAAGGCACCTTTATTAGGAATGGAATGGCAAACAGAAAGTATGCCACAACCTTACTAAGGTCACAAAAATGCCCTTTACAAAAAACCCTTACAGACACCATATTGAAGGAATGGTATTCTAAATAAATGTAGGAAATCAACAATGTTCTCCACACTTTTCCACTCCGAAATATATCCTATCGAATTCGCCACTTTCTTCTGCACAAGGCAACGCCTAGTTTGGCTGCCGAAACTTGCCTGAACACGGAATATTCACATTAGAGTATCTTAACACCCCACTCGAGGAGCGCTAGGGCAAACAGCACGATATAGGTATGTTCCGGACATAGGCGAATAATTTTACTTCGTGATTTATATGATGCATATTTTCTGAGACACATTCATTAGGAATAGGATGACAAGCGTAAATTATACATACCGTAACCTTATTAACCATCGCACTTGTGGGGAGGGGGAGGGGGAAGGGGTCGGATAAAACCCCATGGTTTTCCGCAAATTACTCGCGCAAAAAGCGGCTGATCGCGCCGAAACTTTGGGTACCCTCGAGATCATCAATTTTACATCTAACCTAAAAATTTCATGACTCTCACCCAACTGACCTTTGACCTGTGACATATTTCTCGAGACCATGTTTGGCCGAATCGTGATTCGGCGTATGCCAGCTCCACATTATCCGCGGTTTCCAGTCTTTTTGTGGTTTTAAACGTTCAAATATGTGCAATGATGTTGGTGCCATGCATAATGGTGGGAGTCAAGGTTTCGTGAAGGTCAAGTCAAGGTCATTGACCTTTTGATGACCTTGGTTCGCTTTTTCGAGTTTTACTTGTTTCTAGGGTAGTTTTTGGTGCTGATTTCGATTTTAGCAGCCATTTGAATATTTACGAAGTAGTTCTAGTGCCTTCGCTCCATGTTACGAAGCTATCAGTAGTAGGTGACACTTCTATGGATGGCCGGCAGGACGCCTACTAATTGATCTAACGTGACCTGACCCGACCTGACCTAAATGCTTAAAGACATCGTCTGTGATCAAAACTAACATGAAATTCGTGATCAGCACCCCAAAATACCCCGTAACACCCTAACTTTGCGAAGTTTCAAGAGGTCTCGATTTCCCAACTTTAGTTGGGTCATTAAACTGACTTGGAAAGTCAGCTTATGACCTTGGACTTTGAAATTGGATATATTCGGCCTAATTTCGTCATAGGCAGCACGCTTGACTTTTCCGCGAAGCTCTAGCTTGATCAGGGGCCAAACGGCTGAGCGGGGGGTCCAATTGAACCCCCTATACTATGTTGATTATGCACATTTACAGGTAAAATTCTCACCAGGACACACCAGCCAACATCTGTGCACAATCTGGCTACAATTCTACCTATGGTTTGCCCTCTACGAATAAATACGTGCTAGATCGGAAAAATCCCCACTGTGCGGTGCTCCGAGATTCCGCGCCGGGCCGGGAGGGGTGTCTGAACATCCCCCCTTCTAACTTGGCTCCTGGGCCACTTAGCGATCCGCAGTAAGCGGCAATAGAAAGAACGGCCAAAATAAGGACGAAAACACTTCGGTCATTTTTTGGGGTCAGGTCAAAAGTCAGGTCACCAGAGGTCACCAAAGGTAAAATGTTGACTATTTCAACATTTTGGAAACTGCCTACGGCTATCTCGGGAACCAATAGAGCTATATACAGCGCCTCAGAAAAGCGCATTCGATAGCCCTTTTACAGACTTTTCTGAATTTGTTTTAGATTCGACCTCAAGTCAACGGTTTAGCCTCCAGAGGGCAAAAACTCCAAAAATAGCCGTTTTTACGAAAAGCGTTTTTCCGGCAATAACTTTTGACTAAGAAAATCAATGACATTACTCTTGCCAGCATCGTGTTCCTCTCGTCGAGACGCGTCGAATGAACTATAATTTGACCTTGAAAGGTCAACTTTAAAATTTGACCTCAGGTCAATATCATGACCTGACCCCATGGTCAGGTCATGGGGTCATGATATGCAACATGACCATGATATGGTCATGTTGCATATCAGTCGCCCTGCAACGTCGAAACACATCTAATGCGTTTTCAGCGCTCTAGCACGCCTCTATTAGAAGTTAGTTAGCGAAAAACTTTTAGATTCTGTTCGTGACCTGAGATGACCTCGGGGACATAAAGAGGGGTCACACTCTGTTCCGTTTCAAGTTTGCAGCCGAAGTGCCCTGCTGAAAGCAGTGCGTGATTTCTGTATATACAGCTCTTACATTTTGAGGCGCAAATTCTTGAGCGGAGGAGCGATCTGCCGAAGAAACTCCGACTGCAAGCTTGATATGGAACAGACTATAGTCACAGTTGCCATTTTCCGATTCAGTGTGTCACGTTTACCTACACCGCGATGTTTGGAGTGTCTAGAATAGCGTTCGTGCAAAACAGACGTTTTTCAATTTTCTCCCATTGACTTATAGGGGAGAGTGGGGCAATGGCGACACCATAAGCATTTTGCTCAATAGCTTAGCTATTTGAAGCTATTTTATGGTGATTTTGACTGTGCTTATAGCCAAAGGAATAGGCTTTCAGATAACACCCAGTTTTAGTATCTCAGATCACTGATGACAGATTCAGAGCCTACGCGAAAATGTGGTGAAAAATAGAGGTGCAAAAAAGCGAGGGGTAATGCCGGCCACTAAGTGCAATAGCACAAAAAGTCGAAATATCGCCACTGGTATTCATCCTTAAACCGTTCTTTCGATGGAAATTTAAGTGAGAATTAAGAAACGACAACTGTATTCAGCAGTTAACAGTGCACTGCACTGCAACACAACAGCGCGGCGCCAACAGAGCAGCAAACTAACACAACCGGAAACAGCAAGCAAACTAACATAGCCGTAAACACAACAACCCGAAACGTTGAGCTTTTACGACAGAAGTCGCAAACAAAACCGCATGGAGTCATTCCGGACACGTGTCCGGTATTACCCCGAGGTCAGCTTTATTTTAAGAAAGCAGGCAGCAGTCAAAGGCATTGCGTCGCAAACGCCTCACATCCAGCAGTCGCCTAAGAAAGGCTTAATTGAAGGTCATTGCAAAGCAGCACTTCTGAAAATGCGTTAACGCATTTCACAGTCAGCAAAAAGATGCAACAAAAATTAAAAATCAGATACGAAAAACACATTTAACGCTATAAAAATGAAAATAATGGAGCTACCGTGACAAACTTGCACCACGTGCTAGAATGGCGCTCAACTGAAATGTAAACAACATCAGCTGATTAACCCGCGCCCGGCTGGGGGTCCTGGATTTCCACGCCCTGCTGGGGGGGGGGGGGGTGTTTGAACACCCCCCCTTCTAACTCGGCTCCTGGGCCACGTAGCGATACGCGGAAGGCGGCGTTCGAAAGAGCGTCAAAAATAATGAGGAAATCACTTCGGTCAATTTTTTGGTCAGGTCAAAGGTCAGGTCACCAGAGGTCATTGAAGCCAAAATTTCGCCGATTTCCAGGTCGAATGTCGACAATTTCCAAGAAGCCAACGCATAACTCGGGAGCCAATAGAGCTACAGCGCCGCGGAAAAGCGCATTCGATAGCCCTATTAACGCCCTTTCTGAGTAATTTTCTCAGATTTGACCTAACGTCAACGGTTTTGCCTGCAGGGGGCAAAAACTGCAAAAATAGCCGATTTTTTCGGAAACAGTTTTTCTGCAATAACCTTTGACCCAAGCCTTGTACGAGCTTACTTTTACCGGCATCGTGTTCCTCTCGTCAAGACGCATCGAATGAACTATAACTTGACCTTGAAAGGTCAACTTGAAAATTTGACCTCAGGTCAAGGTCATGACCTGACCGGAAAGGGTCATGTTGCATATCAGTCGATCCGTATCGTCGAGCTGAACACATCTAAGGCGTTTTCATCGCTCTAGCATGCCTCTATCAAAAGTTATTTGCGAAAAACTGCTAGGTACCATTCGTGACCTAAGATGACCTCAGGGCATAAACAGGGGTCACGGACACCATTTTCATGTTCAGTGTGTCTAAACCACTTGTAATTCAGTGTTTGGGAGTGTTTATAATGTCGTTCGTCCAAAAGAGGCGCATTTCAATTTTCTCCCATTGACTTATAATGGGGAGGTCGCAAAATTGACCTGACCTTAGGTCATCGATATCAAAATTCTGAGATATACATTTTGTACATGCTATTGCTCTTAGCAATCGCTGAAAGTTTCAAAGCGATCGGTCACTCGGTGTAGCTATGACAGACATTGAAACTTTTTATGAGGTGAGGTCACTTCAAGTGACCTGGTGACCTGACCTCGAATGACCTTGGTCTGAAATTTTCACAACATGTGTAGAATTGATGTATGATAAGGTGTACCAAAAACGGCGGCGCTCCGCGCCGCCGTTTTTGAGATATTCGCGAAAAACCACAAGGGGGGGTGTTCAAACACCCCCCCCAGCAGGGCGCGGGTTAATGATGGACAAAGTACTCACTAGAGATGGGTGGCCGGCATTACCCACCGTCCGCCATTGCCCCGCTCTCCCCTAATGGAGAGGCCGCAAAATTGACCTGACCTTAGGTCACCGATATCAAAATTCCGAGATTTACAAGATATACATTTTATAGATAATGCTGTTCTTATCAATCGCTGAAAGTTTCAAGGCAATCGATCAGTCGGTGTAGCTATAGCTAAGAATGCTCGTCATATAAGACGAGCATTCTTATTTTTTTCTGAGGTTAGGTCACTTGGCGTGACCTGGTGACCTGACCTAAGGCGACCTGGGTCTGAAATTTTTACAACATGTGCGGAAAAGATGCACGAACAGGTGTGCTATAAACGGCGGCGCGGAGCGCCGCCGTTTTTTAGATATTTGCGAAAAAGAACCGCAGGGGGGGGGGGTGTTCAAACACATCCGGCCCGGCGCGGGTTAACTTGACCTAGTGACCTGACCTGACATGACCTGGGGTCAAAAATTTTACACATTGTCCAAAATTGATGTGTAAAGAAAGATACTCCAAGCGGCGCGGGGTTATGCACCGCGGTTTTTATTCACACGCAAAGAAAAACGCGGAGGGTGGTAGCATATGCCCAGTGCCCACCCCCCACTGCGGCGAAGGTTAACTAAGACTAAGAGTCGACGGTCAAAGGCCGCTGGGACAAAATCGAGTTATTAGAGATGAGCAGCATCTTCAAATCTATATTTGTATGCGCATGGATGATAATATACCTATACAAAAGAGTCTCTCGCTAAGGTAAGAATGCGAACATTTCCACTGTTTGCCAGATCTATATCTACATAGAAGATTTAGGGACATCAGACATGGAAAGAGGCGCTGTAATCTCTGTAGTTCAAGCCAAGAGAGAAACTAGAGAGTAGAGCGCGTGCTTCCCTTACACGGAATAGTGATATAATCACTATTTTCGACAAATGGAACAATTTTCTCAGGAAGACATGCAACATCATTATTTTCACATTTCTTTGATGGTAATGCATGCAATCAAACGGTAAGTGAGCCATAGCTGTGCCTGTTGTCATTAAACTATGTCTACTTTTCGATAGGGGGCGGGGGCGGGGGAGCGGCACTGGTCCGGGGATTAGAGTGTGGGGGGCTGCACTGGTCCGGGACTCAGAGTGTAGGGGCGGGGCGGGGGGAGTGGCACTGGTCCGAGGCTCAGAGTGTGGGGGGCTGCGCTGGTCCGGAGCTCAGAGTGTAGGGGCGGGGAGAGCAGCACTGGTCCGGAGCTCAGAGTGTAGGGGGCGGGGCGGGGGCGGCACTCACCTTTCGCTGGATGTCGGACCGGGACATGGCGGCAGCCTGTTGCGCGGCGCACTCGGCACTGCCAGCCACTGTGTGCCGGCCGACGATAGTAGGGGAAGTTGGGGGAACGCCGAATACTTTTTTTCTGACGCCCGTAGCACGCAAGGTAGACAACATAAGCTATTCTTGTTGGCGTCATTCGAGAGGCCAGTCTTTTGTCTTTCAAACATACCAGGCGCATTTGATGAATTCGCATACCGTTAAGCGCAAAAGCTAAAAATATCAAAGAACTGACTTTTTCGGCGTTGCCCCGGACTGCGGGGAAAGCCGAAAATGGGATAAATGATCTACGAGGAATGCCGACATTGATGTTTTGCCAATTTATCTCAAACTTTATCCAAAATTTATCAAAAGCTGACACGCGTTTTAAGAGCTTGAGGACGCTTGGTGCACACTGGAAGTTATAATTGTGTGATATAATAAGAAAATGCCAGGTAAATTATTCCTTATAGGTAACAGGCCGTTGTGCCGGCTGAAAGTGTAATTTGTTTCACTAAAAATACGCGTTGCTATTCTACAGCAGTAAAGTCCACGTAGCGTGCTTTAATAACGTGCGTAATTGCACGTTTTCGGCATTACCCCAGCCAGCCATACTTTCATTTGCAGGCCCATAACTTTTAAACGTGCTGTATAAATTTCAAATAGGCAGCACACTTAGGCAAAGACATGCTGAAGATTACTTGACCGAATTGGCCAGACAAACGGTAGCATAATGAGTAAGAAATGCAGCTTCAAAGGCGCATGTAGTACAAGGGAAACGTACCTTGAAAACGCTTTTGGCGCCCTCACAGCCGAAGTATTCCAAATGACGACTCGTAACAAACATGCGATAATTGTAATCACTTAACCCTCGCCGGCCGAGGGGGGGGGGCGGGTGCCGCCCCCCCATAGGGTTTTTTCGCGATAGCTCCGAACACGCTGGCGATAGAGAGCTGAAACTTGGCATACCTGACCTTTGATCCAAGCCGGATCTTTTGACACCAACCGCATTTTTGGGTCAGGTCAGGTCACTGACCTATGACGTCATAAGTGAACCTCTGCACGGTCTTCAGATGTCGCAACTTCGCAACGCCCTCACTGCCAGAGGAGATGTCACAGGGAAATGAAACTTGCAGGATCTAGTATCCATTATGAGTCCCACAACTTGTATATCTCGGATTTTTCCTAAAGGTCATATGAGGTCAGGTCATTTTCGTGACCTCACCATTATAAGTCAATGGGGAAAAATTCAAACTGCTATTCTAGCGCCGGGAACGATCTCCAACTATCTCAAGCACACAGAATCGTGATTTGATGCACTCCTTGCAAGGTTAGATGCGTCACTTTTGCAATGTTGACCTTGCGTGACGTCATTTATGACGTCATCAAGGTCAAATTAGTTTTTCGTCAATAACTCTTGATCAAATTGAGCTAGCGAGTCGGGAAAGGCACCAATGGACTCAGGAAGGCCTGCCGAATCGAATGATATGCGACATGACCTCTTTCGACCAACTTCGTGACCTGGGGGTGCTAACCTGACCTTGACCTGAGGTCAACACCCCAAGTTGACCTGACCCGGACAAAAAGTATATCATTCGACGCGCCTGAGCGAGGCGAACACGATGCTGCCAAAATCAGCGCTCTGCGGCCGTTTTTTGCGAAGTTATTCACCAAAAACTGAACCGTACCCTGGAGCACTTGACCTGACCTCAGAGGTCACCGGTTGACCTAGGACCTTAAAATCGGGTACCAATCTCTGCGTCTCGTAACGGCGCACACGCTCCTTTTTTCCGCGACGCGCTAGCTCCACCAGGGGCGAAACGGCGAGGGGGGGGTCGTACCCGCCCCCCCCCCCCTCGGCCGGCGCGTATGTAGAAAACCAATAGGTCCGGCGAGGGTTAAGCTTCCGAGCATCACTGAGACGTGGCATCCATGTCGTACGGTTTTAGAAATATCTCGAATTTCGGCTTTGCCCCAACTCCGGCATTGCCCCAATTTCCCCTATAATACCCCGGTGGCCCCCAGAGCTATCGGCACTACTCGAGAGGCGTACACTGCAAGTACTTCATACGGCATATCGGAGAGCGCTCCCGACACTACATATGTGAGAGGATGGGGCGAGGGCGCATTAGTGGCGCTATTGCTACTGGGCGGGTGGGGGGTCAAATCAAACCGGAAACTTGTTCTGAGTGGGTTGCTAGTGCCTCCAATCTCGCTCTTTTAACCCTCGCCCGCACATGCCATTTTCCCATCCTAGAACGCACATGGGGGGGGGGGGGTGGTTGCCACCCCCCCCCCCCCCGCGCCATTTCGTTCCTGTTGGAGATAGAGCTTAGCAGTAAATACCAAAAAGATTCTTTGGGAAGAGACAAATCCAATGATACCCAGTTTTACCTTCTCAGGTCAGTCATTGACCTTCCAGGTCAGGTCAAACTAAAAAATGTTGCTGTTTTGGGTCACCGTTGGATATCAAGTGCGCTGCTTATCAAATACCGATGACGATGCTGTTTTCTGGTGCCAAGCCAGCTAGAACCTCTTTGTCACACTATCCGACCAGAATTTTGCTGCTGAGGTCATTTCAGGTCAAGTTAGGTCAAGGTCAATTATATGTGTTTATATGTCTGTGTGTGTCTGTGTGTATACTGATGTGTGCACCGATTGTTTTTGGGTCCATATCACATGAAATCATGATCTGAGAAGCTTTTACCAAAAATGCAGTCAAAAAACTTCACAAAAAGTAAATTCAGCTTGCCTAAAACGCAATTACCTACCTATCTTAGATGACCTAGGTTGACCTTGACCCTGACCTTGACCCCTGTACATCGTCGAACAACATGTTCCATGATAGGTGGGAGGTAAGACTGGCAAAAAAGGCCGAAATCAGGGCGTCAAAAGCTCACAAGGCCCATGGCAGACGCAAGATGTTGAGAATTGGCCATTTGGGTCATGACATGACCTGAAAAACAAGGTCATATCTCCGAAACCAAAAATCACAGAAACTTGAAATTTTCAGTGGACATCAAGAAAGGATAGACGAGCAGCTATACGAAAAATCAGCCTTCTAGCTCTAAAAATGTTGAGTGCAGAGCAGAAAGACTGCTTGGGGGGGGGGGGTGGCAACCACCCCCCCCCCCCCATGTGCGGGCGAGGGTTAATGCGTATGTGCCCACAGAGTGAACATGCCTTAGTTGAACTTTCCACCGTTTGGCCAAGATGATTGTAACCCTTGCCGGCACAGGCCATTTTGAGTCCTTCGACGGCACAAGGGGGGGGGGGGTGGTACGACCCCCCTCGCGTTTGGCCCCTGATGGAGCTAGAGCTTCGCAGAAAAAAAAAACGAGCGTGTTGCCCGTCAAGAGAGGAAGCAAATGATACCCAATTTTAAGGTCTTAGGTCATCGGTTGACCTTCCAGGTCAGGTCAATGACCCAAAAAGTATCGGGACCATGTTAGAAAGTCGTAAAGCGTGGCTGCTAAGGGGTTTTCCGGGGTGCTGATCACGAATATCGTGTTATTTTTTATCGCAGATGATGTTAAGCGCTTATACCAGGTCGGGTCAGGTCAGGTCAGGTCAGGTCAACCGGTAGGGGTCGTGACGGGTATTCGTAGTACCTGTCATCCGCCTCTGACAGCTTCGTAACATGTTACGAAGGCACCAAAACTACTTTGTAAATGTTCAAATGGTTGCTAAATTCGAATTCAGCTCCAAAAACTAGCCTAGAAACATGTAAAACTCGAAAAAGCGAACCGAGGTCACCAAAGGTCACTGACCTGACCTGACCTTCAGGTGACCTTGACACCCACCCTAATGCATGGGAGCAACATCAAATTACATGTTTGAACGTTTGAAACAACTAAAAGCTTGCAAACGCGCGGCTAATGCGAGCCGACATACGCCGAATCGCGATTTCGGCCAAACATGATCACGGAAAAAAGGTCGCAGGTCAAAGGTCATTGGGGCCAGGGTCATGACATTTTCAGGCTAGGTGTAAAATTGATCAAGGCGAGTGTACTGAAAGTTTCGTCGCGATCGGCCGCTTTTTACGCGAGTTATTTGCGAAAAGCCTTGGGGGGGGGGGGTTGCATCAACCCCCCCCGTGCCGGCGAGGGTTAATGCTTTGTTACATTTTTGGCAGTAAAATCTGTTGAATTTGTTACCTCTTCAGAAAGGCCGTTTCTGCTTGCCGGACCTATTGGTTTTGTACATACGCGCCGGCCGAGGGCGGGGTGGGGGGGTGTTGTGAGGGGCGAGTACGACCCCGCTCGCCGTTTCGCCCCTGGTGGAGCTTGCGCGTCGCAGAAAAAAACGAGCGTGTGCGCCGTTACGAGACGCAAAGATTGGTACCCGATTTTAAGGTCCTAGGTCAACCGGTGACCTTTGAGGTCAGGTCAAGTGCCCCAAGGTACGGTTCAGTTTTTGGTGAATAACTTCGCAAAAAAAACGGCCGCAGATCGCCGCGATTTTGGCAGCATCGTGTTCGCCTCGCTCAGGCGCGTCGAATGATATACTTTTTGTTCGGGTCAGGTCAACTTAGGGTGTTGACCTCAGGTCAAGGTCAGGTCAGCACCCCCAGGTCACAAAGTTGGTCGAAAGAGGTCATGTCGCATATCATTCGATTCGGCAGGTCTTCCTGAGTCCATTGGTGGCTTTCCCGACTCGCTAGCTCAATTTGATCGGGAGTTTAGGTATTGACGAAAAACTAATATGACCTTGATGACGTCATAAATGACGTCACGCAAGGTCAACATTGCAAAAGTGACGCATCTTACCTTGCAAGGTGTGCATCAAATCACGATTCTGTGTGCTTGAGATAGTTGGAGATCGTTCCCGGCGCCAGAATAGCAGTTTTCATTTTTCCCCATTGACTTATAAATGGTGGGGCCACGAGAATGACCTGACCTCATATAACATTTAGGAAAAATCCGAGATATACAAGTTGTGAGACTCATAATGGATACTAGATCCTGCAGGTTTCATTTCCCTGTGACATCTCCTCTGGCAGTGAGGGCGTTGCGAAGTTGCGACATCTGAAGATCGTGCAGAGGTTCACTTATGACGTCATAGGTCAGTGACCTGATCTGACATGAAAATGCGGTTGGTGTCAAAAGATCCGGCTTGAATCAAAGGTCAGGTATGCCAAGTTTCAGCTCTCTATCGCCAGTGTGTTCGGAGCAATCGCGAAAAAACCCTATGGAGGGGGGAGGGCGGCACCCGCCCCCCCCCTCGGCCGGTCGCCGCCCGCCGGAGAGGGTTAAGTTGACCTGACCTAAACAAAAAGTATATCATTCGACGCGCCTGAGCGAGGCGAACACGATGCTGCAAAAATCGCGGCTCTGCGGCCGTTTTTTGCGAAGTTATTCAGCATTCACCGAAAACTGAACCGCGCCTCGGGGTACTTGACCTGACCTCAGAGGTCACCAGTTGACCTAGGACCTTAAAACCGAGTACCAATCTCTGCGTCTCGTTATTGCACACACGCTCGTTTTTTCCGCGACGCGCTAGCTCCACCAGGGGCAAAACGGCGAAACGGCGCGCTAGCTCCACCAGGGGCGAAACGGCGAAACGGCGGCGAGGGTCGTACCGGCCCCCCCCCCCCCCTCAGCCGGCGCGAGTATGTAGAAAACCAATAGGTCCGGCGAGGGACCTATTGGTTCGAAACGAAACGCGTATCGAAAACGCGTATCGAAACGCGTCCATGCACTATTTGTTCCGTGTTTTTCATTATTTCTATGACGCTCGTTCTGCATTCGCTAGATTCCGGAGTCCCGTCTTCGTGCCTATGACGTCATATTTTACATATCTTTTTCCTCTTTTTTAAACACTTAAAACATAAAATCCCACGTGGCCCGTGTGGGCCAATTCGGTCTATTTGTTACACGACCTCGTGGTGCTCGGAGGTCGGGTACAGCTCGAAACATTTCCATTTTCCTCGGTGAAGCGGCATTTGTCGCGGAGAGGCTGTCATATTTTACATCCCATTATTCAGTACCTGATCATAGCATTGCCATTCATTACATATTAAAAGACATTTGCAAAACATGGTAAGTAGTTCGACATGGCGCGTTTTATTCCTAGATTTCAGTTTTGCCAATGGGTTGAGATTGCTCTGCTAGCAATTATGGAAGCAAATAATAGAAATACGGCTTCTGAATTAAAGTTATTTTCAAAAGGCTTTCAATGTTGTGCAATCATCATCAGCTCTCTGTCTCACTTCTCGGTGATTCCATGACATTTTTTTTTCTTTAGCAGATTTTCGTCTGACAGTAGAGGCGTTAACATAGGGTTTGTTGCAAGCTTTTACCTCCATCCATGATGTTTCAAAAGATGCCAATGTGCCGAGCAATTAACAAAATGATCCCCTATAATCATTTGAAGACCACTGCATCAAAATTATCGCCAATTAAACGAGCTAGAGCGTCATCAAAAATGTTATGTAAGAGCGACTAATTTTTTGTCCGCAGACTTATGTCAAACTTAATTCATCTCATATTTTTTAACTGTACATTTTTTGTCTGCATTTTTTTTTGGTCACACTTTGTTGTGGGGACATTTTTTCCTGTATATTTTTCTATCCCAGTCTGCTTTTTTCTTCTGGTCATTTTTGTCTACTTTTTTTAAACACCACCCTGAACATTTCTTTGTCCTAGCTTGTATAAAAGAATAAAAAATATAGGGAAACAGTATAGGTGGGATGATGAATACACAAAGAGCAGAATGGTTAGAACATGATCAAACCTTATACCTACCTACTGATTTTGGTATTACTTTAGGACCGGCAGCCTTTACTTTCGTTGGGAACCCCAAGTGATAGTAAGAAGCATATCACATGACATGGTTTGACCTGATTTCATAGCTGATAGTTATTCATGGCACAAACAAGTTTAAATGCACCAATACAATATTTACTGACACTGCCGTACTTCCTCACCGACTGCGTACTCCATCCGCCACGCAATGCGCTCCAAGTTTGAGTGAATACATATAGTGAATACATATTGCATGGCACCCTACTAACCGGTCCCCAACTGCGTACCAAATTTCAGTGCAATCGGCCTAGCTGTTCTTGAGATCTGGAAGCGCCCCCTGCATGTGCGCATGGTAGCACCCTAACCGCAACACATGGGAATGCATTGCCTGGTGGCTGCCTACCTGTAGGGCCAAGTTTCAGAGAAATCACCCCAGTAATTACCGAGTTATTGAAATGGGAACAAATTTGGTACCTCTTCATTTTGCATTTTGCACGTGCAGTGGGGGTCAATCACGTAGATCAAGATTCAAGAGAGTCCGACCTTTGGTGGAAGAGATGCAGCTACCCTACAAAAATTACCGTAAGACAATCGCCCAAGCGGCTGCTGAGATGAGCGTCTCAAAATCACTACTTTTGCAAAGCAGCTTAAACACCCTTGACTTTTCACGTGGCACGTGCCACGACAGTCACTGAGATGTATCAAAAGTAGTCAATTACGGGGTAGAAGGGATGGGGATACCCAGCAAAAAAGACCGCAGGTCAATCGGTCCGGCGGTTGCTGATATATAGGTAAGGCTCTCAAAAGCGTTACAAGCGGGGCCGGGACGCTCATACTGAGATTTTCTCGTTATATTGAAAAGACTTCGCTGTGCTCGCTCGCTCGTAATTAACCCGCGCCCTGGTGTGGGTCTGAGCCACCTTCGCCCTGGTGGGGGGGGGGCCAAAATGACCCCCCCCCGTCTAACTCGAAAACGAAGAGGGCTAGGAAGACGCGGAAAAAAGCAAACGAAAGCCCATAACAAGTACGTTCGAAAGTATTTCGGTCATTTTTTCGCTAAGGTCAATATTGAGGTCGCTAGAGGTCATCATAGGTCAAATTTCAGTGTTTTCGGTGTTGCCGGACATATTCCGCTGTAGCTCGGAAACTAGAAGAGCTAGAGAGCCGCGGAAAAAAGCAATCGATAGCTCTTTTCAAGCTCTTTCGCCAAGGTTCGTCAGATTTGACCTCAGCTCAACGGTTTGGCCTACAGAGGTCATGCAAGGTCAACTTGGCAAATTTCGTTGAAAATGTTTTTAACTATAGCATGCATTCACGAGAAAATAGAGAAACGATTCATGCACCATCGTGCTTGGCTCGTCGAGACGCGTCGAATGATATATAGTTTGACCTCGAAAGGTCATTTTGAAAATTTGACCTCAGGTCAAGGTCATGACCTTACCGAAATAGGTCATGCTGCATATCATTCGATCCGCATTGACGAGACAAACACGATAAACGTCGAACGGAGTCTCTATCTCTATTCAATAACAAGTAAGTGCAGAAAAACCGCTGGTGACCTCTGGTGACCAGGGAGATGACCTAGCGTGACCTCAGCGAGGTCACAAGCAAATGGTTTCACATGGGCTGTGATTTGCTGACCCAAGACACTTCAATAACGAAATATAGGAACAATCACGCCCGATTTAGCTGAAAAACAACTACTTTTCGATTCTCCCATTGACTTATAATGGGGAGCAGCGATGACCTGACCTGACCTTAGGTCACATTTATAAAAAATCCGAGATAGCCATTTTGTAGAGCTGGGTGACATCTTCAAGTACTGTAAATTTTACATCGATCGGATAAAAGCTGTGCCTTTGAGAGAGCTTTGAACTTTTTTAGAGGTGGTGTCAGTTTTGGTGACCTTGTGACCTGACCTGACCTGACCCGAACCCCCAAAAAAAGGACATGATGTAAAAATGTTGAATAAACAGCTATACAAAGTTTCAGGGCGCTAACTCAAGTGGTTTCTGAGTTATCGCTGAAAAACCACAGGGGGGGGGGGGCCAAAATGGCCCCCCCCCACCAGGGCGAAGGTTAACCTGCGCACCGACGGAGGTCCGCGCCAATTTAGAACCGACGGGGGGCGATTGACGGCCCCCCCCTTGAGATCTCGAGAACGAAGCAAGGTAGAGACAAGCGGTAAATGGCAGGGATGCGCACGGACAAGGTCTACAATTTTTACAATGGTCATGTTCAGGTCAGGTCAAAGATGAAGTCACGGGTAAATAGTCAAAATGGTGGCGCTATAGATATGAGGAGTTTTCTCTTATAACTTTCAAAGTAGCCAAGCTTGGAACAAACTAATGGCACCATCGTGACCCTCTCGTCAATCCGCATTAAATCATGTATATGTTGACCTCGAAAGGTCAAGGTCAAAGGTTGACCTCAGGTCACGTGACCTCGAGGTCATCATGTACATCATTCGATGATATACATGAATATCATTCATGTATATCATTCGGTGCGCCTTGACGAGCTGAACACAAGACCATCTGCGCGGCTGTAAAGCGTTCCTGTAAGGAGTGACATATTAGCAAAAACTCTTTGTAAACCTTTGTTGACATCACATGACCTTACAGTTGCTCAAGAGCAAAACAGGCCTGAAGGTAGTCAAGGTTGATCGTATCTGAAGTCATTTATGGTATATTGGGGGATTCTGACGCGTTTAGTGGGAAAACTGGGAGTTGATTTTCCCCCATTGAATTATAATGGGAGGTCAAGAAATTGACAACATCGGAGGCCAGGGCACCGGCGGCCGCCGCAGTGTGTGGCATGCTAAAAATGCGGTAGCGGAGAGCAAGGTTAGCGAATTTTAGCTCGGAAGACACGATTTTAGACACTTTTGACAATTGACATATTTCTAGTCTATTTATTTATTTATTTATTTATTTCACGTCGCGACAAACCCATCCATTCGAGAACGGTTATTCCGGGCGTCATGTCATTTGGAAGATGTGATGGATAAAACATTCGCTCTTAGCACACGCATACAAAACACACTCACGGGTCCTAATCGCCATACTGCTCTCGGAGTAGCAGTGCTCGGTACTGGGCTTTGAACTGCCGCGGCCCCAGGCCTCGCACGGCTGGTGGCAGTGAGTTGTATGTTGTCACGGCTGAATAAAGAAACCGTCGGCGGCCTGACTCTGTGCGGATCGCTGGGGTCTCGAAAAAGTCAGCTTAGCGGGTCTCCCTACCATGAACACTGCGGCGGGTAACAATGCCTTCACGCAGCGACTCAGGCTGTCCCGTAGCTAGCATTCTCTTGAGCAGAGTCACCGAATGAAACCGCCACAAGTTCTCAGCAGAGAGCCACTTCAGGGTCTTCATGACATCGCTGACATGGTCATACCTACGTCGGCCAGACACCACCCGAGCACCGAAGTTCAGTAGTCCTTTCCTATAGGTAGTTGGTACCGCCCGCCGCAGCGTCCCAAAAATATATTTTGGCTTGGGTGTCGGAGGTGAATATTCGTCAATACTAAGAGGGCTGAGAGTGGAAAATTGCCAGTCAGAAAGGCACTAAAAAGAGTTGAAAACAGAGATAAACAATTTATTTGTTTATGTTAGAGGGTGCTCTGGGGAGCTGCATTATATGACGATTAAACAAGATATGGAGAGAGGTAAAAGGTACACACCACGCGGATGCTCCCGATTGGTAAAACAGGGAGTGAAAATCGCTCTGGAAAATTGGAGGTGAGAGTGGAAATTATTTTCATTTGGGTGTCGCTTCCCACCCAAACTTGCGAATTTTGGGGTCACTTTGGTACGGCTCTATTTAGTCACTATCACATGCGTATTGTTTATCCATTGTCCGATGCCCATAAGCTGGGCCGATATTCTCGACTTGGCGATGCAAATTGTCGTCAATATCATCGTTCTTGAGCAATCACACAAGTCCTTGTAGGCGAATTAATATAATTATCGCCTTATTTTCATGTTATTGCAAAATATTTTCAAAACGTTCCCCAATTCCCATGCTACCAGATTCACAAAACTTTTTCATCAAAGTTGGTCACAAGTAAGCAATAAATGTCAAATGACAAAGGTATGCAAAAACTAGACACAGTCCGCCCATAGCACGCAATGCTAAATTGGCGTCTACGCCCTTGCCGTCGTTCAATTAGATGGTCGGAAAATCGGCGGAGTGTCCTGTGAATACCTAATCCAAGCTACAGTTTTGAAGATCAAGATGTCCAGCACAAAAATGTGTAGAAGTAACGGGGATACAAAATTGGTAGCTATCTGAGATTTCTATTTTTTTTTTGTTGTATTTTGACCCCCAAAAATAAAAAATAGATGTTATAAAGATAATCCTAAATGCCTCAATTTTCACAGTAAAAAATGTTTTTGTTCTAAAGGTTTTGCATCTATATAACAAATTTGAGACCAATGGCTTTACTTTAGAAAACTTAACGAAAAAAAACTTTCTGAATTGATTTTTTAACTCTAAAAAGTTAATTGTTTTCAAAACGGGCTTCGCTGAGGAAAACTAAATATTATAACCAAATATTTCGGCTTACATTATAACCAATATTTCGGCTTTCGCCTTGTACAGTGAACAAGGCTGATCAATAAAGCCGAAATATTTAGTTATAATATTTAGTTTTCCTCAGCGAAGCCCGTTTTGAAAACAAGTAACTTTTTATAGATCTATTAACTTGAGGAAAAGAATAATGACGCTTCGGCAACATCTTGATTTTTTTAATTTTCTTACTCGATTTTTAGCCTCTCTAGTCTCTAAACCTACGCCGGGTCGATGCACCGCGACTTCTGCACCGAGTCGCGAGTGCTTCAAATAATCGCTCAAAGATGTAAGTGGCTGTTCCGGATATCGGTCCACACGCGGTCGTGGCTTTGAGTGAGTCCCTGTTTGTCAGTTATCTGTCGCTGTTTTCTGAGTGGCTGTTTGATATGTCAGCCTCAGCACAGAGGTCGAAGTTAAGAGAAGTATGCCACTTTTGCTTTGAACTGGACTATTAGTTTTGTGGCCTGTGCTAAGACTAGCAAAAATCAGGATACAAATGTACCTACCTGACGTGCTGCCGCAGGCCGAGCCGGAGGTGAACCCCAAGGCGTACCCGCTGGCGGACGCGGCGCTGACGGCCAAGATCCTGAACCTGGTGCAGCAGGCGGCCAACTACAAGCAGCTGAAGAAGGGCGCCAACGAGGCCACGAAGGCGCTGAACCGCGGCCTGGCCGAGTTCATCGTGATGACGGCCGACGCCGAGCCGCTGGAGATCCTCCTCCACCTGCCGCTGCTCTGCGAGGATAAGAACGTGCCGTACGTCTTCGTCCGCAGCAAACAGGGTAAGCGGCCGGCCGCGAGAGGGTACGGTCAAAGTGTGGGAGCTGTTTGATAGTGACAAGACCAGCAGTCTGGTTATTGATAATTTGACAGGTAAATTTGACACACTAAACCGGAAAATGGCATCTGTGACCCTCGTTATGTCCCCGGGGTCATCTCAGGTCACGAACAGTATCTAACAGTTTTTCGCTAATAACTTCTGATAGAGACATGCTAGAGCGATGAAAACGCCTTAGATGTGTTCGGCCCGACGTTGCGGATCGACTGATATGCAATATGACCATTTCCGGTCAGGTCATGACCTTGACCTGGCGGCCGCTGGCGACCGGTTCTGTTCTGTTTGTGTGTGTGTCTGGCAGCTCTTTGGCGCGCTCTGACCGCTGACGGCCGGCTCTGTGTGTGTCTCTGACCGCTGACGGCCGGCTCTGTGTGTGTCTCTGACCGCTGACGGCCGGTTCTGTGTGTGTCTCTGACCGCTGACGGCCGGCTCTGTGTGTGTGTCTGGCAGCTCTGGGGCGCGCCTGCGGCGTCTCGCGCGCCGTGATCGCCTGCGCCGTGACCGTGGACGAGGGCTCGCAGCTGAAGCCGCAGATCCAGAGCCTGCACCTGCAGATCGAGAAGCTGCTTATCTGAGGCGGCGGTCCTTAGCGCGCGCCGCGCGGCGCCCACCCGCCGGCCGGACACGGCGCCCCAGCGCCCGGCCAGCGCTCACCGTCTGGGGTTTGACGTCATCCGGGTTCAGCGGGGCAGCCAGCGGCGAACTAGATTTGCTAACACTTTTCCCGTTTGGTTTTGGGATTCGAACTTAAGTCATTAGTGTTGAGTCATTTTGGCTGTAATTGATCACGAAGGAGACACATTTTGAGGTTTTTTACATCTCGTAATACAGTTCAAATTTGGGTTAGTTTCAACAGCACATACAATTCAGTTTTCTTCGCCGACGTCATTGAACTCATCTTCATAGTGCAAGTGTGAGTGTGCAGTGTTCGTATCGGTCATTCCGAACCGTGCGCCTGTTCCATTTGCGCCAGTGACCAACTGTGACCACTATGACAAATACACCGACAAACGGCAGTACGGACGGCAGTTTCCACCGCGTGCGCGACATTGCGTGATCATTTCTAAGGTATGAGCGAGACAGGGTTGATGTGTATTGTGTAGGTTACCTTGGGCGCTGCCGGCGCCGCGACTCAGACGACGTAGGGTCAGGGATCTTATACCGGCGTCTGTCATTACCAATGTCTGCGCGCCTTGTTTAGGGTGAGAGGCCGATATTACTTTTTTTTTGCTTGCGGCGTTGGTGGCTGCGATGTGACTGATGGTGTTTGTCTTTGTGCTAGTGGACTGTGCATCGAATCGGAACACAAATACGACGTAAAACTAGAATATAAAAAGTAGTCGTCTGTTTTAGGTAACATGCCAAAGGTTCCGGAATGGAAACATTTGCTTTGTTCTAGGGCCGAATTCTTATCAATCTTAACGACCTGCGGAGGTGCCGATGGGGTAGAGGCCATCTGGGGGCACCGACTGATCCCAAAAGGAGATTCAGCTTTTTTGGGACGCTGCACTGGGCGTACGGGACAAACTCGCGGATAAGTTCTGCAACTCCCCTTGGATGCTGCTGCTATAGGTGGTTCTTGTAGAATAGGGTGTATCGTCGAATTTTGATTTTTTTTTTAATCGTCTTCACTACTAAATTTTATTGGTCCCTGGCATGTTTGAAGCCGTAGGATACCAATCAAAAAAATCTGGGACGAAAACCTAGCCTGCTGCGAGCGGTTGAACGGAAGCCTGTCGGGACGGCGCCAGGCGTTGAAGTCTCCCCGTTAGTTACGCGCACACTAGCACCACGCGGCGGCTGGCGCCGTGCCGCCGCGTTCCCGTTCAGCCGTGTTTTAGCGTTCACTGACGGGTCGAAGTGATTATTCCAAGCTTTCCTAAGAAGCTTTCTGCCCCGCAGCTCATTATTGAGCAAGAATATCGCACAAACTGCATAGAACATTGACATGCAGGTTGTCGGCACATAGGAGAAGGGGATGTTTTGGTTAATGCCTCCTTTAATAGGAAGAGATTGTGGAAGAACAACACATTTCTCTTGGAAATTACTCATCCTCCTTCTTCCTACGTGCCTGCTTTAGTAATCGAAGTACCCCTATTGACTCTACGTTCTTGATTCGGCTGTCGATTTTATGCATGGAATTCCGCTATATTATATTTTCTCGCTCAATGTACCCTGAGCTATATTGAGGCGTCACGGGACAGCAATGCTCAGCTCACAACTCACAACTGTGCGCGTAACTAACGGGGAGACTTCAACGCCTGGCGCCGTCCCGACAGGCTTCCGTTCAACCGCTCGCAGCAGGCTAGGTTTACGTCCCAGATTTTTTTGATTGGTATCCTACGGCTTCAAACATGCCAGGGACCAATAAAATTTAGTAGTGAAGACGATTAAAAAAAATCAAAATTCGACGATACACCCTATTGTAGAATTAAAGGCAATCTAGAAATGCCCCAGATTTAGATCACTTTCTGAGTGAGCAAGACGCCTACACAATTTTGTCGAAGGAAGCTGGGGACTTGTCACTGTGCATAAGCCTTCGGCACATCGGTAGGCATTCAATGGTCTGCTAATAATTAAATATATTGAGTTAAGCCGCTGAACCTACTGGACGCGCGATTCCTTTCATTGTATGGGCATCACATATGGCCTTGTTCCCTGATTTGCTGGTTCGGAATCGGTCCCCGATGAATATCTTCCATGGAGCTCTTGCCGTAGATGACGCCATCTAGTGGGCTGACAGGAAGCTGTATTTCTCGGCCCATCTGCAGATAACTTCGCGCTGCAAATCGCTGGCTTCCTGGCTAGCGCACCGACAGAACAATGAAAATTACATATTCATGCATAAGTGTTGGTTGTTTTGTATACTTAGGTGGCCCTGAGAATGTAACAAACCTTTTTTTTGCAGAAATTTGTCAGGAGCTTGTGACGTCATAATACCTTTTGCATGCCTAGTGCCTTCAAAGGCTTGCCTTATATTGATATTCAACCTTGAACATCATTCACGTGTGTTTTGTGTTGGTTTTCATTTTATGCATGTGTGTGTGCATGAATGTGATTTTTGGTGCGTCAAAGCATTTAATTCTTGCAGTTCTGGGTCCTTTTTCGTTTTAAAAGGCCTGAGGGCTGTTCACGGACCCTGTGTGCGGTCGGACCGCACACAGCCTCCAAGCTCCGCCCACTGCGTCCCTACGTCAGCCTTGCGTCACCGCACACAGCGACCGCTGTGGCCGGTCGGGACTGGCCACTGGGCTGTTCGGCTGCGCAGCCAAAATGAAATATGCTGCAGCACGCATGCGCAGTGAGGACTTCGTCGCCCGTTAGTCCCGCCCACACCACTGCGTCACCGGCTGTGTGACGTCACCTACTGAAGCATGCTTCGTTTTCCTGCAGCACGAAATTCGGTGCTGCAGGAGGCGAAAGTGGCGCGGATTAAAGTTTACCGTCCGATATTTCTTATTGCAAGCGGTTTGTATGTTGTTTTTTGGGTATCATTATCACTCTTTTCGGTGGCACATTGCTATTAACCACATTTGAACGCAATTTAAACGTTATTTGAGCGACAATCACCAGTCCAACCGCGCAACGGTTCGCCGCGTTTGAAATAGGCTGCAGCGACGCTCGGCCGCGGCGTGCCGGCGGAGAGTGGGCGGAGCGCATATTTACGTCTGGACAACGAGTTGCGTTGGAGAGGCCGGAAATAGTGGCGATTTCAGGACCGCAAGAATGGACCGTCAATGGAATGATTCTTTTTTAAACCGTGCACTGTTTTCGGCCGGAATTCAAAAGTTAATACAAAATATTTTGTAATTACGTTTCCACCAAGAATGAATGCCATCAGGGCTAAACTTTTAATACTAATGCATTTTGTCAAGAAGCATATAGTGCTGTTATATTGCAGTTTTAGCGCGTTTGTTACAAAATATGAAGCAAATATCCACTAAAATTTATTAAATATTTTGCTTTGTATATTCCAAAAGGAGAGGGAACTATTTCATTTGTGCCTTCATGTCAGAATTGAAGGTGGATCATTAAATTTTCAACGCAGTTTACAAACAAGCATTTGGTCTTTCTCGTTTATAAGCAGTGGCTAAGAAAAGGTTGATCAATCCTGAAGTTCAGTCATCGTACCTCAACTTGGCAGCAAGATCCCCCAAGGACAGAGGATATATTGTATACATGTCCTGTAAATCGAAACAAACAGGCATTTGGTCTTTCTCGTATATAAGCAGTGGCTAAGAAAAGGTTGATCAATCCTGAAGTTCAGTCATCATACCTCAACTTGGCAGCAAGATCCCCCAAGGACAGAGGATATATTGTAAACCTGTCCTGTTAATCAAAACATTTTTGTGCCTTCAAAGGCTTAAGTTATCTGTGGTGTGTTCGGAGTTAGGCTATATGGCCGTTTTTGTTGTATGTTTATGTGGAGATTGAATATAACTGTGACCCTGTGCTTGTTTGTATACTTACGGTCAAACAGGGAACAGCACATTCACATAACATACTCACCTAGCACCTAACTCATAGCTGTACCCTGCAGGATCTGTACTTGTTCATGTCTCGAGCATTAACAAAGCACTAAAGTAGCTTAGTAATCATTTCCCACATTTTCTGAGCATCTAACATGACATACAGCAGTGCAGAGCAGCTTCAGAGAAGAAACACTTTAAATGCACAGACTCACACCAGCCACCCAATGAGCCAGTTCCTCAGTTGACTGTTTCCCTGGACACAGCTTGGCAATGTGAGCTAACTTTTGGCAAGTTGAAGGTTAGCAGGTAAGATTGAGTTAGGGTGAGTACCTATAGGTACTACCTATAACTGGGTGCTACTGCCATGCAGGTCTTGGGTAGGCTGCAAATATGTGTGATGATTGAGGTTAGGTCAGCTCTCAGGTTAGTCAGGTTCAGGTATGCTCATTGCTCAGGTCACATTTTTATGGACATTTTGCAAATTAAAAAACTAACAATCTGATCTAAGCTAACCCAACTAAACATACACAACTACTGACTATAGGAACTGAGCACCTACCTACTTGTGCCTACATCTCATACCATGTCAAAGTACATTGGTGTGGAGTTCATTGGTGGAAGATTACCCTCAGTAGCAGTACTTTTTATCCCAGCCCTGTGAAGAGAACTCATACTTCTAAGCTCTGAGTCACTGCTGGCCATCCACAGGAAGAAACGCTGAGACTGAGAGCTTTGCCATTGTATATTGGACCAATAATGACTATCACGAATGACTATGAACACATAATATGATCACATCGTTGCATCATGCATGGATTGTCACATTGACAATTTTACTACAATCCTTTTTTCAAGAAATACAGTGATGATGATTAAAATCAAAATCAACATAAAGTGGATTTAGTGATCCAAGCTTTCTCCTCCAGTAGCAATGGAATGATCGCATGTTTCATTTGCCAGACACTGAGTACCTGATGCACATTACAATCTGCATAGCATCTAAGCATAGTAAAACTGCCCAAGTCCATTCATTCTAGATTTTAACTTGATAGTTAGCACTAATTTACCTTGCTGTTGTAAGTTATCATTCAATATTCATACCAATACATCAATATGCGCTCATCAGTCAACATTTTCTGGCATGATCCTGCTCAGCGTGCTCTTCAGTATTGCTCCAAGGTCTGCAATATTATAGCTTGTTTTTGGACAATAAGCTCTTTTAATTTTACTTTTTCTTGCTGATATATGAGCCCGATCAACTTGCGTTTATCAACCAAAATTTCATAACTTGTTCAACTTGATATTGATATTGCTCAGGTCAGGACCTCTGTCAGCCTCCTGGATACTTCAGATTGTTTTCAGTCAACATGCTTCTTAAATATGATATAAGTCAATCTTAAGGGATTCAAAACATCCAACAAAACGACGTACAAGAGCAAGAAAATCACCAGATAAACCAAAAAATGGCCTTGGAACAGAGCCAAGTGGTGCTCCATTTGTTTGTTTACAATGATTGTAGTGCTGATGTATTTTTAGGACTCTGAACGTCGGCTTATAAAAAAAATGAAACGTTTTTACAAAAGTTGTAAGGCAAGTAATATTTATCTGAAAGAACTAAAATATTCAAAAGCCAAACACTATGAAATACATGAATCGGAACGAAAAAGTAACCAAAAAATCCAGCCTAATCACCGGCTCCTAAAACTGCAACACAATCAGCACTTTTCCCCGCAACTCGTTGTCCAGAGGGGTGTTCACGGGCACCGCACACTGCTGCGTGCGCTGTGTGCGGTGCGTCCAGCAGGCGTGGGGGTAGGGGATGGGTAGGCGGTTCTGACGTCACGGCTGCGTGCGGTGGACGGTCCGCTGTGGCCAGTCCCGACCGGCCACAGCGATCGCTGTGTGCGGTGACGGAAGGCTGACGTAGGGACGCAGTGGGCGGAGCTTGGAGGCTGTGTGCGGTCCGACCGCACACAGGGCCCGTGAACAGCCCTCACGGGCACCGCACACTGCTGCGTGCGCTGTGTGCGGTGCGTCCAGCAGGCGTGGGGGTAGGGGATGGGTAGGCGGTTCTGACGTCACGGCTGCGTGCGGTGGACGGTCCGCTGTGGCCAGTCCCGACCGGCCACAGCGATCGCTGTGTGCGGTGACGGAAGGCTGACGTAGGGACGCAGTGGGCGGAGCTTGGAGGCTGTGTGCGGTCCGACCGCACACAGGGCCCGTGAACAGCCCTCAGACGTAAATATGCGGGCGGAGCCAGGCGGTTGACGTCACCCAAGTATGACGCACGCAGCACAGATCTATGCTGCAGGGACCCGAACAGCCCTCACACAGCGGACCGTCCACCGCACGCAGCCGTGACGTCAGAGCCGCCTACCCATCCCCTACCCCCACGCCTGCTGGACGTACCGCACACACCGCACGCAGCAGTGTGCGGTGCCCGTGAACACCCCTCTGGGAAAATGTCCTCTAAGTGAACAAAACAAAATACACAAACCATTTGGTCAGGACTTGGGAACTCAACAATTACTGAACTTGAACTGTAATTGGGCCCAGAAAATTGTCAAAACAGTCGTGAATCGCATGCCAATATGAATAAAAATGTTGTCACAAAATTGAAATGCTAGGAAAAAGGAAGGTCTGTTTTACTGCCTAGCACGGTGCCCGCTAAGGGAGGTCAGGTGGTAAGAAGTCAAGATGGTGGAACAACAAACTTATTGTCTTGATGATTTGAAAGTTTGCTTTTGACTAGATTTTGATGAGATCTGGGCCCTGTTTCACCGGTGATAGCAGCACGCTGCTTTTACACGTGTCAAATTGGGTTTCCATGGAAACATCAACAGGCCCATTGCTCCAACACTACCACAAGTGTGACGTCAGCTCGCGCAATTTGATAGCAGCGTGGTAGCAGCGTCCTGTGAAACACCGCCCAAGATGCTGAAAATGTGCACACTCAATTTTGTACTGATGCAACCCCATTCTTCATGCATGATATTTTTCAGGTTAACCCCAAGTTCAGTGGAGCTGTCATCTGTCATAATGTCAAAATGTTCGGTCCTAGAAGCCGCCTTGAGGGTAAGCCATTTTCATGCATTGGATCAGCTGGGACAATGGTGATAACAGGGTGCCTGGGGCGATTTGATCAAGGCTCTTGAAATTCACTTGCTTTAACCATGTGGCATCCAGCATCTTGAAGGCATTGAGAGGGGGAGAAGTTCCTGATAGTGATGTGACTCAGTATGCCCTCCGGCGCCCTGTTTTCACTGGCGTCCATCAGCTGTTGGCACCACAATCCACACCTGCAGGGTACTCTTTTAGCAGACGTCGCCCTTGCTACCATATTTAGGTCTCACGTGTGTAGCAATTGTCTATTTACAGTTAAATATATAACAAAACACAATCTAACCTGAACTAACCTTACCTAAAACCAACCAACCTACAACCTACAACCTACCTAACTGGATATGGCAGCAAGGGCGACGTCTGCTAAGAGAATGCCCACCTGCAGCCTATATTCCCCAGTGAGGATACCAATTACCACACATTAATGCTTCATGTTCCATTTTGTGTGTCAACAATTATTGCACCAATATGCAACTTGGCCCTTTCAACATGGCTGTTCCTAAATTGACCTATCTAACCTTTCTAGCTTGGTCATAACCCTGACCTAAGGTCAAATCATTGCATTACCATTGGAGGAGCAGACTCAATGCTGGAGCAGGAATTGTTTATAGTGATTAAGTCAAAAGTTAGGTATTTTAGAGAAAATAAACTGCTCATAATGTCATTTCATGTTTTAAGCTTACTTTTTGACAAATTATTGACATGAAGCCAGATCTGCTCTCATGCTACAAAAATTGCTATACAAATTTCAGACCAAGGTCACCAGTTCACGTCAAGTGACCTCACCCAAAAAGTTTCAATGCCTGCCATAGCTACACTAACTATTGAGTGACCAATCACTTTAAAACTTTCAGCAATTGATAAGAGCTAGATAAGACCTCTCCATTATAAGTCAATGAGAGAAAGTTGGAAGGCGCCTCTTTTGGACGAATGTCATTCTTAACACTTTCAAACACCGTATTACAAGTAAACATGACGCACTGAACCGGAAAATGGCACCCATGATCCCTCGTTAAGTCCCTGAGGTCATCTCAGGTCACGGATGGTGTCTAACAGTTTTTTTCACTAATAACCTCTGATAGAGGCAGGCTAGAGCGGTGAAATCGCCTTGGATGTTTTCGGTTCGACGATGTGGATCGACTAATATGACCTTTTCCGGAGGGCTGTTCACGGGCCTGTGTGCGATAGGACCGTATACAGGCTCCAAGCTCTGCCCACTGCGTCCCTACGCCAGCCTCCCGTCACCGCACACAGCGACCGCTGTGGCCGGTCGGACTCGGGACCGGCCACAGCGATGGCTGTGTGCGGTCGGACTCGGGACCGGCCACAGCGTTGGCTGTGTGCGGTCCGCCGCACGCAGCCGTGTGACGTCATACCGACCTACCCATCCCCTACGTCATACGATTGCTGCACACACCGCACTCACTGCACTCAGCAGTTTGCGGTGCCCGTGAACAGCTCTCCGGTCAGGTCATGACCTTGACCTAAGGTCAAATTTTCAAGTTGGCCTTTCAAGATTAAATTACAGTCTATTCGACGCGTCTCGATGAGGGAAACACGATGCTGGTAAAAAAAATAATATCGTGACTCTTTTGAGTCAAAAGTTAGTGAAGAAAAACATGCTTCGTGAATACCGCTTTTTCAGTGTTTGCCCTCTGGAGCTTAAACCGTTGACCTGAGGTGAAATGTGGGCCCTGTTTCACCGGTGATAGCAGCACGCTACTATCAAATTGCGCGAGCTGACGTAATGTGATGACGTCACACTAATGACGTTTCGTGTAATCCGTGAGCTTTTTCATAGCTACGTTTGGAACAGAGTTGCTGTCTCGTTGAATGCGTTTGATACATTCGCACGGCCGTGAAGATGTTAGCAGCAATATTTGATGACATCGCACAGTTTGACGACGCCATGGTTTGTTGAGGTTTCCATGGAAACCCAATTTGACACGTGTGATAGCAGCGTGCTGCTATCACCGGTGAAACAGGGCCCCGATGCCACTCTCCGGAAAGAGGGCTAACCCGCGCCCGAGTGGGGTCCTGGATTTCTACGCCCTGCTAGGGGGTGTTTGAACACATTCCCCCTTCTAACTCGGCTCCTGAGCCACGTAGCGATACGCAGAAGGCGGTGTTCGAAAAAGCGCCAAAAATAATGACGAACTTATTTCGGTCACTTGTTTTGGTAAGGTCAAGGGTTAGGTCAACAGAGGTCATTGAAGGTAAAATTTGGCCGATTTTCTGGTCGAATGTAGACAATTTCCAAGAAGCCAACGCATAACTCGGGAACAAATAGAGCTACAGCGCCGCAGAAAAGCGCATTCGATAGCCCTTTTAACGCCCTTTCTGAGTATTTCTCTCATATTTGACCAAACGTCAACGGTTTTGCCTGCAGGGGGCAAAAACTGCTAAAATAGCCGTTTTTTTCGGAAACAGTTCTTCTGTGATAATTTTTGACGCAAGCCTTGCACGAGGTTACTTTTACCGGCATCGTGTTCCTCTCGTCAAGACGCATCGAATGAACTATTGCGTGACCTTGAAAGGTCAACTTGAAAATTTGACCTCAGATCAAGGTCATGACCTGACCGAAAATGGTCATGCTGCATATCAGTCGATCCGTGTTGTCGAGCTGAACACATCTAAGGCGTTTTCATCGCTCTAGCATGTCGCATTCAAAAATCAAAAGTTATTTGCGAAAAAACTGTTAGATACCATTCGTGACCTGAGATGACCTCAGGGGCATAAACAAGGGTCACGGACACCATTTTCATGTTCAGTGTGTCTTACTTTTAATTGTTAATAAAATTTAATAATAATTCTAATAATAATTCTAATTTAATATGAATAATAATTAAATACATAAATTTAAATATTGCTTATGAGGTTGGACTTATTTTTATGACCGGGAAAAACATTTTCAATCGAAACATTGTGAACCCTTTTTTATGTCCATTTTTTTCAACGTGGTATAAGTAACATATTTTTCTTTCAGCACAACCCGCTGTTTTTCCTGATGTCTCCCAACTCTGTGAAGAAGCTCACAGCAGACGAGGGAAGGTGAGGTTTATTGAAATGCTTCAGAAGACTTTGAACACTTAGCAGTTGTGCTTTTGCTATGTGCACTCTGCATATTGTGTCGTGAGCCCTGCTAAATACTGACGTTGTTGAGCTGTCTGGCTTCTGGTTTTTGGTGACATTGTTGACTGGTTTCGTTGTGATCATGTATGTTCAAACATTGAAGGTGCCAATGTGAGCTGATTGATTACAATCCAAAAGTCTGTCAATGCAATGCCATATAACACCGCCGTGTGGACTGGCCGTCCGTTGCCAGGTCGCCGGGCGTCTCAGCTGCCGCGGACACCTGTGGCGGGCCGGCCCAGTCGGAGGAGCAGTCGCAGGAGGCATCCTCAGCGGCGGCCGATCTCTCTGCGCACTCAGGTGGGCGCCGGGATCGGGTCCGGTAGTGGTCTGAATGTAGTCTGAATTTGGACTGATTTTAGTCGTATTGCCATGCACTACAGTTGTACAGTTTTATTACTATGCGCGGCAGTGATTTTAATCTTGTTGCTGCTATGTGGTTACTTTCGAGGTACCTAGCCAAGCCAAGCCTTTGTAGATGATTGGGTTAAACCCCATTGTGTATGGACTATGAATATTTGGTTTATGATTTAAATGTTTACCATTGGGTGCTCACTGGCCCCGTTTATAATTCGTCAGCACCTTCCAGCCTATCCAATCCAATAGCGCCTTTCTTTAGTGAAATATAGAGGAGTTTTCGTTTCCTCCAACCCAGCCACCACTCGTCTTTTCGAGCCTAACCTGCATAATTATCCACCTCTCGGCCGCCCCTAAAGCACTCGCTCTGAGCATGACCTGCTTTGTTTGCTCTCAGCAGAGTCGCTCCCGGCCGCCCCCTCTACCAGGGCGCTCACTCCGAACCTGACCTATGTTCTGCCCCTTCCCTCCCTCCATCTCCCCACCAGAGTCGCTCCCGGCCGCGTATTCGCCAATTGTGTTACACGAATCGGCCGACCAATAGCGTGCCTCTTGAGTGACGTCAACGTGGCGTCATACGTTCGATCCTCGCCCTTGGTGGCGTCTATTGGTTTTAAATTAACGACATTTAAGCTCTCTAGGGTATGTTGTCGCCGTGGCGAAGTGGTTATAGTATCTGACTGGTGTTTCAGAGGAAGGTGGTTCGAATCCACTCGGCGGCTTCAATTTTCGTGTCATCTGTCATTGTGCGTTTTTTTATACATTTGCAACGGCGTGCACCTAAGAAATCAGACGTAGGCATTCTTCTTATGAATATGTTGCATAAGATAAATATTTGCAGTCCAACCGATTGGTTCGGTTTCGGTATTTTCCAATGGTCTTTGTTTGTATTTGGTTTGGTATCGGTGTTCTGATTTTCTGTGATTGACATCACTAATGCTTAGTGCATACTATGCGAACGTAGCGAATGGAAAGACAAATGGTGCTGGGCGATGGCCATTGATCAATATTTCTCACTGCCAATGGGTGATAGCACGCAGCATATGACAGGGGCGGCGCTGACCTTTTGAAAGTAGGTGGGCACTTGGCAAGGTAAAGTACCTAGAAGTAGCGAAAACTAAGATGAAAAGTAAAAATCGCACGCTGGTTAGCACTTAGCAGGCTATTGGATAGTTTTTCGTGTAAGAATCACCATGCACAAAAAAAGTTCGGCATAGCTGTTAGCGTAACCACGGGACGAGATATCAGTTTCCAGCAGTCAAAGAGCGTCATCTATAGGAGCTATGCCCTAACTATAACTTTTACATTTCAGCCGCCAGAGGGATACCTAAGTCCCCTTACTTGGAATCTAGTTAAAGTCAAAAAGATTTATATTAGACGTTTATGAAGATAACTTGGGACTGGTTGTTAAGTTGCATGCTCACGGCCGGCTGTCATCAATTTATCTCTATGCATGTCTTATCTGATCGATGAAATAATACAGGAATCCGTTGTCATTCGAGTGTGTTTCATAATAGCTCTTCCGACTTTGACGAATATCGACAGTGCCGTAACAAAATTGGTAGTTCAGGTATAGACTGCAACTGCAGTTCTTTTGCAACTTATTCCTTAATCAGATGAATACTTGTCAGAGATTTATTGGGCGTACGATATTGGCGTGCGAACGAAGGGGCCAAAAATGCGTGTCTACGACCGACTTCTTTTGAGAAAAGAACCGCTAAAGCAAGAATCGACCTACCGACCTTTCGTTCACCACACAGAGACTCTAACCACTCGGCTACGACGACACATACATATCCGTTACCCATATACAATTGCAAAAAAGTCTCAACTCAAATCTAGCCTCAATGCATGCATTGTGGCGGTGGATGGCTATGACGTCGCACTAGAGATGTCGCTAGTTGGTGGGCCGATTCGTGTAATACAATTGGCGAATACGCCTCCCGGCCTCCCTCTCCACCAGGGCGCCCACTCCGAACGTGACCTATATTCTGCCCCTTCCCTCCATCTCCCCAGCAGAGTCGGCCCCGGCCGTCCCCTCGGCCAGGGCGCTAAGTCGCCGGGAGCGGAAGCGGAAGAAGCTGCAGGCCCTGCTGGAGCTGGTCGTCAGAAATGATTCAGCCAAGGTGAGCGGGGTTTGACAGGGAGATGTGAGGCTGTGAACAGGACCGGTTGGTGACACTTTGCTACTGATTCATGGGACTATACTTTTGTAGATCGATCAGGGTAAGCGAGGGTTTGTGTTTAATAGTTGAAAGCACTATTCCAATGTGCCGTGATCCTCAGAGTAGGTACGGCATACGGTAGGTGTATGCTGCTCGGATGTAGCCGATACCCGGCGGCTGTGTGATGCGTTCAGGCGGCCGGTGGCGCCGGGAAGGGAGGCCGCACCCCGGTGTGATGGGACGGGCGTCTGGTGCGCTCGGGCTTCCACAGTCGCTGGGGGGGAGGGAGGAGGGGGCTTCCACGGTGGCTGGGGGGGGGGGGGGTCACCGATATGTGACCGATATGTGACGGGCGTTTGTTGGGTTCAGACAGCGGCCTCGGACGCCGCGGAGACGGCGGTGCCCAGTAAGAAGGCCCGCCGGGAGCCGCAGCAGACGGAGCGGCTGGACGGCGACACCACGAGTGCAGAGGTGAGCGGCAGCGGCACACCGCGACTGGTGGGGACCGGGTGGTCTGTATACACCTGCGGCACCTGCCCACCACCCCGCCAACACGCGGGGGGAGGGGGGGGGGGGCTGGCACTGCAGCTGGGTCACCTGCCCACCGGCTTTGGAACGCTCCAATCGGCTCTCGTCTCGGGTGATTGAATTTCGGGTCATTATGTGTATTGCTTTGTGAGGAATCTCACATATTTTTTTTTCATTCTGCCCCAAACTCGCGCTCGTGTATTTAGCAGGGTTGTGCTCGACTCAAAAACATTTGCCGACTCGACTCATCATTCAACTTCAGAAAGCCCTGACTCAACTCTGACTCAAACAAGCTGATTTTTTCCCTTGACTCGACTCATGACTCAAGCGGCTCAATGAAAATATGAGTTGACTCAAACTTGACTCAAATTTTTTGTTGAGTCAAGTGTGTTGACTCAAAATTGACTCAGATAAAAAAGTTGTTGAGGAATGGGGGGGGGGGGGTAAAAAATCCGGTAGCAGGGCCAGGCCTAAGTTGTTTCGGGGGGATGAAAAGCTTATATATGTTGTTTCTAGAAAGATGAGTCAGCTGACTCATGTTCCTAAATGTTTTTGACTCAACTCAATGTCAAAAGTTATTTTACTGACTCAACTCTGACTCAACTCAACAGCTCAACATTTTATCCGACTCGACTCAAACCTGACTCATTTGAGTCAGAGTTGAGTCAAATTTCTGACTCGACTCATGAGTCAAGCACAACCCTGGTATTTAGTGGTGAACTTATTTATTCACACATTTAAACTCATGGAACGCTGTTTTATTAAGCATATTTAGCATTCATGTTTGTTGACATGATTCTTGTTTGTGTTCCTCATCAATTTGATGCTGTCTTGTTTCGTCGATCATGTGTCATCAGTGTTAAGTCCCGTGACTGATAAGCCGCCTGTACTGATCTGACAAGCAGCAGCTGTGGGCTGTGTGGGCCGCTACCGGGGCTCCTGGCTGACCTCTCTCCGTCCCCCCCCCCCCCTGCAGCGGGAGGACCAGGACCAGCGGAAGGACCAGGACCAGGACCAGCGGAAGGACCGGGACCAGGACCAGCAGAAGGACCGGGACCAGGCTGGGGCCGCGGCCGCCGACTACCGACTGCTCCGCCAGACGCTGCGCAAGAAGCGCCGAAAACAGGTACAGGTGGCGTGGAAAGGGAGCGGGCTGCCGCTGTGGCGGTGTACCTCTATGGTGGAGCTGGATAACTGAATAGACTCCATGTGACTGAATGATTAGCTGAAATGATTATGGATCATATCGGGACACAACTTGACATAGCGCTAGTATCTCATTTAACCCTATTCCTGGCGGGCTCCGCCGGGACAAGAAACTGGCGGGGGGGGGGCGATTCGGCCCCCCCCCCTGAGATCTCGAGAACGAAGCAAGATAGCGACAAGCGGTAAACGGCATCGGATACGCACGGCCAAGATCTACAATTTTTACTAAGGTCATTTTCAGGTCAGGTCAAAGATGACGTCACAGGGGTCGAAAAAGTCAAAATGGCGGCGCTAGATACGGAGAGAGTTTTTCTCGAATAACTTTCGAATTAGTCAAGATAGGAACAAACTGAGGGCATCATCGTGATCCTCTCGTCAATCCGCATCGAATGATATATATGTTGACCTCGAAAGGTCAAGGTCAAAGGTTGACCTCAGGTCACGTGACCTCGAGGTCATCATGTATATCATTCGATGCGTCTTGACGAGCTGAACACAATGAGACCATCCACGCGTCTGTATCTTGTTCCTGTACGGAGTTATTGGCCAAAAACCTTTGGTGATCTTTGATGACGTCACATGACCTCACAGCTGCCCAACAGCAAAACAGACCTCAAGGTAGTGAAGGTTGATCGTATATGAAGTCATGTATGGTATATGGGGCCATTCCGACCCGTTTTAGAGGTAAAAACAGGGAGTTGATTTTTCCCCCATTGACTTATAATGGGGAGGTCGCGAAATTGACCTGACCTTAGGTCACCGATATCAAAATTCCGAGATATACAAATTGCACATACTGGTACCCTAACTAAACCCTGAAGAGAAGAAATTGATCGGTCAAAAACTCTAGCTCTGGCGTGATTGCAAACTTTTCTGAGGTAGGGTCACCAAACCGCCTCTGGTGACCTGACCTGAGGTCAGATCAACTCAAAATTTTCAGACATGTTGCGTAGAAGCCTTTTAGGAAAAGTCAAAATTTGAGCTTCCTAGCTCAACGCGTTTGGGAGAAATAACCAAAAAACCTCAGGGGGGGGGCTCCTGAGGCCCCCCCCCCCCCCGCCAGGAATAGGGTTAACGAAGTGATGTTTGTTCAAGCTTTCATAAAAATGACGTTTTGTGCAGGCTTCATGTAAAATCATAATAATTTCTTCTCATAATTGACAGCACATCTGAGTGAACTAGACTCGTGATCTGAAGGCGTAGACGAGCATGAAATTATGTTTGTTCGTTTTTTTTTTTTGTCATGTTATAACAGTGCTGTCACGCATGTATGTGAATGCAATTGTCTGCTCACTGGACTGACGGTGGCGCTGACTGTGGCGCTGACTGTGGCGCTGACCGCTCCCCTGTGCCGCTGACCGCTCTCCTGTGCCGCTGACCGCTCCCCTGTGCCGCTGACCGCTCCCCTGTGCCGCTGACCGCCGAGGTCCCCCTATGGCGCTGACTGTGACGGTGGCGCTGACAGTGGCGCTGACCGCTCCCCTGTGGCGGTGAATGTGACAGTGAGACTGACATTTCTCCTGTGACGCTGACCGCTCCCCTGTGCCTCTGACAGTGACTGTAACACTGACACTTCTCCTGTGGCGCTGACGGCTCACCTGTGGCGCTGACTGTGACGGTGTCGCTGACTGTGGCGCTGGCCGCTCCCCTGTGCCGGTGACTGTGAGACTGACACTTCTCCTGTGGCGCTGGCCGCTCCCCTGTGGCGCTGACGGCCCTCTGTGTCGCTGACCGCCGAGGTCCCCCTGTGCCGGCAGCGTGTGCCCGAGTTCCGACTGTCCTGTACGGGCGACCACGCCTCGCTGCTAATGGCCGCCCACAGTCGGACGCCCATCTTCCTGCGCGACGTACAGACGCTGCTGCTGAACGCAGTGGTGCCCGAGCACGCGCCCTGGCCCACCCGGTGAGACCGAGGGAGGGAGGGGCGCCCTGGCCCACACGGTGAGACAGAGGGAGAGGGCGCCCTGCGGCCCTGGCCCACCCGGTGAGACGAGGGGAAGGGAGGGAGGGAGGCGCCCTGGCCCACACGGTGAGACGATGGAGGGAGGGAGGGGGCGCCCTGGCCCACCCGGTGAGACGAGGGAGGGGGCGCCCTGGCCCACGCGGTGAAATTAAACGCTGACAAAATTTCACACGCCCTGCGTACAACTTTGGCACATGACTGTGCGTTTCCTAATCGTAATGCCAATTATTTGAAATTATTGTCATTGGCACTACTTTTCCATGTTTATGTAATGGTAACTGCCTATAGTTCAAGTGCTTAATGGTAAAAATTTAGTTGACAGTTGTGTAAAAGGTCGACCATGTGTGAACTTATTTATCAGCGTTAATAAGCTGGCTCACACCGTTAAGCTCCCGTTCCGTTCACACTCGTAAACGGAATGTCACGGATGCAATACAAGACGGCGAAATCACCAGTGTGTCGTGACCACAGCTCGCACCCGCTCTAACACTCCATCTCCGCCTAACGTCACACGCGGACCGTTACCCCTTCTCCCTCTCTCTGTATCAGGTGGTGTAACCTGTCTCACGCGGACTACGTGTATTAGGTGGTGTAACCTGTCTCACGCGGGCTCTCGTGTATCAGGTGGTGTAACCTGTCTCATGCGGACTCTCTGTGTATCAGGTGGTGTAACCTGTCTCACGCGGACTCTCTGTGTATCAGGTGGTGTAACATGTCTCACGCGGACTCTCTCTGTATCAAGTGGTGTAACCTGTCTCACGCAGACTCTCTGTATCAGTTGGTGTAACATGTCTCACGCGGACTCCCTGTGTGCCAGGTGGTGTGACCTGTCTCACGCGGACTCCCTGTGTATCAGGTGGTGTAACCTGTCTCACGCGGACTCTCTCTGTATCAAGTGGTGTAACCTGTCTCACGCAGACTCTCTGTATCAGTTGGTGTAACATGTCTCACGCGGACTCCCTGTGTGCCAGGTGGTGTGACCTGTCTCACGCGGACTCCCTGTGTATCAGGTGGTGTAACCTGTCTCACGCGGACTCTCTGTGTATCAGGTGGTGTAACCTGTCTGACGCGGACTATCTGTGTATCAGGTGGTGTAACCTGTCTCACGCGGTCTCTGTGTATCAGGTGGTGTAACCTGTCTCACGCGGACTCTCTGTATCAGGTGGTGTAACCTGTCTCACGCGGACTCTCTGTGTATCAGGTGGTGTAACCTGTCTCACGCGGACTCTCTGTGTATCAGGTGGTGTAACCTGTCTCACGCGGACTCTGTGTCAGGTGGCCACTAGGTGGTGTAACCTGTCTCACGCGGACTCTGTGTGTATCAGGTGGTGTAACCTGTCTCACGCGGACTCTGTGTCAGGTGGTGTAACCTGCTGCCCTCTCTGTGTATCAGGTGGTGTAACCTGTCTTACGCGGTCTCTCTGTATCAGGTGGTGTAACCTGTCTCACGCGGACTCTCTGTGTATCAGGTGGTGTAACCTGTTACTCTCTCTGTATCAGTTGGTGTAACCTGTCTTACGCGGACTCTCTGTGTATCAGGTGGTGTAACCTGTCTCACGCGGACTCTCTGTGTGTCAGGTGGTGTGACCTGTCTCACGCGGACTCTGTGTCAGGTGGTGTAACCTGTCTCACGCGGACTCTCTGTGTGTCAGGTGGTGTAACCTGTCTCACGCGGACTCTCTGTGTATCAGGTGGTGTAACCTGTCTCACGCGGACTCTCTGTGTATCAGGTGGTGTAACCTGTCTCACGCGGACTCTGTGTCAGGTGGCCACTAGGTGGTGTAACCTGTCTCACGCGGACTCTGTGTGTATCAGGTGGTGTAACCTGTCTCACGCGGACTCTGTGTCAGGTGGTGTAACCTGCTGCCCTCTCTGTGTATCAGGTGGTGTAACCTGTCTCACGCGGACTCTCTGTGTGTCAGGTGGTGTAACCTGTCTCACGCGGACTCTCTGTGTATCAGATGGTGTAACCTGTCTCACGCGGACTCTCTGTGTCAGGTGGTGTAACCTGTCTCACGCGGACTCTGTGTCAGGTGGTGTAACCTGCTGCCCTCTCTGTGTATCAGGTGGTGTAACCTGTCTCACGCGGACTCTCTGTGTATCAGGTGGTGTAACCTGTCTGACGCGGACTATCTGTGTATCAGGTGGTGTAACCTGTCTCACGCGGACTCTCTGTGTATCAGGTGGTGTAACCTGTCTCACGCGGACTATCTGTGTATCAGGTGGTGTAACCTGTCTCACGCGGACTATCTGTGTATCAGGTGGTGTAACTTGTCTCACGCGGACTCTCTGTATCAGGTGGTGTAACCTGTCTCACGCGGACTCTCTGTATCAGGTGGTGTAAACTGTCTCACGCGGACTCTGTGTCAGGTGGTGTAACCTGCTGCCCTCTCTGTGTATCAGGTGGTGTAACCTGTCTCACGCGGTCTCTCTGTATCAGGTGGTGTAACCTGTCTCACGCGGACTCTCTGTGTATCAGGTGGTGTAACCTGTTACTCTCTCTGTATCAGTTGGTGTAACCTGTCTTACGCGGACTCTCTGTGTATCAGGTGGTGTAACCTGTCTCACGCGGACTCTGTGTATCAGGTGGTGTAACCTGTCTCACGCGGACTCTGTGTGTCAGGTGGTGTAACCTGTCTCACGCGGACTCTCTGTGTGTCAGGTGGTGTAACCTGTCTCACGCGGACTCTCTGTGTGTCAGGTGGTGTAACCTGTCTCACGCAGACTCTCTGTGTATCAGGTGGTGTAACCTGTCTCACGCGGACTCTGTGTATCAGGTGGTGTAACCTGTCTCACGCGGACTCTCTGTGTGTCAGGTGGTGTAACCTGTCTCACGCGGACTCTCTGTGTGTCAGGTGGTGTAACCTGTCTCACGCGGACTCTGTGTCAGGTGGTGTAACCTGTCTCACGCGGACTCTCTGTGTATCAGGTGGTGTAACCTGTCTCACGCGGACTCTATGTGTATCAGGTGGTGTAACCTGTCTCACGCGGACTCTCTGTGTATCAGGTGGTGTAACCTGTCTCACGCGAACTCTGTATATCAGGTGGTGTAACCTGTTACTCTCTCTGTATCAGTTGGTGTAACCTGTCTTACGCGGACTCTCTGTGTATCAGGTGGTGTAACCTGTCTCACGCGGACTCTCTGTGTGTCAGGTGGTGTAACCTGTCTCACGCGGACTCTCTGTGTCAGGTGGTGTAACCTGTCTCACGCGGACTCTGTGTATCAGGTGGTGTAACCTGTCTCACGCGGACTCTCTGTGTGTCAGGTGGTGTAACCTGTCTCACGCGGACTCTCTGTGTATCAGGTGGTGTAACCTTCTCATGCGGACTCTGTATCAGGTGGTGTAACCTGTCCCACGCGGACTCTGTGTGTCAAGTGGTGTAACTTGTCTCACGCGGACTCTCTGTGTATCAGGTGGTGTAACCTGTCTCACGCGGACTCTCTGTCTATCAGGTGGTGTAACCTGTCTCACGCGGACTCTATCAGGTGGTGTAACCTGTCTCACGCGGACTCTCTGTGTGTCAGGTGGTGTAACCTGTCTCACGCGGACTCTGTATCAGGTGGTGTAACCTGTCTCACGCGGACTCTCTGTCTATCAGGTGGTGTAACCTGTCTCACGCGGACTCTATCAGGTGGTGTAACCTGTCTCACGCGGACTCTCTGTGTGTCAGGTGGTGTAACCTGTCTGACGCGGACTCTCTGTGTATCAGGTGGTGTAACCTGTCTCACGCGGACTCTCTGTGTGTCAGGTGGTGTAACCTGTCTGACGCGGACTATCTGTGTATCAGGTGGTGTAACCTGTCTCACGCGGACTCTCTGTGTATCAGGTGGTGTAACTTGTTACTCTCTCTGTATCAGTTGGTGTAACCTGTCTCACGCGGACTCTCTGTGTGTCAGGTGGTGTAACCTGTCTCACGCGGACTCTCTGTCTATCAGGTGGTGTAACCTGTCTCACGCGGACTCTGTGTATCAGGTGGTGTAACCTGTCTCACGCGGACTCTCTGTGTATCAGGTGGTGTAACCTGTCTGACGCGGACTTTCTATGTATCAGGTAGTGTAACCTGTCTGACGCGGACTCTGTATCAGGTGGTGTAACCTGTCTCACGCGGACTCTCTGTGTATCAGGTGGTGTAACCTGTCTCACGCGGACTCTGTATCAGGTGGTGTAACGTGCCTCACGCGGACTCTCTGTGTATCAGGTGGTGTAACCTGTCTTACGCGGACTCTCTGTGTGTCAGGTGGTGTAACCTGTCTGACGCGGACTATCTGTGTATCAGGTGGTGTAACCTGTCTCACGCGGACTCTCTGTGTATCAGGTGGTGTAACCTGTCTCACGCGGACTCTGTATCAGGTGGTGTAACGTGCCTCACGCGGACTCTCTGTGTATCAGGTGGTGTAACCTGTCTTACGCGGACTCTCTGTGTGTCAGGTGGTGTAACCTGTCTGACGCGGACTATCTGTGTATCAGGTGGTGTAACCTGTCTCACGCGAACTCTGTATCAGGTGGTGTAACCTGTCTCACGCGGACTCTCTGTCTATCAGGTGGTGTAACCTGTCTCACGCGGACTCTATCAGGTGGTGTAACCTGTCTCACGCGGACTCTCTGTGTGTCAGGTGGTGTAACCTGTCTCACGCGGACTCTGTATCAGGTGGTGTGGTGTACCTAACCTGTCTCACACAGCTGACTCTCTCTGTATCAGGTGGTGTAACCTGTCTCACGCGGACTGTCTCTGTATCAGGTGGTGTAACCTGTCTGACGCGGACTATCTGTGTATCAGGTGGTGTAACCTGTCTCACGCGGTCTCTGTGTATCAGGTGGTGTAACCTGTCTCACGCGGACTCTGTGTCAGGTGGCCACTAGGTGGTGTAACCTGTCTCACGCGGACTCTCTGTGTATCAGGTGGTGTAACCTGTCTCACGCGGACTCTGTGTATCAGGTGGTGTAACCTGTCCCACGCGGACTCTCTGTGTATCAGGTGGTGTAACCTGTTACTCTCTCTGTATCAGTTGGTGTAACCTGTCTTACGCGGACTCTCTGTGTATCAGGTGGTGTAACCTGTCTCACGCGGACTCTCTGTGTGTCAGGTGGTGTAACCTGTCTGACGCGGACTATCTGTGTATCAGGTGGTGTAACCTGTCCCACGCGGACTCTCTGTGTGTCAGGTGGTGTAACCTGTCTGACGCGGACTATCTGTGTATCAGGTGGTGTAACCTGTCTCACGCGGTCTCTGTGTATCAGGTGGTGTAACCTGTCTCACGCGGACTCTCTGTGTATCAGGTGGTGTAACCTGTCTCACGCGGACTCTCTGTGTATCAGGTGGTGTAACCTGTTACTCTCTCTGTATCAGTTGGTGTAACCTGTCTTACGCGGACTCTCTGTGTATCAGGTGGTGTAACCTGTCTCACGCGGACTCTCTGTGTGTCAGGTGGTGTAACCTGTCTCACGCGGACTCTGTATCAGGTGGTGTAACCTGTCTCACGCGGACTCTCTGTGTGTCAGGTGGTGTAACCTGTCTCACGCGGACTCTGTATCAGGTGGTGTGGTGTACCTAACCTGTCTCACACAGCTGACTCTCTCTGTATCAGGTGGTGTAACCTGTCTCACGCGGACTGTCTCTGTATCAGGTGGTGTAACCTGTCTCACGCGGACTCTGTGTATCAGGTGGTGTAACCTGTCTCACGCGGACTCTGTGTCAGGTGGTGTAACCTGTCTCACGCGGACTCTCTGTGTATCAGGTGGTGTAACCTGTTACTCTCTCTGTATCAGTTGGTGTAACCTGTCTTACGCGGACTCTCTGTGTATCAGGTGGTGTAACCTGTCTCACGCGGACTCTATCAGGTGGTGTAACCTGTCTCACGCGGACTCTCTGTGTGTCAGGTGGTGTAACCTGTCTCACGCGGACTCTGTATCAGGTGGTGTGGTGTACCTAACCTGTCTCACACAGCTGACTCTCTCTGTATCAGGTGGTGTAACCTGTCTCACGCGGACTGTCTCTGTATCAGGTGGTGTAACCTGTCTGACGCGGACTATCTGTGTATCAGGTGGTGTAACCTGTCTCACGCGGACTCTGTGTCAGGTGGCCACTAGGTGGTGTAACCTGTCTCACGCGGACTCTGTGTATCAGGTGGTGTAACCTGTCTCACGCGGACTCTGTGTCAGGTGGTGTAACCTGTCTCACGCGGACTCTCTGTGTATCAGGTGGTGTAACCTGTTACTCTCTCTGTATCAGTTGGTGTAACCTGTCTTACGCGGACTCTCTGTGTGTCAGGTGGTGTAACCTGTCTGACGCGGACTATCTGTGTATCAGGTGGTGTAACCTGTCTCACGCGAACTCTGTATCAGGTGGTGTAACCTGTCTCACGCGGACTCTCTGTCTATCAGGTGGTGTAACCTGTCTCACGCGGACTCTATCAGGTGGTGTAACCTGTCTCACGCGGACTCTCTGTGTGTCAGGTGGTGTAACCTGTCTCACGCGGACTCTGTATCAGGTGGTGTGGTGTACCTAACCTGTCTCACACAGCTGACTCTCTCTGTATCAGGTGGTGTAACCTGTCTCACGCGGACTGTCTCTGTATCAGGTGGTGTAACCTGTCTGACGCGGACTATCTGTGTATCAGGTGGTGTAACCTGTCTCACGCGGTCTCTGTGTATCAGGTGGTGTAACCTGTCTCACGCGGACTCTGTGTCAGGTGGCCACTAGGTGGTGTAACCTGTCTCACGCGGACTCTCTGTGTATCAGGTGGTGTAACCTGTCTCACGCGGACTCTGTGTATCAGGTGGTGTAACCTGTCTCACGCGGACTCTCTGTGTATCAGGTGGTGTAACCTGTCTCACTCGGACTCTCTGTGTATCAGGTGGTGTAACCTGTCTCACGCGGACTCTCTGTGAGGTGGTGTAACCTGTCTGACGCGGACTATCTGTGTATCAGGTGGTGTAACCTGTCTCACGCGGACTCTCTGTATCAGGTGGTGTAACCTGTCTGACGCGAACTATCTGTGTATCAGGTGGTGTAACCTGTCTCACGCGGACTCTCTGTGTATCAGGTGGTGTAACCTGTTACTCTCTCTGTATCAGTTGGTGTAACCTGTCTTACGCGGACTCTCTGTGTATCAGGTGGTGTAACCTGTCTCACGCGGACTCTCTGTGTGTCAGGTGGTGTAACCTGTCTGACGCGGACTCTCTGTGTATCAGGTGGTGTAACCTGTTACTCTCTCTGTATCAGTTGGTGTAACCTGTCTTACGCGGACTCTCTGTGTATCAGGTGGTGTAACCTGTCTCACGCGGACTCTCTGTGTGTCAGGTGGTGTAACCTGTCTCACGCGGACTCTATCAGGTGGTGTAACCTGTCTGACGCGGACTATCTGTGTATCAGGTGGTGTAACCTGTCTCACGCGGTCTCTGTGTATCAGGTGGTGTAACCTGTCTCACGCGGACTCTCTGTGTATCAGGTGGTGTAACCTGTCTCACGCGGACTCTCTGTGTATCAGGTGGTGTAACCTGTTACTCTCTCTGTATCAGTTGGTGTAACCTGTCTTACGCGGACTCTCTGTGTATCAGGTGGTGTAACCTGTCTCACGCGGACTCTCTGTGTGTCAGGTGGTGTAACCTGTCTCACGCGGACTCTATCAGGTGGTGTAACCTGTCTCACGCGGACTCTCTGTGTGTCAGGTGGTGTAACCTGTCTCACGCGGACTCTGTATCAGGTGGTGTGGTGTACCTAACCTGTCTCACACAGCTGACTCTCTCTGTATCAGGTGGTGTAACCTGTCTCACGCGGACTGTCTCTGTATCAGGTGGTGTAACCTGTTACTCTCTCTGTATCAGTTGGTGTAACCTGTCTTACGCGGACTCTCTCTGTATCAGGTGGTGTGACCTGTCTCACGCGGACTCTCTGTGTATCAGGTGGTGTAACCTGTTACTCTCTCTGTATCAGTTGGTGTAACCTGTCTTACGCGGACTCTCTGTGTATCAGGTGGTGTAACCTCTCTCACGCGGACCGGCTGCGCCGCACGCTGGCCGTGGTCGTGGACGGCCTGTCGCTGAGGGAGCTCCAGGAGCACAGGGATGTGTTCCAGTCGACCCTGACGCTGTTCCCTCACCAGGTCGGTAACGGGGAGGGAGGGCGGGCTGAAGGTGTGTGGAGAGGGGGAGGGGGGAGACGTAGAAAACATGAGTTAACAGCCTCGAGTAATGCTTTGGCTCGTGTGACCGTCGAGTTTTGATGATCCTTTTGCCAGTTTAACGCTTGGCCACAGCTATAGAAGCGACTAGGGTGACCCGCGTGCTCCGCAACGCGAAAAGGGGTATTTTCGATCGGCGGGTGTTTGGTTGTTCTTGTGTCGGTTGGGTTATCTATCCATTTCGGTCGATTGCTTTTTGACGGCTAAACGTTTTGGTTTGGAAAAAATATCCACCGCATCGAGGTGCCTGTGTCTGATAAGCATGCTTTCCACTTCAGAATCTGTCAAATGTGTTTTATAATTTAGGTGCGTAGTTTTATGGCAAATGAAAGGCGTAGATAATTTTCGCTAAAAATGGTTTTGCAGAGGTTTGAAACATTTATATTTTTAAGAGTACTGTTGCTTGTCATGCAAACGTGATGATTGGATCTTGAAGAGAATTGAATGCTCTTTCTAATGAAAGCATTTCAAATTGCCAAACGTATCAGGTTAAGCAGCAAAATCCGTGTAATTATTTAGTGGCACATTTTGGACAAATACCATTTAATTCAGCGATTTTTTCCACATTGTTTTTGATCAATTAGCTTTTCACAATTTTTCCATGAGAGACGGTACATTTTTATTGCTAATAGGCGCTGTTTCAACTCATTCCGTCTGACGATCACCTGAAATTAATATAAATTCCAAAATCCGTCCAAAACGTCCATTTTTCAAAAGAAAGTGTCCTCCCCGGTGCACGTGGCGCGTCCCAACTCCTGCACCGCACACCATTCGATAGCCCGTTCGATTCTCTACACGATGCTGTTTTCCCCGTACCGGTCGGGCCCACGGTTACCGAGATATTGCACCGGGACCGGACCCGTGTCGGGCAAATTTGGCTGTTTTCGCCCGTTTTTGCCAGCCGATTAATATATGTAAAGTCTATGACGCGAATTTGCACTTTTTGGGCACGCGCCACGCGCTCGCTATCGATCCGATCGAGCTGAGACCCATCAAAGGCACGTTGTCCATCCTTGTTCTATGAGTTGCGCAAACTTCAGCGCGGTAGGTGCAACGGTGTGACCTGTAACCCGCGCTACGTAGCACCATGTCGCGACCTTCGTAATAGACAGAAACTACGTCACCACAAATAGTAATATAGATTGATTGAAATATTGTATTATTCATAACATACTTTTGGTTCCTAGGATGCAACGACCCACCCAAATTTGCCTTAAAATGCCTTGACATCTAGCCCTAACCGTGACCAACCTCAGCAGCTGTCCCAATCACTGGTCCCTGACCTCTGATCCATGATCCCTGATCTGTACCCGCTGCCGTCAGACGGAGCTGATCTCTCCGGCCCACTATGGTACCAGCGTGGCGGAGGAGATCCTGAACGTGCCGCTCAGCATGACGCACAAACACCGCCTGGTCAAACGTGAGTGGCATATCACACAAACACCGCCTGGTTAAACGTGAGTGGCACAAACACTGGTTAAACGTGAGTGGCACAAACACTGGTCAAACGTGAGTGGCATATCACACAAACACCGCCTGGTCAAACCGGTGTGTTATATCACACAAACATTGATTGGTCAAACGTGAGTCGCACAAACACCGCCTGGTTAAACGTGAGTGGCACAAACACAGGTCAAATATGAGTGGCACAAACACTAGTCAAACGGAAGTGTCACAAACACTGGTCAAATATGAGTGGCACAAACACTGGTCAAATATGAGTGGCACAAACACTGGTCAAACGGTAGTGTCACAAACACTGGTCAAACGTGAGTGATCACTCGACTCCACACCGCCACTGAGTCACCCGGTGCTGGTGGCAGAGGACGTCCTGTCGTTGGTTAGTGGCGTGATGCCGTGGTGCGGGGTGCTGATGGCGGTTTCGCTCAATGGTGCTGGTGTCACCGGGGCAATAGCAGTGTTGTATTTGATGACATTGCTTGCTGTACCAGCTGCATATTAGCTTACCGATAGGCTGTAATTTGTAGGTATTTACCGGGGATGTTTTCAATATAGTCCTTCAGACGTGGCACATTTGAAAACCAATTTGCGTGAAAACAACTGTTCTTGAGATACATGATAGCTGTATCATGTGATCCATTCTAATATGTCCCCCCAGAGCTGGGCAGTCTGGACGGCGCGGTGCAGGCGGGTCTGATCCGCCGCCAGTGGGGCGACTCCGAGTCCCCCGGCGCCGGCGCGCCGCTGCCGCGCACCCTGCCGGAGCCGGCCGCCGTCGGGAGGACCGCTCTGCTGCTGGATATTTCGCAGCTCATGGACGAGGGCTACCCGCTGCCCGGCGCCGGACAGTACAGCAAACAGTTCGCCGGATTCGTGCCCACCAAGGACAAATACAAACCGGTGAGAAAGTGGGACAAACACAGACCAGTGAGAGACGGGGGACAATGAATGCAGACCAGTGGCGGGGGGGGGGGGGACAACCAGTGGCGGGGAGGGGGACAAATACAGACCGGTTAGAGAGGGGGCAGGGGTTTTGGTGGGGACTCAGAGGTGTCCGATCAGGACATGTAGAGAATGGCGAGTGATTACAGTGGCGAAGCACGGACCGCGAGTGAGGAGTGACCGGATTTGGGGGTGCCTTGGTCAGAGATGGCCTCTCGTAGGTGATAAATGACTCTGAGACCACCATGCGTGACGCCGCAGCACCAGGACTCAGTGAGTCTAATGTGTGACATGGCTAGCACGTCGGTATTTTGTCATGAAGAGGCGCTCGCCGTTCGTGGCGCTCATCTCGCCCGGTCTGAGTATGTGTGTGGGGGGGGGGGGGGGGGGACGCCGGTGGCTCGATTGAAGGGATGCTACTGATGACCTCATGTGTCATGGCTGGCTGTCCCTCTCAGTCGTACAGTAACCCCAGCTGACGGTGACTTCCCTTCTTGTCCCAGGTGACGGACCAGTCCCCGATGTACTCGATCGACTGCGAGATGTGCGTCACGCGCAGCGGCTCCGAGCTGACCAGCATCTCCGTACTGGACGAGTCCGAGCAGCTCGTCTACGGCACGCTGGTCAAACCGGACAACCCCATCCTCGACTACGTGACCCGGTACTCGGGCATCACAGCGGAGCGACTGGAGGTGGGTGCAGAGAGGGACGGAGGGTGCTGTGGTGTCACCGCCGAGCGACTGGAGGTGGGTGCAGAGAGGGAAGGAGGGTGCTGTGGTGTCACCGCCGAGCGACTGGAGGTGGGTGCAGAGAGGGACGGAGGGTGCTGTGGTGTCACTGCCGAGCGACTGGAGGTGGGTGCAGAGAGGGACGGAGGGTGCTGTGGTGTCACCGCCGAGCGACTGGAGGTGGGTGCAGAGAGGGACGGAGGGTCCGAGGGGAGGGTGCTGTGGTGTCACCGCCGAGCGACTGAAGGTGGGTGCAGAGAGGGACGGAGGGTGCTGTGGTGTCACCGCCGAGCGACTGGAGGTGGGTGCAGAGAGGGACGGAGGGTCCGAGGGTAGGGTGCTGTGGTGTCACCGCCGAGCGACTGGAGGTGGGTGCAGAGAGGGACGGAGGGTGCTGTGGTGTCACCGCCGAGCGACTGGAGGTGGGTGCAGAGAGGGACGGAGGGTCCGAGGGGAGGGTGCTGTGGTGTCACCGCCGAGCGACTGAAGGTGGGTGCAGAGAGGGACGGAGGGTGCTGTGGTGTCACCGCCGAGCGACTGGAGGTGGGTGCAGACAGGGACGGAGGGTCCGGGGGGGAGGGTGCTGTGGTGTCACCGCCGAGCGACTGGAGGTGGGTGCAGAGAGGGACGGAGGGGAGGGTGCTGTGGTGTCACCGCCGAGCGACTGGAGGTGGGTGCAGAGAGGGACGGAGGGTGCTGTGGTGTCACTGCCGAGCGGCCCAGGCCGGTCGAGGCTGTAAGCAGAGTAATCTTTTGTGGAGGCTGAGGGGTGGAGTGGAGGCTGTCTCTAGTAGTGGGGAGGGTCTGGGGGAGAGGGAGAGACTGGTGCAAGGCTGCGGTTATGGAGGCAAGGTCCATGCTAGCCGCCAGGTCAGTAGGTGGAACTATGGTCATGAGTACCCAAATATAGGAACGTTCCCATTTTTGGGAACGGAGTTCCCAAATATGGGAACGGGCGTTCCCATTTATGGGAACGGAAGGTAATTTTTCGGCCGTTCGCCCACTAAAACTCATTAGTGCATCACGTCTCAAAAAAGTGCACGCTAATTTAAGTATCTACTAAGTCTCTATAAAATTATCTTTAATCTGACCGTTGCACAAGAAAATTGACCGTCGAATGATATTTTTAATGATTTTTTGAAATGACGGAATGGTGAAAACATGGGTTATACTACATTTAACTTGCAATTTTAAGGAAAATGAAGCGTTTTTTACATTTTGAGGTCAAGTATAATAATTTTCGCCTGGTTATGAAGTTCCATACTAGCAACACCAGATGCTGACATATGCAAGCGAACACGCGGACAGTCCGGGGGTAATATTGGTGACATTTGGTGTCGGGGCGCACGACCGCATGGAACGTCAGTGATTTTACCGAACTACTGTTGTAAACTCAGTTTCAGTGGTTTAAAATTATTCAGCTGTATTTTATCATCCCAGAAAGACATATTTTATTTGGATGCTAGCTGTTTAGAGTTGTTTTATAAGGAGCGTCATGAGCGTGGTTTTTGTCTTCCGTGTTTCTAAGCGTGATCGTTTTGGGGGAATTTCTCTTATATAGGTCGCTCTGTGTGGCTTATTTATAATTTTTATGCTGATTTCGATCATTCCTCGTGCCCATCCTACCAGGCCTTTTGCCACTTACACTCATCAAGAAAGGAAAAAACTAGATTTTCATTGGGACTAGGTGTTTTGAGGGTGTAACATATTCAGCGTTCCCATTTTTGGATACTTCCTTGTGCTCGTCAACTATCGGTGATAAACAGACAGGTGCTTGACATGTCTCCACCCTCGGCGCGGACGGTGGATATAGGTATGGAAGACCTTGTTGAACATCGCTGAGCGTTGTGAATTACGTAATCCTGCAGAGGGGGGCGTGCCCTCTGCGAGATCGACGGGAATAAAAGCGCAGAAGACCGGGCGAAACATGCTACGGTCTTGCCGGAAAGGTCATCTGGTGATTGTTGCGTTAACAATAATTTGCGACGTTGGACATGATGCTTGTTAATGAAAAGAGCCCCTGAAAGGCGTCGGTGAAATCGTTCCCAATTTTGGGTACGCCGTTCCCATAATAAGGAACGCTTGCAGCGCCAGTGTACGAGAGCGTTCCCAAATTTGGGCTCGCGGCCCGGGTGATGGACTGCTTTAGAAATAGGGGAACGATTTGAAACTACGATGGGCCTTACAATATCAAACTCTTTCCCAACAATATTGAGACAAATATCAGGCGGTTCACGATCGCTTTATATTTTTTGGACGTCATTTAACGGTTCTTTTTCTTTGTTTTAAATAATACCTACATGGCGCTCCCATATTTGGGTTTATCGTTCCCAAACATGGGAACGAAAATGCGTTCCCGAAAATGGGTACGCTTGACCATAGTTCCGCTTACTGAGGTATTGATCGTTGAAGATGTGCCCAAGTGTAAAGGTATGAATCACTGACCTAGACTGGCCCCCATATCCGGCATCCGAGTCGGTTATGATGCGTTGCTGACCGGGACCTCTCACACTGCTCCAAAGGCTGTAATGGGCGGACTTTGAGAGGTTCAACCAGAATCTCAACAAGTGGGTGATTTGTCCCATATTGTCAGCGCGAGTCGAGCATACCAGCTGTCCGTCGTCGACCTCGGAGTTGTGTGTGCCAGGGGATGTAGCGCAGTGGTAGCGCGTTCGCTTTGCATGTGAAAGGCCCCGGGTTCAATCCCCGGCATCTCCAGTCTTTAGTTCCTCGCGTGCTGTGGCAGGTGGTGGGGTGCTGGCTGCTGCTTTAGCACCCTCCCCTCCCCCCATTACAAGATGGGTAAATGAGGCGCGTGCCTGTGATCAGGGCGTGCTGCGTGGATGTCAAATTTGGACAACCGTATGCGAGGGTATCTGTAATGCAATATCGACTATTTTTCCCGCTTATAGCAGAAACAGCAGATTTTTTGATGCACACAAAAGAAGTGTCATACGACTGATACCCCGTGGATGTGTCCGCTGGCCGTGACCAGTGTGTGTGTGTGCCCGCAAGGCCCAGGGGATCTGACCAGTGTGTGTCTGTGCCCGCAGGGTCTGAAGACTGGCCAGTGTGTGTCTACTGTCTGTGCCCGCAGGGGGTGACGACTTGCGAGTGTGTGTCTACTGTTTGTGCCCGCAGGGGCTGACGTTGTGTGTGTGTGTCTGTGCGCGCAGGGGGTGACGACTCGGCTCGAGGACGTGCAGAAGGCGCTGCGGGAGCTGCTGCCGGCAGACGCCATCCTCATCGGACAGAGCTTCAACCACGACCTGCGCGCCATGCAGGTAACTCGGGGCTGAGCTGCAGGCAACTCAGGGCTGAGCTGCAGGTAACCTGGGGTGGGCTGCAGGTAACTCGGGCTGAGCTGCAGGTATCCTGAGCTGAGCTGCAGGTAACCCGTACTGAGCTGCAGGTAACTCGGGGCTGAGCTGCAGGTAACTCGGGGCTGAGCACCAGGTAACCCATACTGAGCTGCAGGTAACTCGGGCTGAGCTGCAGGTGACCCGTTTACTGAACGGCAGGTTACGCGGGCTGGTGTCTCGCTACCAGCAGGCTGATTCGGGAGAAACAAGGTCTAGTTGTACAGTTAGTGACATAGTTTGTAGCTTGTTCCCCTTTTTCTCAACACTGCGGCCCTTTTTGCCCAGCCACAGCATCAGGTGGAAGCTGAGAATGTCATCTGGTAATTTAGGTAATTGTTAGGCCTCTGCGTCTGAGTGTGTTTACCACAGAGGTGCGGGGTATTCTGCCATCGCGGTGCCGCTACTGTACTTCATGCGCTGAATGACTGTGTCCCTCTCATTTGTCTTCTTTAATGCATTTTCATAGCTCAAACTAAGGCTTCAATTTTCTTTGTTAGCTTCTGGATGTTTAATAATTTTGATTGGATCCATAATTTTCTCCTCGACAGATCGTTCGTAACCTTTTTATTTTCATCTATAGAGGAGGTTAACCCTCGCCCCGTTGGGGGTGGGGGCCATGATTTGCCCCCCCCCCCCCCTGTGTTTTTCCTGAATAGCAAGAAAACGGCGGCGCGCGGCGCCGCCAAATTTTCAATACCTTCCCGGGCATCAATTTGACACCTTCACACAAAATTTCAAGTCTTAGGTCACCTTAGGTCAGGAGTTATTGAGGTCAAACTGAGGTCATGTTCGAGCAAAAATGAGCAAAAAACATGCAATCTTGAAACGCTCACCAAATCTACAGTTACCAAGCAATTTCAAAGTTCTTGATATGGTCATGTAGCCGCAACACTGCTATCTCGGATTTTCAAAATTTTTGGTTTTTGACCCCCAAAAATTCAAAAAAAAATTTTGACCCCCAAAAATTCAAAAAAAAAATTTTGACCCCCAAAAATTCAAAAAGATTTTAGAAAAACTAGAAAAAATAAAAAACGAATTTCGAAAAAACCGGAATTAATGTGATAGTCCCTGCGCTCTTCTATATACATACCAAATTTCAGATCGATATCTCGTTTTTTGGCCAAGTTATAGCGAAAATCAAATTTTTGATCTCAATTTTTAGCGATTCTAGACCACGTAGGGCAAAATAAAGACCACCATTGAACTCCCCGTGACGAGCTGCATCGAATCGATACCCATTTTATGCAAAAATATGAACTTTGAAATTTGACCTAATTTGACCTGACCTTCACCTGACCTTCACCTGACCTTCACCTGACCTTCACCTGACCTTCACCTGACCTTCACCTGACCTTCACCTGACCTTCACCTGACATTCACCAGAACATAATCTAAACTGACCCCAAAGGCTGCCTGACCCACATAATCGTATTTGGCATATAAAATGGACCATAATACATGCATCACATGATATTTTCATATTGTGACCCTCAGTGACCTGACCTCTGTGACCTGACCTGGTATCAGTGACCTCATATAGCAAAATATGTGTTTGAAGAACATTTCCCCATCGATGATTTTCAATGAAATGCATTTTACTCGATTTTACAACGCATTTCTTGAAAAGCCTGTAAACGGTGAAAATTCGACCTTTGACCTGACCTGTGACGTCATGGTTTGACCTAGGTCAATGAAATTGGGTCACAAGGTAGTTCCCGGGTGGGGCTATCGAACGCCGTTTGCTGCTTGTCGCTAGGTTGCGTGGTTCTCGAGATCTTGGGGGGGGGGCAAATTGCCCCCCCCCCCAACAGGGCGCGTTGCTCGGCAGAGCCCAACGGGGCGAGGGTTAACACTACTTGCGCGGGTAGCGCCTAGCAGCACTGAGTGCGTCTGGGGCCGATCGACGGCACCGCCTGCCGCCAACTGACCCCTCCCTGCCTCCCCCCCTCTGTCTCAGATGATGCACCCGTACATTATCGACACGAGCGTCATATTCAACGTGACGGGGGTGCGGCACCGCAAGACCAAGCTGTCGCTGCTGTCCTACATGTTTCTCGGAGAGACTATACAGGTAACGGCCGAGGACGGGGACTGCCACCCGATCCCAGGCTGGGTTGGTTCACACCCGGTGCCATAGCCACGAATCTCAACAAACGAACGCATTTACTTAGAGGGTAGCCACATCAATAATTAGTGATGGGCGTGATTTACATGCTCCAAAAATAGACACGAGTTTGCTCAATCCTTCCTTGAGTTTGCTCAAAGAACGCAAGCCTGGATGGATGAATTTAATAAATGGTGTTGCCAATGCTCTTTAGAAATGTCGAGGACTGCAACTATCGAACAAAATGACGCTGAGTCGCCTTCCGATGGTCCATTACCTTTATTTAAGCCGCATCGGCAAGATTCGTTTTAAAATGGCGAAATGGCGACGTATCTGACACAGTGTTTCTTTTGTCACTGACTGCCTCCCCCCCCCACAGAACGATGTGACCGGCCACGACGCCACTGAGGACGCCCTGGCGGCTCTGCGACTGGTGCAGCGTAAACTGGCGCGCGGCTACACGTACGGGGACGCGGCGCAGGGTGGCTACGTGCCCTGTATGAACGGCAGCGGTCCGGAGCCCGAGGACGACTCGGCGCTGCCGGCGGCCGTCAACATGGACGGCTACTACACCAGCCTGCTGGGACGGGTCCAGGAGGTCGGCGTTACCAGTGAGTATACCAGCTCTGTGTTAGTAACTGCACCAGCCTGCTGGGACGGGTCCAGGAGGTCGGCGTTACCAGTGAGTATACCAGCTCTGTGTTAGTAACTATACCAGCCTGCTGGGTACCAGTGAGTGTACCAGCTCTGTGTTAGTAACTATACCAGCCTGCTGGGTACCAGTGAGTGTACCAGCTCTGTGTTAGTAACTACACCAGTCTGCTGGGGCGGGTCCAGGAGGTCGGCGTGACCAGTGAGTGTACCAGCTTTGTGTTAGTAACTACACCAGTCTGCTGGGGCGGGTCCAGGAGGTCGGCGTTACCAGTGAGTGTACCAGCTCTGTGTTAGTAACTACACCAGTCTGCTGGGGCGCGTTCAGGAGGTCGGCGTTACCAGTGAGTGTACCAGCTCTATGTTAGTAACTACACCAGCCTGCTGGGGCGGGTCCAGGAGGTCGGCGTTACCAGTGAGTGTACCAGGTCTATGCGAGTAACTGCACCAGCCTGCTGGGGCGGGTCCAGGAGGTCGGCGTCACCAGTGAGTGTACCAGCTCTGTGTTAGTAACTGCACCAGCCTGCTGGGACGGGTCCAGGAGGTCGGCGTCACCAGTGAGTACACCAGCTCTGTGTTAGTAACTGCACCAGCCTGCTGGGGCGCGTCCAGGAGGTCGGCGTTACCAGTGAGTGTACCAGCTTTGTGTTAGTAACCGCACCAGCCTGCTGGGACAGGTACCAGTGAGTGTATCAGCTCTATGTTAGCTACTACACCAGCCTGCTGGGGCGCGTCCAGGAGGTCGGCGTTACCAGTGAGTGTACCAGCTTTGTGTTAGTAACCGCACCAGCCTGCTGGGACAGGTACCAGTGAGTGTACCAGCTCTATGTTAGTAACTACACCAGCCTGCTGGGGCGGGTCCAGGAGGTCGGCGTTACCACTTACCAGTGAGTGTATCAGCTCTATGTTAGCTACTACACCAGTCTGCTGGGGCGGGTCCAGGAGGTCGGCGTTACCAGTGAGTATACCAGCTCTGTGTTAGTAACTACACCAGTCTGCTGAGACGGTCATCACTGATTATACCAGCTCTATGCTAGTAACTGTACCAGTCTGTTGGGGCGGGTCCAGGAGGTCGGCGTTACCAGTGAGTATACCAGCTCTGTGTATACCAGCTCTCTACACCAGTCTGCTGGGGCGGTTACTAGTGAGTGTACCAGCTCCTTGTTAGTAACTACACCAGCTTGTTGGGATGGCTACCAGTGCGTGTACCGCTCTATGGTAGTAACTACGCCAGTCTGCCGAGACGGTTATCAGTGAGTGTACCAGTTCTACATAGTAACTGCACCAGCCTGCTGGGACAGGTACCAGTGAGTGTACCAGCTCTGTGTTAGTAACCACACCAACGTGCTGGGGCGTGTCCAGTCCAGGAGGTCGGCGTCACCAGTTAGTGTACCAGCTCTATGTTAGTAACTATACCAACCTGCTGGGGCGGGTACCAGTGAGTGTACTAACTCTATGCTAGTAACTACGTCAGCCTCCTGGGGTGGGTCCATGGAGGACTCGGCGTTACCAGTGAGTAATCTATGCTAACACCTGTGTCCTGAAGGTGCCAGCCTGCTGGGACTGTACCATACCGGCCACCCGGGGTTCTATGTATATAAATGCTGCACCATGTCTGCTCCGCGTTCGAACGTTTGTACTGAGTGATGCTCTGATTTGGTTATGCATCAGTCTGGGACGGCTGCGATATCAATTAGGCTGTGGAGTTTACTATACCAGTCTGCCTGCCAGGCGCGCTGTCTCACTCAAACAGGCGGCACTCACACTCCACTACACTGACCGGCACGGTCACCATGCCTCAGCTCATGCCGCCCAGCCCACACCCCGACTGAGTACTGACTCCACTGGCCGTGTCCCCAGCGTCGATCGTGGCCTCCGGACCGGGGGCCGACATCTACCGCGTGGCGTGTGAGGCTACCAGCCACCCGTCCCTGAGCCTGGACCACGTCCCCAGCAACCGGCAGGTGAGAAGGGGCCCCTGAGCCTGGGCCAGATCCCCAGCCACCCGTCCCTGAGCCTGGACCAGGTCCCCAGTCACCCGTCCCTGAGTCTGGACCAGGTCCCCAGTCACCCGTCCCTGAGCCCGGACCAGGTCAGTGTGTGTGTGTGTGGGGGGGGGGGGGAGGCTGAGCCTAGACCAGGTCCCCAGCACCTGGCAAGTGAGAAGGGGGAGGTCCCTGAGACTGAACCAGGCCCCCAGTCACCCGTCCCTGAGACTGGGCCAGGTCCCCAGTCACCGTCCCTGAGCCTGGGCCAGGTCACCAGCAACCCGTCCCTGAGCCTTCACCAGGTCACCAGTCGCCGTCCCTTAGCCTGGACTAGGTCCCCAGTCCCTGAGTCTGGACGTTCCCAGTCACCGTCCCTGAGCCTGGACCAGGTCCCCAGTCACCGTCCCTGAGCCTGCACCAGGCCCCCAGTCACCTGTCCCTGAGTCTGCACCAGGTCACCAGCAGTGGCGGCTCTCACCGACTGGGCTGGGCCCCGAGGGCGATGTGCTGTGCCGGGCAGATAGTCGGTGTCTGAGTGCTCACCAGGGCGTGTGTAGATCCGCTCCGTCCATAATGCATGCTCTGTGTGTACATTTAGAGAGGGAAACCCGCCGTACCTGACTGCACTGGGAAGTGTGTTTACCATTCAATTCCATTGGTCGGCGCCCGCCTGACATCATGCCGGGTGTGATCTGCGCTCTGCGGTGGGGCTGTCCGCTCTCCTCCGGCCCATCTGTCGGTATTCCCGGGGAGCTCCGTAGACCATCACCGCCGCTACCTGAGGCCCTCTCTCCCGGCCTGGCACCGGCCCCCGTCGGCTCCCAACGGGTACCTGGCGGCTCCTTTTGGTCCGGGCGTTACTGGGGGTTCTCGGTGGTTTGCAGCGGCTCTCGGTGGTTACCGACGGCTCCCGGTGGTTGCCGACGGCTCCCGGTGGTTCCTGGCGATAGGTATCTGGCCGGCTCCCACCCTGTCCCAACACTGCTGCTGATGGCAGTACCCTGCACGTATGACCGGCGTCTATCATCCCGGCCAACAGCCGCCGGCGGTCGGTTAGTATTCCTGTGCCGTACACCGGCTCTGTGGGATCGGCGGCCATCTCCCGACTGAAAGTGGCACCGGCGTCTCTGCAGCTGCCGTCCCGTGGAAACCGGCAGCGAAAGCACACAGACCCGCCGGCGTCCTGTGGGCGACTGCGGGGCCTCGGGATAGTCCGGCCTGGCTCAACAGCATTCGGCTATATGTGTGCGGTGGCGCGCTGACAATTCCAGTCGCTGGCTATCAATGAGGTATTGATGCCATTTAGATGCGAAGCGCCGATTCCTCGCAGCAGGGCCTCCGAGGTGTCCACCGGTGTCCCTAAAAATAGACGGTTCAGCGCTCTCTGCCCTCCTAAAATAGACTACAACCGACCAGCCACTATGAACAACAGTAGTGCCTCGTGAGGGAAACCTCCTGTATCACCTGTTTGTAATTCTGTAACGTGTGCTGTATATCATCTAATGACTGAGATCATGGGTGAGGCTATGGTTTCCACTTGCAGCGCCTATGTTAGTTTCACCAGAGTCCCTACCACCGCCGCCGTCACCTCCTGCTGCTCGGCCGTTAGCGGCGGCGTTAGCGGGCATCCAATGGTGACCGCGGTGGGTACCCGAGCCGAGCCCGCGGGGTGGGCGGTGACTTCTGTTCGATCGGGTGGCGGGATCTTGATATGATCAGATATTGCCCGACTCAAGGACCTTCCGAGTTCCGACCTGACCTGACCTGACCTGACCGGTCGACTGTCCGTTGGGGTCAACTACCAACTACCCTTATACGAGCCCTAACCTTTTACCTGAGCCGTAATCCGATCCACGACCTATCATCATGCCATGGACTCGTGACATTATCCATGATAAGCACATTTCGACCCTAATGTTCAATAACGGTCAAGTAGGTACCTATCGTAAGTAAGAAACGTTCAAGTAATGTCCAATGAACACGTAGTAGCCCCACTGTCAGCGCGCTGTGGTGCCCCAACTGCCACCCCGCTAACAGTCCCCGGTGTGTTCGGCTGCCAGGCGTGTGACCGGGCCGGCCGGCTGGTGAGCTCTGCCGACCTGACCCTGTGTCACATGGAGCTCAGAGACCGGCTGCACTGGTCGTGGCCGGCGGGCCGGCGGCGGCGCCACCTGGCGCGGCTCGACAAACGCCTGCGCCGGCTGTACCGGGCCGCGCCGGAGCGCTGTCTCATCACCGTGGTGTGCGCCGGGGCCGGCGGGCAGACGGGAGACGTAGAGAACGGAGTCTGCCTCACCGCAGTCAAATTGGTGAGAGGGAACGCTGGTACATTTTGTAAGACGCTTGTTTCCATCGTATACACCATTTCGGTGGAGTGTTGAGCGCGGGGGATGTAGCGCAGTGGTAGCGCGTTCGCTTTGCATGTGAAAGGCCCCGGGTTCAATCCCCGGCATCTCCACTTCTTGCTGTTATGACGTTAGCGCACAGTGAACAATCTTATGCTGAAAATGAATGAAAGCCCAATGTAGCGTTAAAATGATTCTTGTGATTTTGGATTCAACCGGAAGTCACAGAGATGCGATTTTCGACACTCTCTGATCGATTACATGTCGGGCTCAGCTCACCGCAGGCACCAAGTGGCAAGCGGTGGTTTTGTTTTAGGTGCGGAGTGCACAGTCAGTCTTGAAAGTACCGCGCATCGCTGCGATGGATCCATCAAGCCCGACTGAAGAAGGGCTGCTAAATTTGAGAGTCACTGAACCAACTGGGATTCTCATCCATCTCACAGGTCCATAGGTTCGGTGACTCAATTTTAGCAGCCCTTCCTCGGTCAGGCTTGACGAACCCATTGCACCAATGCACAGTACTTTGAAGGCTGACTATACGAGTACAACATCCGAGTTACAAGTGAGGGGGACCAGCCTTACGCGGCATTGTGCGTACGTTAAACTTCACACTCTAAATTCTACCATAGACAGGAATTACGCGATTCGGGAGGTAGGGGGCACGGCTTACGCAACAAGCTCCTTTTAGTGGGTGCTCTGCCGTTGGAGACTTCCATTGGAAAGGTTCGGACAAAATCTATACTAAAAATATTAATGAACTAACCTCAAAGTTGTTTTAAGCTAAAGGAAACAAGTTGGCAAATGCTGGGGACAGCATGGCCTTTTACATTAAGCGCTGTCTCCCACCACTACGCCTTGTGCTTGACGACATCTCGTGTGTGCTATTCTAATTTTGTTTGTCTTTTTTCAGTCAGACGACGACGTGGCGCGCAGCTCCGCCGATAACGACGACGACACGGACGACCACAGCTGATGGCGTCACTGCGCGGGCACTAGGTACTGTGTGACGTCACTCTGCGGGCACTGGGTACAGTGTGAAGTCACTATGCGGGCACTGGGCACAGTGTGACGTCATTTCACATCTCTGGACGTTCTAATGTACTGCCAGGGCTGGGACATTTGTTCATAAGGGGGAATTTGATGGGGTATCGCGACCGGATGCGTTGTTTTCTGTTTGTGTGAATTTCGCTGTGGATGTTGTTACTTGTGTTGATGAAATGCTGGTTTCACATGTTTCCGAAGTGCCTCTGCATCTACATAGTGACGCCACACCTAAGTGTGGCCGAAACCAACATTGTCAATTTTTACACATTGCTCTTTTTGTGTTTTGGCTTTTTGGCCTTTGCTCGACCGAAATTCCGCGACTTTAGGCTGGTGTGTCATTGCCGTTTGCTATGAGCAGGGTACAAAATACAAATGTCTGCTGTTGACCCGCGGATCCCTCGGCTATCTAGCGAAATACGCGCTGGTGTGTGAGTAAACTATGAAAATTCAATTAGAGACCAGTCTGGTGCGACGTGTACAAAACACGAACTGGCGATTTAGGCTGTATGAGGCCCGTGATTCAGCGATCACCGCTCAGTAACAGTGTAAAATACAATACAGTGGTACAAACCAAGCTGATTTGTTATTTCAAATCATCTTTAATCGTTGTGGCTAGGCCCTGGTCAACTTTACGCAGTCTTTATTTACCCCGCGTTCGATGTCTCTCGGACGACGAAGATTCTACGTCGTCCGGCCCATCGCGTTCAAGGTCAGCGGGGGCTCGGCTGCGGTTATGGAACGTGATTGGCGGGACGAAGTAGAATCTTCGCCTGTCCGAGAGACATCGAACGCGGGGTTAGTTTGCATCGGAAACCAGTTAGTCGAAAGGACAGCAGAGTATACCTACTCGGGTGAATGTAAAAGCGTGGAGCCTGCTCGGGTCGCTCTTCAGAAACGTGATTCACGGAGACTGTGTGGACAGTGGGCAATATTACTGAGAAGAAATACCTATTCCAAGGTAAATCCTTTGCATATTTTGGCACCAATTATTGGCATTTTAGCATTTATCCACCGCTCAGTAACATCGAATGGAGGCTTAAGCGCCGGTACAAACAAGGGTGACTATGCACAATGACTGTCCAATTTTGCGTGCAGACATCGGCAGTTTATTCTCCTTTGGATGTCCTGTCAGTAGACAAGACTGTTTGGGTGCACGTGCGGCCTTTGGTCGGTGTGGCGCCTCTGCCGGGTCAGACAACACGTGTGCACTCCACGTGTGATTATCGGGCCGATTCTCAGCAGATGACTCGCTCGCGAACTGTGTTTCCTCGACGACCCGTGACGTAATTGACCTTTACGGCATGCGGCGGTGCTTGTTTCCAATTGGCGGGCCGCTATATTTTCCTCTGACGTGATGTTATTTGTCGATTTTCCTGCGAGTGGCGGCGGGGAACGCTCGGGCTCGGAAAACATGTGGAAAGATCAGCGAGCCGAGCGGTCCGGGGTGTGTATACTGTACAGCCTTGCTGTGGCGTGACGTCACTGGGATGTTTTGATGACGTCACGGCGCGCTGGGCGCCGGCGGCCCGGGCGTGTGGCTGTGTACCGCGCCGGCGCGCCCGCGGGTCAGCTGAGCTCTCACAGACCGCCGGGCAGTTCAGCACCCGTGTGTGGACTGCCACTGGCAGTGTGGGCCGCGGGAAACGGTGGTGACCGGACGGGGGAAGCTGTCCGTTTTATAAATAGGTGTGGGATGTTTCAAATTAAGTGACCTTTCCTTTATTGGCAAGGAAATAACGCTAATACGACATAACTGCTGATTTTTTATGGTTTGTAGGTAGTCTATTCGAGCGTCAAACGACCTTTCGCTGGATGGGAAAGGAACTAATAATTCCAAGCTTGCAGTTTTTGTCTTTGTTGTTGTATGTTGATGTTGCTTTGTTCTTGTGTGTGTTTTTTATAACCTGAGGCCAGTTTTGCCAACAAGAAAAAACGCGCTATGGCGGTATTTTTGGTTTGTAAAAATTTCCAAATGTTTATCCAGTCACGCGAAAGGATAGCAACTGATGTGAAAGTACATGTATATTAGTTAGGCAGCTGACTGATACCTATAATTTTTGTCATCAGCGGGTTACATTTTTTAGCCTTAGCTGCTTAGCTGGCCAAAGTCAGTAGCGACCTTTTAAGCTAAACAATAAACATACTAACGGTCGACGAATTTCCTAGTTGGTAATGCTGGCCTGGCTGGCGTTTGGTTTCTGGCCCGGCCCTACCCAACTCACTCGTCTCAGCAAAGTTGCTGGCAAAGTTGCCAAAGTTGCTGGTATAGCTGTGCTGTGGTTTGCCGTTTTACGGCATATCAGCATGACCAGCCATAGACCATAGTGGTCTATGGTCATATTACTAAGTGCTCGAGCGAGGAACATATTGAATATAATTAGATAAATAAAAAAAGTTGACCTTTTCCTCGACATCAAAAATGTAAAAAGCCGAATAATATATTTTAAAAAACGGTGAGCTTTTCAGGTGATTGTACACAGAAGAACGTCGTCTACAGGCTAAATTGTAAGTTGTGTGAAGGAAAGGGTGACGACGGCACATATATTGGCGAGACAAAACGACCTGTTCGACTAAGATTTAACGAACATTTACGAGACGCCTTGAGCGCATCCGAAGGGACCCCGATGGGAGACCACTTCCGTGAGCACCACCCCGGCGCGCCGCTAAACAAATCATCCCTTCCTCTTCAGGTTCGCGTCCTTTATCGCTCCAAAGACCACCCGGACAGAAAAATCGCAGAATCCCTACTTATAAAAGCAAACCGCCCGCACATAAACTCAAATCTTTCGTCGTGGCCAATCATGTAAGCGCCTGTATCATGTGTATCTTGTGAGCGTGTAGCCTTTTCAACTCAATCGATTAATATGTGTATGTGTATATTATTTTGTTATGTGTGTGATGTACATCGGCGTTAGTGTACATACCTTCCATACGATGTGTGTTTGACAGCTACGTGTACAATTGTATATTATGTATGTTACGTACATCGGACACTATGTAGACAATCGGTCTATCAAATAGTTTGCCCTTATGAGTAGCGCCTTTCCTAAAATATCACGATCTTCGGTTTTTGAAAAATGGCAGACAGATTATTCACAGGATCGTCTTTTAACATTGTTATCACGTTGGTTTGATAAAGGCCAGTGGCCGAAAGCTCACCGTTTTTTAAAATATATTATTCGGCTTTTTACATTTTTGATGTCGAGGAAAAGGTCAACTTTTTTTATTTATCTAATTATGTGGTCTATGGTCTATGGACCAGCCTTTCGTAAGTCTGGCGTGATGCAGAGTGCCAGGATCTGCGCTCTGCTGAATGTTGCCACTGGTCTCCACGTTAGTCTGGCGGGATGCAGAATGCCGTGATCTGCAGGGCCTCGGCTAACATGTTAACTTCTGGGGCAAATGCCCCAGTAGAGTCAAGGAATGCCCCAGTAGTGGTCAGGCTTTGCCCAACCTCCACAAAATGAGAATATATCCGTATTACCGTACATTCTTTCATTCGGGAGCGGTTGAAGACGTTTGTGGCAAGAAATCAGGGGCGGTGGAAGAGGGAGTGCACGGTGTGCAGCTGCACCCTCAATTTCCATCCAAAAACATAGGCGTGCATTGGCAAACATATCTTTTTGCACCCCATAATCCATCTTCGTTCGAAAGAGCGTCAAAAATAATGACGAAATTACTTCGGCAACTTTTTTGGTCAGGTCAGAGGTCAGGTCATGGTGATGGCCAAATTTCGCCGATTTTCAGGTCGAATATCGACAGTTTACAAGATGCCGACCGCCCGACGCATAACTCGGGAACCAATTAGAGCTACAGCACCGCAAAAAAGCGCATTTGATAGCCATATTAGATTGCTTTCTGGTTATTTCTCTTAGATTTGACCTAACGTCAACAGTTTTGCCTGCAAGGGGCAAAAACTAACAAAATAGATGTTTTTCCGGGAACAGTTACTCTGCAATAACTTTTGACTCATGCCTTGCATGAGCTTTCTTTTACCGACATCGTGTTCCTCTCGACAAGACGCATCAAATTAACTACAGCTTGACCTTGAAGGTCAACTTGAAAATTCGACCTCAGGTCAAGGTCATGATCTGACCGGAAATTGTCATGTTGCATATCAGTCGATCTGCATCGTCGAGCCAAACAACAACTAAGACATTTTCATCGCTCTAGCATGCCTCTTTCAAAAATTATTCGCGAAAAACTGTTAGATACCATTCGTGAACTGAGATGACCTCAGGGGCATAAACAAGGGTCACGGGTGCTATTTTCATGTTCAGTGTGTCAAAGTCACGTACAGTGTTTTATAGTGTTTAGAATGACTTTCGTCCAAAAGAGGTGGTTTTGAATTTTCTCCCATTGACTTATAATAGAGGTCGCAAAATTGAGCTGACCTTAGGTCACCGATATGAAAATTCCGAGATAAAAATTGTGTACATGCTGTTGCCCTTATCTTATCAATCGCTGAAAGTTTCAAAGCGATCGCTCACTCGGTGTAGCTACGGCATACATTGAAACATTTTATGAGGTGAAGTCACTTGAAGTGACCTGGTGACCTGATCTTGAATGACCTTGGTCTGAAATTTTTGCAACACGTGTAGAATTGATGGATGATGGAGCGACGTCCTTTTTGAGATATCCGCGAAAAACCGCAGGAAAAACCGCTGGGGTTCACCCCCCCCCCCCCCCCCCCCCAGCAGGGCGCCAACACACTTTGACAATTTGCCCCAGTAGTCAAAATTCCTTAGCCGAGGCCCTGGTGATCTGCGCTCTGCTGAATGTTGCCACTGGTCACGTTAGTCTGGCGGGATGCAGAATGCCGTGATCTGCGCTCTGCTGAATGTTTCCACTAGTCTCCACGTTAGTCTGGCGGGATGCAGAATGCCGTGATCTGCGCTCTGCTGAATGTTGCCACTGGTCTCCACGTTAGTCTGGCGGGATGCAGAATGCCGTGATCTGCGCTCTGCTGAATGTTGCCACTGGTCTCCACGTTAGTCTGGCGGGATGCAGAATGCCGTGATCTGCGCTCTGCTGAATGTTGCCACTGGTCTCCACGTTAGTCTGGCGGGATACAGAATGCCGTGATCTGCGCTCTGCTGAATGTTGCCACTGGTCTCCACGTTAGTCTGGCGGGATTCAGAATGCCGTGATCTGCGCTCTGCTGAATGTTGCCACTGGTCTCCACGTTAGTCTGGCGGGATGCAGAATGCCGTGATCTGCGCTCTGCTGAATGTTGCCACTGGCGGTGAGGAACGAACTTTGCTCCAGTCATTGCAGTCTGGTACATACATCCTTGAGGAATTTTGTGCAAGCTAATAAGGCTCTGCTTGAATTATATCTGGAATGTTTGAAAATGTACGTACGCACACGTTCGATATCTTTCTAAGTTTAGTCTGCCGTGTTCCCATTCGTTTTGATTATGTTACGTATGTAGTGCACGGGTGCGTACGCGTGCGCGCGTGCCGTCATATGGGAAGGTCACTGTTCTGATTTAGTCACTATTATACTCCACGAATAGACGTCACAGAAGATCGCGACCCGATTAGATCTGCGGAAGGCTGGCCATATGTGGCCGCCAGACGAGGCAGCAATAACATTTACACTCGCCCGCAGCGGGCACTGACGGGTTGGGCGCCTGGGTCGGCTGCCACTCCGGCCCGCTCGCGGCCCGGCCCTGCACGTGCAGTCTGGTTTAGTCTGCAGCCGGCACCGCCGGGGGACCCGCGCGTGTCAAACATAGCAGCCTGTTCACGGGCGCCGTATGCAGCAGACGCGGGAGTGCAGGCCGCGCCGACTGATATATACACATTGCTCAGTCGGTGAAACTGCCGACTGCCAAGAGAAGATGACCGAGGAATAGCTGACTTCGGCGATGACAATTCGCTCGCTATTCCGCTGTTAGATACTTACAGTTAAGACCTAGCCGGAATTCATAGGCGGGATGTTTCGAACTCGCTGTTGTGAGTGGGCGGATGGAAATATTTCAGCAGCCGGGAATTCCGTACCTTGCGACGCCTGACACCCACCCATGGTGTCTCCCGATATCGCATGTCCAGCCGTCATCCGGTGTGGTGTAGCACCCCCTTCTGCCGGCGTGGCCATGCAGCTCCGTGACTGCCGTGCCTCCCCTCCCCCCCCCCTCGGGTGGACCGGTTCTGGCGGCCCGAGTAACGCCTCCGCCGGCCGCCGGCCCTCAACAGCGGAACGTTCAGCAACGGAGGCGCAAACATTCCTCCAAACGGAATGAGGATGCTTTGCTGGAGCTGTTTTGTTTATTCGTTTTCATATTTTTGGAAATAGAGACGTTGGATGTTGTCAGCCGTACCAGTGAAGTAATCTTGGTCATACCTACTTTGTACCTTCCGATAAGCCATGCTGCATGCTGCGTGGATGACTGTGAATCTCCGTTTTCGGCAGGATGTTGGCTATGATAATATTTACCTATCTCAATAGCGGTTTACTGGTGGAATTGATCACTAATCCATTCCGTTCGACGTCAGTATGGTGAGGCCAGATCTCGATAAGGTCGGATTCACCGCTCGGTCAAACCGGAATTGGCCAACCTTGGAGTTGGATCAGCCTACAGACGCTGAATATCCAGTATTGCACCGTATGCATACGGGAAAAGGTCACCGGTAAGATTTTTACATACCTTACTGTCAGTAGAGCCATGCTTTTGGCGCTTATAGCGATTGAAGTACCTATACATACTACTACATACGATGTGTCCAGCGCAATAAATACGAACCGGCTGATTGCAAGTAGACCTTACGGTTTAGGTCATGGTTTTGACCATATTTCACACTTTTTTCCCTTTTTTTAAAAGACCTTTTAGGGTCAGCTCATAATTTGTTCGGCACGTCTCGCCAGGAAAACATGATGCTGGTAAAACTAAATTTCATGTGGTGTAGGCCATTTTGACTTTTTTGTCACTTTTTGTCTTATGTTACTTTTTTGTATCTTACTGACCTGAGGTCAGACATGATTGCATTTTTGCTACCGTAAAGTGGGGCTATTTGAGACAGTATTTAAAATCGCTATAAAATGAAGAGCGTTTGATTTTTATGTGATATTTTTGCTCAGGAAGGTGTGGAATCGAGCAGTAAATCCCTGAGAAAAAATATGCATAAATTTCAAACGGTTTTTATTTTATAGCAATTTTAAATACTGTCTCAAATAGCCCCACTGTCTCAAATAGCCCCACCTTACGGTATCAACAATGTTTCAAAAAGAGATATATCGAGTCTGTTTTTCTATGACATTCGATCTAAGAGCTCACGGACTGTGGAATAATTCGCCGAAGAATATGATCTTGAGAAAAAATTGCCTTATGTGACCCCATTTGGTTTCGTACCTTTGACGTGGCGAAAAATGACCGATCATGTTGACGCTCTTTCGAACGACACTGGGATGCGTAAAAAATGTGTTGTACGATCGTACTACCGCCCTGGCGTGGATTAAATATAACTATTGCTTTAACAATGTTTGTTTGCAATGCTTCAGTGATTTTTGACAGCATTTATAATCTGCTTTGATTGAGTTCATAACGTGACATTATCGTGACGTCAAGATATAAATGGCGACATGGATTCGGTGAGCATCTAAGAATAGTGCTAGCCAAAGACCCTGACATTCAGGCGCAGCCGGGCGAAGAAAGACGGCTTATGGTTCTCAGAGGTCTGACATTTGCGCTCTCTTCACCTATAGGTGAATGGAGGCACGCTATCCGAGAGTGCGTGCTGTGCTGTGCATGCTCGGTTGCTAATTCCATTGTATTTTGCGGTGTGGCGCTCTGTGCCAGTGTCATTCAGCCCACAGTTTTAGCCGATTTCAATGTCACGACTCGGGTGGAAATACCGGCGACGTCAGCCGGCCGAGCTGCACACGATCGGCTGCCGCATAATTCACCAGTCATCGTGGCGAGACGGCCACCTAATTGGATTTGGTGACGGCGATACGATCTGTGTGCAGCGCCGTGCCGTCGGTTCACCGCGCTCCACTGTTCCTGAAAACGCTGACGGCCCAGGGTTACCGGGTGTGGGCTCTCACCGCTGTTTGTTGCATGTAACGGTGATGTTGAACATGTGCATCACTTGTAACGACAATTTTCTGTAATACTTCAATATTTTCTTTGTATCTAATTACACCAGTTTGAACTTTCGCCTTCTGCCTTCCATTGTAGTCTCGTTTCCCCGATGTAATGCAGAGTTTTGTTCTCATTCTAGTGAACAACGTTTAGGTACAACATTTCCTAATGAACACAAATGCGATGTGTTTTGAAAACATCATCACTGATCACGATTCAGCACATCGACTGAAGTTAGATTTTTTTGTGCAGACGTCAACTATACGTAACGCTGCCTTATGAAGTGAACCTCTTGTCTCAAGGAACTTAGAACACCTCGTCATAAAAAGCATGTATTCACAATATCATCCTAATCACAACTGGCGTGGCAACTCACAAGGACCCCACAGTACCACGCTGAACCTGAAGGCCTTCTATCGCTCTTTGTGCGGTGGTTTTACAACGCCTGGTCGTTGCCCGTGCTCGATAACTCGCCTGGGGTGACAGAAGGCCGCGGGACGCCGTCATCCGCCATCCGCATCGTCACGATCTCACCGAATCCAGAACTGGCCCAATCCTCGGCGAAATCGCACCCGCCCCCTGCCTGGCGCCTCATTGCCAATGCCCTCTCCTCCGCATACCTCGGCCCCTGCAGGTCCTTGTCCTCCTCTCTTGTCACATGTCACCTCAGGCGCCACCAACTAGAAGGCCCTCCCTCGAGCTCACTAACACCCACGTGTTGACCAGTCAGGTGCTACACGTCAACCGTCGCTCATAAGACATTGCACCTCTGCCATTGAAGCGCTCAGGCTGCTCAAGAACACCCGCCGGTCGGCGCACCCAGAAGACGCGCAGGTCAGAACACTTAGAATACCCGCCGGTCGGCACACCTAGAAGAGCACTTAGAAGGCGCACAGGTCAGCGTGCTTAGAACGCCCGCAGGTCGACGGTGGGGATGGCGAATGAGCGGCAGTGGCGCACGGCGTTGAAGAGCGGGTTGGGTGCGAAGAAGGCCAGCGGCTGCATGACGTTGACGTCCTCGACGTTGTCGCAGAGGATCCTGGCCCAGCTGGCCTTTTGGATCTCCCGCACCTGGGTGAACGTCAGGCTGTGCGGCATGTCCCCGTTGTCGTAGAAGTACCTGCAGAACAGAGGTGGGCGACGTCAGCGCATTGACAGATCGGCGTACACGATCAGAAATAGCTGCTGCTGCCTGCTTCCGATCATTGCGTAGCGAGTTGATTGGTAACGCGCCATTTCGAACTCTTTTAATTTTGCTCATTATTGATGACAACATCATGGTTGATCAATTGATCATCTTTTTCACGCTGATCGAAAAAATAGCTCTATCCCGGCAGACTATTCCCCGTGGTGGCCCTCCACGTGCACCTACCTGTCTCCGTAGCGCGTGGCGAAGAACTGCTCTCCAATGATGCACTGGAAGGCGGGGCCGACGAGCGCGCCGGGCACCTTTTTCTCTGAGACGCCGCCGATGTAGAGGTCGATGTCGAACACGCTCTGGTAGACGGCCCGCAGCTGGCGCAGCACGTCCGGCTCGAAGAACTCGCTCATCTCGTCCCAGCCGCCGGAGAGCGTGCGCTCCAGGCAGTTCTCGAGCACGGTGGCGTAGCCGGGCAGGCCGTGGTCGCGGCCGCGGTTGATGTTGAGCGCGATCAGGTCCAGGCCGGACGGCTGTCCCGAGGCGAACAGCTTCTCGTGCACGGCCGGCGAGAAGGTGTTGTCCACCATGCGCTGCTTCTGGCGTGTCAACGTGGTGGCCAGGTTGGTCATGAAGTTGGGCAGCTTCAGCATGTCCTCGCGGAAGAAGGAGTCCTCCATGGCGATGGCGGTGAGGTTCATGCCGTTCTGGGTCATCAGTTGGAAGACGTCCGGGATCTGGTGGTAAAATAACGGCGTGTTATGAACGTGTTGGTGAGGTGAGGGTCCCGTTATCTACCGGCTTTGGGATTGGTCCACCGGTCCGTCACTTAATTGTAGCTAACTCTTTGGGATTAACAACGATTTAGCTGATATAATGGCTCTATCATTGACAAGTGATAGTGATTTATAGTTAATGAAGGATCAGGGTCAGATCTGAACTTGACTTTGAATCTTGAATCCCAGTGGATAAGATCTTTAGGACTTTCAAGCACGTTTATACCCGTTAGCATTGCGAATGTTCCACACCCCGACGCTGCAGGGATTCCGCGTACCTGGGCGTGTCCGAAGCGGAAGGCGGCCGTGGAGAACTCTGCCGTCACGCGCGGGTCGATGACATTGGTGTAGCTGAACGAGTGGCCGAACTCGGGGTCCAGGCCGTGCTCGCGGGTGTACTTGAAGCCCAGGATGACGGGCAGGTACTCGTTGTAGATGATGTGCTGATACTCGCCGATGACGATGCGGCGCGCCTCCTGGAAGAGCTGCTCGTCGCTCCAGTGCCGGTGCAGGCGGCTCAGCGTGTTGGCCACCCGGTTGTGCTCGCGCGTCCAGACGGTGTGCATGAACGCCAGGCCGGGGTTTTCGCTCAGCCGGCCCTCGCCCGAGATGAAGCGGCCTCCCGACTGCGGCAGCAGGTTGCCGTCGCTCATCTTGAAGAGGCCGCCGGCGTTGAGGCGCAGCCGGCGCATGTCTGTGTCACTGCTGCCGTAGACGGTGGACAGGTCCAGGAAGTGGGTGACCTGGTTCAGCTGGCCAGTCGGGCCGGCGATGCAGTTCTCGAAGGGCGCCGGCAGCGAGCGCACCTGGTTCATGCAGGTGCGGCCGAACTGGGCGTACCACGGGTCGTCGGCCGGCACCGGGATCGGGTTGCAGCCGAGCGGGTGCAGCGGCTCGGCCGGCATCGTGTTGTCGCGGTTGCAGCAGAAAAGGCCGCCGCCGTTCTCCAGCGTGAAGGCTGCCGTCGAGATGATGTCGTGGTTGAGGATCTGGCCGAGCTGCATGACGGAGAGCGAGCTCCAGGGGTCCATGACGGGCGTGGTGCGCACCACGCGCTCGCTGACCAGCCGCGCCGAGGGCAGCGGGTCGCCGCTGAGCGCCTTGGAGCGCGGCTGCCAGATGCCGTCCTCGTACTCGGCCGGGAAGAAGCGCGAGAAGGCGGTCTGCGCGCGCCCCAGCCGCGGCTCGGCGTCGCTGTTGCACTCGCCGTTCATGCGGCGGAACTTTTCGCGCGGCTGGCAGGCGGGTTGCTCGGGCAGCGTGCAGCCGGGGATGCGGTCCAGGCCGGCCGGGAAGCGCTGGAAGTTGCCGCGGTTGGCGATGTCGGCGCCGAACAGCGGCTGCTCGAACTGCAGCTCCTTGGTGCCCACCTTCTTCTTCTCCTGCAGACTCTTGAGCACCTGGACGGCCTTGATGGAGCTGCGCGCGGTGACGCCGACCTCCTTGGACTGCGGCTTAGCGAACAGCAGCTGCAGGCCCTCGGGCGTGTTGGCCTGCGCTTGCGACAGCTGGGCGACCTCGCGTTCCACCTCTGCCAGCTGCTGCTCCGTCTCCGTCACGATCAGGTTGGCCTCCTGCGGGTCAGAGGTAGGCAGGGCCGTCAGCGGCGGGTACGGTGTGAAGGAAGGGGCACAGCTTGGCAGGAAGGCTGTTTCTTGGTATTGGATGAGGTACTGGCCATTTTTATGTCGGCTGAACAGTTTCGATTGCACCTTCCACTTTGTTGATTGAGATCTTTTAATGTTCCCGGATCACTTTTGATCGCTTGATTCGAAAAGTATTTTAGCTTTTTACTGGGGAAATTTAGATGCTACTGAACATTGAATAGCGGTGAGAATCGATCATGACGTCGCCTGACTCGTCTATTCGCTGCGCCGCCGGCCGTCTCCCTCACCTCCTGGGCGGCCGAGATGAGCAGCTCCTGCTGCTGTTTGAAGCGGCTGGTCAGCGGCTGCACGTCCAGCACGTTCACCTTGGCGCCGCCCTGGCCCTGGCCGGGGAAGAAGATGGAGTCGCCGCCGGGGGCGGCCGGGGCGGCCGCGGCGCCGCCGAACCTGCGGCATACAGTCGGACGGTGAGGCTGGAGACCGAACAGAGTGGTGGTCAGTGGTCGTGACAGCCATGTAGATGGTTGGCAATGTTGCAGCTGTGAGTTGCAACTTATCGCATTACTGCGCACCTGCCACCCCAGCTGTCAACCGGAGATCGGGCAGTCGTCTGCACACCTACCAGTTCAGGTCAGGTCAGGTCAGCCGGGCGGGGACCCACCTGTTTGCGATGTCGCCCTCGGCCGGCGTGGAGCACAGCACGCCCTGGGAGCCGTCGGACAGGTCGCACGGCGGGAAGCCGGCGCCGCCGGTGCTGGCCAGTAGCTCCTGCAGGTTGTCCAGGCTCTTACACTCGATGGGCGAGACGCAGACCTGGCCCGAGGCCCGGCCGGCCGCCGCCACCAGACACGTCAGCTGCCGACGAACGGCAGGCGTCACAGAGATGCAATATCACGGAGAGACGGGATCGGGTGTCAGTGCTCGGGGCATCAGTGCTCAGGGAGAAACAATGAACAGGTCAGTGTTCACGGAAGGCCCGTTCCAGTTTTACGTTCCACTGCCAACGTCTCAGGTGGCATGTGTCATCCGAATGGTATGCCCGTCTGTCCGTGGCACCCATCAGATCAGGTAGATGACGTACAATTTGTGTTTTCCTCGTATTAGAATTACCCAACACGCTGAACGTGATGTTCAAATGAATGATATCCACACAAGTCCTCGTAAAAGCCCCGTTCCAAGAATAAGTGGATCCGCCAGGTACTGGTCGAGCAGTGGAAAAACGGTGCCGTCTGGCCACAAGCAACCACTGTAATCCTCTATTCCCTCGCCCTCCTGCCCCGGCCTCGTAAAGCAGAGGTCACGCCACGGAGGGGCCAGAGATGCGCGGTTCCCGCCACAGAGGGGCTGTGAGGCCGGACCCCGCCACAGAGGGGCTATAAGGCCGGACCCCGCCACAGAGGGGCTGTAAGGCCGGACCCCGCCACAGAGAGGCTGTGAGGCCGGGTCACGGCACGGAGGGTCTGTGAGGCCGGGTCCCGTCACGGAGGGGCTGTGAGGTACGGGTCACGGCAGTCCGGCGGCCGCCCGCCGCTGCCCCGGTGGACGCGGCTGGCGGGCAGGCCGGGGCGCGGCGGTATGGTCGAACGGAGCGGGATTTCCAGTCCGCTGGCAACTGATGGTGCGGCGGAGCCGTGAAAACCCTCCCCCTCCCCCCCGTCCCGACCGGGCTGCGCGGCAGACACGGAGACCGGCACGACCTCGGTATATTGAGCTGCACGGGCCGTGATCATGTGCTACGCTCGGATGCCTCTGCGGAATCTGGTCTGCAGATTTCGCCGCCGGAGACAGTGGTCACGGGGATTCCCGGAGGGTTTGTCTAATTAATCGCTGTAATACTGACGTCAGAACGAGTCAAAGACTGGTAAAATGCACAGCCGAAATATATCACAGAAGCGTGGCGAGCTATTTGAATTATTTGCACACAAAAAATGTACCCCTTCTATCAGTCGTGTGCTATTCTCAGGTATTACAGCTTTTAATGGCGGTATTCAAGCAAAGTTTCGGGTTAATGATTTAGACTGTCGGGGTTAAAATTGCCCCTTGGAATCAAAAGCTCACTGAACGGTCGTCTGAAGTTGTTTACACTGTATGCTGTTCAGTTTGATGAGTGGTCAACTATGCAGCAATCTGCATACGTCTAGTAGTTTACGTTCTCATTGCAGGCACGGGCTGTTTGATAAACATTTATTACTGTAGGCATAATTTCTGTATAACTGACTATAAACACTTGCGCCCTTGCTGATCGACACCTAAACATGAAAATGCCGTATAGGTCATGGGTGGCGGCACGGGGGGGGGGGGGAGGCAGGGGCGCCGTGTCCCATTTTGATTTTGGCATTTTAACATTAGCCCTATGGGCGTTGCATGGAAAGAATGGGACCACAAGTCGGCAGTGCCTCCCCCCCTTAATTGAAGGTGTTCTGCCGTCACTGGTATAGGTACAATAGTAAAAACTGATCTCCCGCGCCACCAGAAATGGTTTCAAAAGAGCACTAGGTATCTCGCGATCTATGATGACATATTTCAGGTAGGTATATGTATTAGTAAAGTAATCTAGGGTAATAAGTGGATCCTGAATATTATCCACTTATTTCATTACTGCAACACATTTTATAACAACAGATAGATATTGTTGGACAGGGAAGATAAACGACGACTTTGCGTTCATTGGAAAAAGTGGGACTTGTCTTATCGTAGAAATGGAGAGCTTTGCTTGAACATCATGTACTGATGGGATCATGTGATCATGTGAGCATGTGATCCGTCTCTAGCATGCTTGTTTTAAAAATGAACATTTTCCCAGCTATTAAGTGGCCACCACTAAGGAACGCATGTTTCACAATTAGGGTGCAATTTTACCAACCAAGTCAGCAATCCCATTGTTTCCGGCTCAAAGCACAATGCTCACTATGTATATGTTACAGGGAGTATGCGATTTCAGTTAGTTTGCAACGACCCTAGGGTGGTTGTAACCTCCCTGAACGATCAGTTTGTTTGCAACGACCCTAGGGACGTTACAAAATAACTGCTCGTTCCGGGCCGTTGTAACGAAACTAGGGTCGTTGCAACCTCCCTAGTTAGTATGCAACGAACCTAGGGCTGTTACAAAATAACTAGGGAGTTTAGAAAGTCATCGAGTCTCGTTTCACAGGAGGGCCGTCAACAATCTTGTCCAATGAAAATCTTGTTCAATCTAGTTCAGTTTAAGAGAAAAGGGGAACACAATTTGAACATTCAGCTCAGGAGTATTTCACGACTGCCATCTAGTACACATTTTGTGCAGATTAGGTGCACGTTTGGTGCAGATTTGTTCAAATTAGATGGGCATTCGCCAGGAAGCCCTTCGTAAAAACGGCTATTATCCACTCGTTTCCAGTCTTTATGCGATCGCGTTCAAACATGTGAAATGATGGTGGTCCCATGCATTATGGTGGGTGTCAAGGTCACGTGAAAGTCAGGTCAAGGTCATTGACCTTTGATGACCTTAGTTCACTTCTTCTGGGTTCATATATTTTTAGGCTAGTTTTTGGAGCTGACTTCGAATTTAGCACCCATTTGAACATTTACGAAGTAATTTTGGCGCCTTCGTACAATGTCACGAAGCTGTCAGTGTTGGTTAACACCTATTATGGACAGCTAGCAAGACGCCTACTGGTTGACCTGACCTGACCTGACCCGACCTGGCCTAAAAGCATCAAAACATCATCGGTGATCAAAGCTAACATGAAACTCGTGATCAGCGCCTCGAAAAACCTCGTAACAACCTAACTCTCCAAAGTTTTAACAGGTCATAGGTCCCGATTTTCCCCACTTTTACTGGCCTGACCTGGAAGGTCAACCAATAACCTAACCCCGCCCTGTGCGTTTGCAGCTAGTAAAGCACCAATAAGGCGAGAGTTAACCCTGCAGGACCTGTTGGTTTTTACATACGCGCCGGCCGGGGGGAGGGTTGGTACGGACCCCCTCGTCGTTTTTCGCCCCTGTTGGAGTTAGAGCGTCGCGGAAAAAACGAGCGTGTGTGCCGTTAGGAGACACAGCAGCTAGTATCTGATTTTAAGGTCTCAGGACAACCGATGACCTCTGAGGTCAGGTCATGTGACCCAAGACACGGGCTCGGTTTTTGATTAATAACTTTAAAAAAAACAGTTGCAGAGCGCGATTTTAGCATAAACGTGCTCGCCTTGCTCAGGCGCGTCGAATGGTATACTTTTTGTTGGGATGAGGCCAACTTGAGGTGTTGACCTCGAGTCAATGTCAGGTCAGAGACCGCTAGGTCGTGAAATTGGTCAAAGGAGGTCATCTTGCATATTATTCGATTCGGCAGGGCACCGCATATGCTCCTGAGCTGAATGTTCAAATTTTGTTTTCCTTTTCTTTAAACTGAACTATGTAGATTGAACAATATTTTCATTGGACAAGATTGTTGACGGTCCTCCGGGAAACGGGACTCGATGAATTCTTAAACTCCCTAGTTATTTTGTAACAACCCTAGGTTCGTTGCATACTAACTAGGGAGGTTGCAACGACCCTAGTTTCGTTACAACGTCCCGGAACGAGCAGTTATTTTGTAACGTCCCTAGGGTCGTTGCAAACAAACTGATCGTTCAGGGAGGTTACAACCACCCTAGGGTCGTTGCAAACTAACTGAAATCGCATACTCCCTGTAACATATATGATCACGTCAGTATCGGCTCACTAGCACCACACCACGATCGTAATATTCACGGCGCGCTACCATCCTGCCGGTCTGGGCTTCTACGGGCCGCGGGCTGGGCGCAGTCACTCACAATGAGGAGACGCATCGCGCTGCACTGCGCGCACGCGACTGGTGCCTCTCTCTCCACTGCGGGCACTCGACTGGTGCCTCGCGCTGCACTGCGGGTACGCGACTGGTGTCTCGCGCTGCACTGCGGGCAGGCGACTGGTGCCGTCTGCCGGCCAGTGGCCGTTATATCGGCTCCTCCGACCGCGCCGCCGGACCGCCGGCCGCCGACAGGGCCACGGAACGCTGAGATCGCCTCACGGCTCACCACTGCACTGGCTGCATCTATGCATCTATGCATCTCCCACCAATAGATGGGAGAGGCATTTGGGCGAGTTGCCTTTCCCGCTGCGACCGAAATGGGCAAATTTTAGTCGTTTTCCTCACTTAAAAAAACAAACGCAAGAGTCTCCTTCCTAGTGGCTGTTTCACTGTTTCCAGTCAGTCGTGATATTTCAGCCATTTTTGTTTTTGCTATCCCGAGGGTTAAAAAAATGAATGTTTCGAGCAGAATGGATTCAAGATTCGTGATCAGTGGTTTCGAATACATTATTTAAGACCTATCATGTGTCAAGGTCAACTACAGGTCATTCGAGGTCACATGAGGTCAACATGAAAATTGACCTATTCCAAACAAAATACATGTCATTCTGTTGGGTTTGTATAATAATTCATTTTCGCGCAATAATTCATTTGTGTTCGGCGGTCGTAATTTTGTTCGCCGCGTGTGTGTCGCCGCCCGGCTACGGTCGCGCTGGCGTGCCGTGCGGCGCAGTATGTTTGCGGGCGCGGCGCTCGGGCGCGGTGATTGGCGGTCGCTCACATGTCACGTGACCCGCAGTGACCTCCGGTCTGTCCGGGAGGAGCGGGCCACTCGTGTCTCAGCATTTGTCTGGACCGGGTCGGTCGCAATGTGCGTTAGCCTCCAGAGTAGCCTTGCCGGGCTCTCCGGGCCGTAGCACTTGTGGCCGCCGAGTGCAGGAAACGGACTTGTTGGTCCTTTCTCGAGAGGTTCACTCGGCCTAAATTGACACCTAACCTTTTTTGGCACCCAAATCCAGACGGGAGCATTGCATGATGCAGATAACAGCCGTGTATCTAGTTGACGCCGTCTATGCTGCATCATCAATGCTCCCTATTCCCAAGTTACATATAACCGTGCATTTCGCCTGGGTGCACGTTTCACGGCGAAATTAGAGGGGCTGTCCGTAGGCCCCTCCGTGAGCACATGAGGGAAAACAATGAGTTGCATATGATTTGTGCCATATCACAATTGTACCCGATCGTTTGGTGATAGGGTGACTGCCTCTCGAGATTGCAATGCCTGTTGGTGTCGAAGCTGGTGCACCACAATACAGCACTGAGGTCAAATCCATGTATGTTCTTTTAGTATACCGGCGCAACGAACGGACGGATTCTTAACATAGTCCTCCGGGGCCGGATAGTCTTTTCGGTTTCAAAATTTGTACCTTGTTAACCGGACAGACGTTGATACTCTTGTTTGATACAGTCCACTTTTACCTCCTTGTTAAAATCCGTTTAGTTCATCATGGATGATTTGTTGAGCACAAGAACGAGGCTTCGTTTAAAGGCAACCATACAATGTAACGACCTCAGGTCATGCCGAAAGGGGGATCGAAAGGCACTTGATGTGGATCAGCTGGCTCTCAAACTTCATCACTTGGAGAAGCTGCAGCACGAGCTTCAGCAGGTCCAGGACCAGCTCGACAAGCTTGGTCAGCCTGACGATTCCAGTCACAGGCAAAACATGGAGGATGAGATGTTTCTCGGCTCCAGGCTACTCGTTCGGCTCGAGAAAGCTGAACTTGCCGCTCGGAGTGTCGACTCCCGAAATTTGATGGGAAATGCAGACCTCAAGACATCTGTCACAGTGAGGATTCCCACTTATCATGGCGACGTGATGAAATGGTCCGAGTTTTGGGAACTCTTCACAATTTCTGTTCACGACAACCCAGTCTATGCTGACGTGCAAAGGTTTGTCGTATTGAAGTCGCATTTGGCCGGTGCGGCGCTGCACCATCCAAGGGATTCCGGTGTCAGGTGCAGGCTACGCTCAGGCTGTAGCAGTCCTCAAAGAGCGCTTCGATCGTAGCGAGTTGCGGCGAGAGCTTCTGATGCGCGAGCTCTTGAACATGCCGTCAGTCCGCCATGGTGACCTTCGGGCCATGCGATCCCTGATTGATCACCTTTGTGCTCACACACGCGCTCTGAACATCCTCGGTGTGCCCACCGAGAGCTTCTCGAGCCTTCTCCTTCCAGTGGTGAAAGGCAAAATTCCGGAGGACTGGCGACTGCAATGGGCCAGGAAGGAGAGTGGTGACTTCGATGCCTTTATTGAATTTCTCAACCGAGAGATAAGAATCCGCGAGTCAGCCAAGGTGTCGGAATCGGCCGTTTCCGCCAAAGTGCCACCCTCGACGCCTTTTGTCATGAGAAACATGACCGCGCGTCGTGAGCCCCTGAATAAATGGACACAGCCACCTCAAAGGCCGAGGAAGACGGCCTGTGGCGCATGTCGACAGGGGCATCACCAGTTTGACCGATGTGAATGCGAAGCAGAACCCTGTGTCGAATGTGACCGGCAATATCACATCCTGCTTCCCGATCCGGACCTCTCGTTAGGAGGCCCCTCTGAGGTTCCGGCGGCAGAGCCGTCACCCGATGCTGCCAGCATCTCACCAGTACAGAATTCTCCCCGAGAGACGGGGTTGAGTGTTGAGGTCGATGATCAGCCCGATCATCCAGCTTGCCACAGTCAACAAAAGGAGATGACGTTTGACGTGGGCACCATTGGAATTATTGACAAGGATGAGACCATCATCTCAAACCCAGGGCTCCTGTCCGAGCCTACACTCGAAGTGGATGAACCCTGTGAGGTGGGCCAGGTGAAGAGCTCCGAAGAGCATCCTGTGCCCATCAGGTCTACTACACTGCCTGGCCGACTGCCAGATGGTCTCAGCAGAGAGAAAGCTGTCATGTCCAACACGCACGGCGATGGCGTGCCGACGAATGCAGCTGTTGATCTCTCTGATGCTGAGTATGAACAATCACCAATGGAACTCTCCGAGTCTGACGCTGTGGGCTCGTGCACGGTGGGGAGCCGTTCTGCTGCTCAAGCGCCTGATCTGACGGATGTCTCTGCCGAGACGAGGCAGAATCTTGAGCAAGGCCAGAAGCTGTTGCATAGGCCGATTGCCTTTGAAGCTTTCTGGTCCCCCCACCAAAGGGCACTCCAATGCCTGCAGTCAGACGTGCATGAGAAAGTCTTTGAAGTGGTCAACCCAAATGACCAAAGGAGCAGAGCATGCTCATGGCTCTTGTCGGAAACACGTCCGAGGTCTTGCCGGATTCCGTTTGGGCAGACCGGACGTCCCCCAGAACAGATGTGTCGGGGGTGAGGCTGGAGTCGTGGAATCCTCCTGCAATCTGTGCACTGTGCAGTGTGCACTCAGTCTGGACAGTTGATTTAGCTTTTTTTTTAAGGAATTGAATTTAACTTTGGTTGATATCATTTGCCAACGCCCTTGAACTTCGCCAGATGCAAGGTTCTCATGAGCGTGATCGCCCATGACGTGGAGAGTTTGTCGGCTTCCACGCGAGCCTTTCGTTCTTAGGGTTCTCATTGAGCGTGTCCGCTCGTGACGTGGCAAGTCTGTTGGCTTCCACGCGAACCATTGGTCCTCCTGCACTGTTCAAAGCTATGTTTCACGCATGTCTCTTTCCCACAGCATGGACGTATCGTGTGCTGCTGACCTGACGTGGTTCGTGGCAGGAGGCGCGGCTGCCGGTGACTACGTCGGCGACTCCGTCGCTCACGACGGGGAGCGCCGTCCTGAGCCAGCCGAGCTAGGGGTGTTGCCCCCTGGAGCTGTCGCCGACGTACATGCGTCCAAGAGATCGTGGCGGACGCTGATGCGTCCCATCTGGCTGCCCACGGGTGCAGCCGCTGAGCAGTGCCAGTGACGCCCCACTACCGTCGTAGCGGTGCGTAAGCGAAAGGGGCGTGCCATCCGGTGCGTCTGGCGGGCGATGGATGCGGACGCACTACATGGACACTTTCGCAAGTGATGCGCGACCGCGACAGACGTAATCCGGTGCGCGAGAAGTGTTTTTAAGTAGTTTGTCAGTGATGTGCCCATGTATTTTAAAATGTGCTCCCGAGACGCACATTTTGGTGGGGAGTATGTTGGGTTTGTATAATAATTCATTTTCGCGCAATAATTCATTTGTGTTCGGCGGTCGTAATTTTGTTCGCCGCGTGTGTGTCGCCGCCCGGCTACGGTCGCGCTGGCGTGCCGTGCGGCGCAGTATGTTTGCGGGCGCGGCGCTCGGGCGCGGTGATTGGCGGTCGCTCACATGTCACGTGACCCGCAGTGACCTCCGGTCTGTCCGGGAGGAGCGGGCCACTCGTGTCTCAGCATTTGTCTGGACCGGGTCGGTCGCAATGTGCGTTAGCCTCCAGAGTAGCCTTGCCGGGCTCTCCGGGCCGTAGCACTTGTGGCCGCCGAGTGCAGGAAACGGACTTGTTGGTCCTTTCTCGAGAGGTTCACTCGGCCTAAATTGACACCTAACCTTTTTTGGCACCCAAATCCAGACGGGAGCATTGCATGATGCAGATAACAGCCGTGTATCTAGTTGACGCCGTCTATGCTGCATCATCAATGCTCCCTATTCCCAAGTTACATATAACCGTGCATTTCGCCTGGGTGCACGTTTCACGGCGAAATTAGAGGGGCTGTCCGTAGGCCCCTCCGTGAGCACATGAGGGAAAACAATGAGTTGCATATGATTTGTGCCATATCACAATTGTACCCGATCGTTTGGTGATAGGGTGACTGCCTCTCGAGATTGCAATGCCTGTTGGTGTCGAAGCTGGTGCACCACAATACAGCACTGAGGTCAAATCCATGTATGTTCTTTTAGTATACCGGCGCAACGAACGGACGGATTCTTAACACATTCAATGCGGCTTGACAAGCCGAATGCGTTGGTACCACTGCCTTGGCTTTTGGACTATTGTTGTAGAATACAGGCAGGTTTTTTGAGAGAGAGAGAGAGAGAGAGAGAGAGAGAGAGAGAGAGAGAGAGAGAGAGAGAGAGAGAGAGAGAGAGAGAGAGAGAAAAAAAAACAGCTCGGGATCGTTGACCTGACCTCTGACCTCAGGCGGTCAGGCTACAAAAAAAAAATGTTTTGCATTTTCCGTCATACCTACGCTACAAAACCGTGTACGTAA